CATTGAACGAAAGGCAACAAGAAAGCGTTGCGGCTTTGAAAATAATATAAACAAGGTGACGTTTCGGGCAATGGTCCTTGACATCATAACACAGAGGGCAAAGAGGCAACATTGGATAGGATTTGGGGAGTGGAGACGCCGCGAGTCTCTCTGTTGTGAAGCAGGGAGGGAGGGAGGGGGGCTCTGCCCGAAACGTCGACAATTAAACTGCAAATATTTATTTCTTTTTCAGGGCCGCACAGTTTTATTGACGAAAGTGTAACGGGGATTTTGAAGAGGCGGCCGAGGGAGTGGGCGGTATACAGCCGAACGTGGGCGGAGTCGCCGGAAAACTAGGCGGGGCCTACAAAGTGGGGTGGGGCCAGGATAAGGAGGCGGGGCCAGGGTAAGTAGGCGGGGCCAGGGTAAGGGGGCGGGGCCAGGGTAAGTAGGCGGGGCCAGGGTAAGTAGGCGGGGCCAGGGTAAGTAGGTGGGGCCAGGGTAAGGAGGCGGGGCCAGGATAAGGAGGCGGGGCCACGGTAAGTAGGCGGGGCCAGGGTAAGTAGGCGGGGCCAGGGTAAGGAGGCGGGGCCAGGATAAGGAGGCGGGGCCAGGGTAAGGAGGCGGGGCCAGGGTAAGGAGGCGGGGCCAGGATAAGTAGGCGGGGCCAGGATAAGGAGGCGGGGCCAGGGTAAGTAGGCGGGGCCAGGATAAGTAGGCGGGGCCAGGATAAGTAGGCGGGGCCAGGATAAGGAGGCGGGGCCAGGATAAGTAGGCGGGGCCAGGATAAGGAGGCGGGGCCAGGATAAGTAGGCGGGGCCAGGATAAGTAGGCGGGGCCAGGGTAAGGAGGCGGGGCCAGGATAAGTAGGCGGGGCCAGGGTAAGGAGGCGGGGCCAGGATAAGTAGGCGGGGCCAGGGTAAGGAGGCGGGGCCAGGATAAGGAGGCGGGACCAGGGTAAGTAGGCGGGGCCAGGATAAGTAGGCGGGGCCAGGATAAGGAGGCGGGGCCAGGATAAGTAGGCGGGGCCAGGATAAGTAGGCGGGGCCAGGGTAAGGAGGCGGGGCCAGGATAAGTAGGCGGGGCCAGGGTAAGGAGGCGGGGCCAGGATAAGTAGGCGGGGCCAGGGTAAGTAGGCGGGGCCAGGGTAAGTAGGCGGGGCCAGGATAAGGAGGCGGGGCCGTGCGAGCAGCAGAGGCAGAAGGCGGGAGACGCGAGGGCGGCGAGTGGCTTTGAGTCACCCAGCGGCGGCAGCGGCAGCAGCAGCAGCAGGAGGAGCCCTCGGCTGAACGGGACGAGCCGGGAGAGAGTGAGAGGAGGGAGGAGGAGGAGGCAGGGCCCGGCCCCGGGGCTCGCGGAGATGGAGGCGAGCGACGCGCTGTACATCACGGAGGGCGGCGAGATGCCCGCCGATATTGTGGAGCTGCACGAGATCGAGGTGGAGACGATCGCCGTGGAAGCCTTGGGCTCGGCGCTCATGGAGGTGGACGGCCACTCGCCGGGCATGATCGCCCTGCAGCCCATAGAGCAGCACGAGCACCACCTGCACCTGCAGCAGCAGGAGGTGATTCTGGTGCAGACGCGGGAGGAGCTCGTGGGCGACGACGATGACGGCGGCGGCCTCACCGTGTCGGCCTACGAGGACCACCACCAACAGCACCACATCCTCATCCCCGTGCCCGTGGACGAAGAGGAGGAGGAAGAGGAGGACGACGAGGAGGAGGAGGAAGAGGACGACGAGGAGGAGGACGACGAAGATGACGATGACGATCTTATCGAGAGGTCTCTGGCCGCAATGCAGCCCAACACAACCATCACCACCATCACCACCTCGTCCGTCCCGTCCACTGCGCTGGCGGCGGCCAGGGCGAGACCGTCGAAGAAGGGAGGTGGGAAGAAGGGGGGAGGAGGAGGTGGCTCGGTCAGGCGGGGTTACCAGCTGGAGGCCGGCGAGGTGCTGCCCGAAAGGCCGCCGCGCCGCTGGGAGCAGAAGAAAGTTCAGATCAAGACCCTGGAAGGGGAATTCTCGGTCACGATGTGGGCCTCAGGTGAGTTTCGCGTGGTTGGCCATCGACAACATTGTCATGTTGTGGGGAGTGTGAGCACCATTCGGTCACTTCTCGACAACGATGACCCTCGTCCGTCAGCATCACACAATCACTTCGTGTTATTGTCGAGTGTTGTGGACTGTGCTCACCACCACAGTCGATCAACAACAGGCCTCTCGTGGTGTTGTCTGGCGGGTCCATGTGGTGTTCATCATCATCATGTCTGGCTGTCTCGAGTTGTTTGACTTCTATCAGTCGTTTCCCATTTAAGTGAATAGATCACAATTCACTGAGAACGTCCATGCCTCACGTCTCGCCACCATCCACTCATGACTGCCGGACACGTTGAGTGGTCGAATGTTTATTTGCGGGTACATTGTGTTTACGTGTTACTGTAAACATTACAGTGTAAATGTGAAGTCAGCTTTATTGTGGGGTATAGTATTCGATCTAGACTGCATCCCATTATCTTGGGTCTTATTTTTACAAAACGCATCTTTAAACTCGCAAGTCTTGCCAAACCATTACCACCCATCGTCCGATGTTGAACTAAAACGCAATTAATCTTAAGACCCACGGCGGCGTGGGACTTGCACGCCGCCAGGAGCCGGCCACACGAACGCCCCTTCCCGACGACCATTGAATGGGGGGAACGCGTTTGAACTTTAGACGATAAGACCGAGAGAGAGCAAACGAGCTCAGCCTCCGGCTGCTCGCGACAAACAACACAAACTCACAACGACGAAGCCGCGGCGAGGCGGACGAGCGGCGCTTCGCTCGTCGCAATTTCTACCCCGAGACTCGCGCGCGCGCGAAGCTTTCGGGGCGAGGAGGAGGAGGAGGGGGGAGAAAGCGAGAAAAAGCTTCGCGCGCCTCGAATACGATGCGTTCTCTTTCGTCTCCCCGCATAAATGTCGAGTGGTAATTGTTTTGTTGTCGTGGACGAGCGAGAGGAGGAGTGGAGCGAACGAGAGCTTCCTTCTCTCGCTCGCCGCGCGGCTCGGCCCCGTGCTGCTGCGCTGGCCCCTGGGCGCCGCCATCTTCCCCCCCCCGTAACTTCAATGGCGGCGGGGAAGATGGCGGCGTCATGGCCGCCGCGTTTTGGCGCGGGGGGCCCCGGGAGGGCCGCCGCTTCGCTCGACGATTCTGCCGCTCGCAGCGTGCCCCGATGCACCCTTCTCCTCATGGATCGATATATTTTTCGCGCCCGCGGCGAGCAGCGACGTTTTCGTAGTGCGTCGCGCGCAAATTTATTTGGGTTTTTTTTGTGAGTGATGTGTACGAGAGAGAAAGGCTTGGGGTGGGGGGGTGTTTTTGTTGTGCGCGTGTCGTGGCGCTGAGGATTGTGCCGTCTCGTACAGCAGACGGCGCCGCAAATCGTAAAAAAACAAGTGCGCGGTTGCGTAAAGCGTTCAAGGACGTTTTTTTCGATCTCGTCTCTCCCCAAAGCGATGTATTTGTAGGTAGTTTTTGTGTAACCGGCGACGGCAACGCTCCTCTCTCTCTCTCGCGTCCTTGGCTCGCCCACGTCTCACGACGGCGACTCTAACGCTTTCCGGCGTGCGTGAGAGTCGTGGGGCAGCGACCGAGTTCGCTCGCCGTCGTCGTGCCGCCTTTCACTTTCTCTGTGTCTCTACACAGCCACGCTCACTCACTGCCCTCTCTCTCTCGCTCCCTTCTCGCTGGGCACACGCGGCTACTCGGCAACCTCACGCCACCCGCTGGCCACTGTCACGCATTGCCCGCACACCCCCCCTGGAGTTGAGAGAGATGCCAGAAATATAAAGTCCACAACTGTTGCCCCCCCCCCCCTGCTCATGATGGGCAAAGATTGGTTTTCATCTTTTTGGCAGCCCCGAATACAAGTGGTGGACACATCCCTGTGGCGGGTGACATTTGAATGGACGGAGCCACTGATTGTATCCACCAATATCTGAACAAGAGCGCCACCCAGCCGGATATGTTGTGTTATTGTATGCTGTACACACAGACAACACACGTTTGTGTTTGACATAGCTTCGTAAGGGATGTTTTTTACCGCAGAGATTCGAGAATCGAGTCTTCTTAACGTTGTGGGCAATTTACAATCGGAATCTTTATTTATCCTTGGAGGAATCCAATGAGCTATGAGAATCCAGGCAGCATGATTAACCTACATTCACAATAATTCATCGATTAACGCGCGATTTGATGCACGCTGTTGATCAATTTATCCATCTTGACACCCCTAATGATGAATGTACTTGTACACCGAAATGTTTATAACCGAAGCGTGTGCGGATGTTTAAATGGGCAAATTTAGAAGTGCATGGGCAGCAAGATGTTAGGGGGCCAAGCGTTTCACGTCATGTCCATACAATCAATGGACTTGTCCCAACATACCAGAGCCTGAACCTCTTGTAAAAGTCTCAAGACCGGGTGATGCTTTCGTAGATAGCCGATACCATCATCACAATCCATGGGCAGATCGCCCGTAGGTGTCCGTTGCACATTTCGTCATTTGTTGTTTCCACTTTCCTCCGTCTTGTGCCAATATGCTCAGGTAGTGGCGACATCTTTTTGGCACCAAGCTCTCACATCGTCAAGCCGTTCTCTGCGAGGTCTTCCTCCTCTTAAGAACCTTAGCAAAATTGGTAACCGAGCTATGAAATAGACGCGAAACGATTGTGTGATTTAAAATAGGATTCGCACATCAAATTGTGCGTCTTGGAAGCTGTCAGGATTCATGGTTATTGGAGCAAATGAGACGGAACATAAGCGGGCAGTACAAAGAGGGGAACGGAGTGAAAATGAAGACTGCGCTAAAAATATGGACAAGGCAAATGAGACGACAGAACAGCATCCAGACGAGACCAGCAATACCTCCAGCACAAAGGAAAAAAAGAACAAAAATAATCCATTATTGATGAAATTGTGACCCTGAATTGCAGCAACGTAGTGAGTCGTCACATGCCTATAAAAAAAGAGCAAGGCTGAGGACTGCGTGACCAGTAAAGACTTGCAAATATAATTAATCATCAGCCGTGATCGTACATCAAATGCTCTTCACGTCATATTGGTGTTTACAATACAATCTATAGCTCCCATCTATTGCAGTAAAGTTGAGTTCTTTTTTAATGTTCGCTGGCCTATTGTGTTCTGTTTGTGCTATCTAAATGATACCATGAGGTTAAATATCTCGCCAAAATATGAGCGCTGTCTCGCACTCTTTATGCAACGAGGAACCCATGACTTGATTGATGTTTGTGTGCCGTTGTCATGGTTTTTGTAGACAGACTGCTGCCTGCTGCAATGGAAAAGTTTAATTTTCTGAGCACCAAGATCTACTCTTATATCAGCACTGCCGTCTGGGTCGAGGGTTTCCCCGTGGTTGCGTAGACCTTTGGGTGTCACTCAAGCACCTGTTTTGGAGCCATTCATCATCTTGTGTTTGTCCCATTCACGTGGCGGTTTGAGGTTCAATTTATACGTCTTGTAATGTTTGTCGTCGAGTTTTAAAGCTAACTCCCAGAGATCTATTAAATCACCACCTCCACGATTTTATGTAATTTTACCATTTGGCACGGTTTCTGGTTGTTAGATTAGTTTTTTGGTCTCGTGATTTGTAAATTAATTCTACAGTGATAAGAGTATAGAATATATAAACACGTGTGAATCTAAAACAATAGATTCCTGCACATGCAATTTACTGCTTGTTGTACGACTGTACGATTTTAGTGTATAGTTCAGTGAATTTGTTAATATTTCCTTAGGAATTTAATTTATTGTACGGATCCACAAATTATTATCTCCCTACAGACAACACAGTTGGGCAGTTAAGCAAGGTAAGTAATATCACAGCTTATCCTAAGTTCGGCTGGTAAAAAAATGCTCTACACCTTTCGGACAGGGGCCACAAACAGGCTTATGTTATCCTTAGGCGCTGCAACCCTTTGAAGGCTCCTGGCAAAGGACAGAAGCCTTTGGTTCTTGTCCAAATCTTCTCCCTTGGCCGGCGTTTCCCACTGCAGAGGCATCTTGCAGTGCTACTTTCATCACGCTTTCCCTGCCGCGTCTTTAAAGTGTTTTCTCAAAATGAGGGTAGCACAAGTTTACAGGAGTGTGCTTGGCAGGAGAGTCTGGTCTCATCACGGCCGCTGCTCTCATTTAAGGTGTCTTGGAAATTATCCTCGATTCTCGCGATATTTGTTTTCTCCATGCTTTAACGTTTTCCAACCCCCGACCCCTCCTACGTCCTATTCAGCGGATGACAAGAAATCAGACGGGGAGGCGGAGGACTTGGCAGAGGAGGTGGTGTCGGGAGGCTCGCCGCTGCCCGATTACTCGGAGTACATCACGGGCAAGAAGCTTCCGCCCGGCGGAATCCCTGGCGTTGACCTCTCAGACCCAAAACAGCTAGCGGAGTTTGCAAGGTGCACGCGTGTGCATGCCGTCGCCACACCGAACATTCGTAGCTTGTCCATTGGTTCACTTATTCATTACTTTGGTAGTATTTTCTAACAAAGAGTGCTTATGTTAGGGATATTGTAGCAATAGCGTGGCTTTGATGTCTCTCCCTTTGGCGTTCATAATGGCTGTGACATGGCTGTTATGCCGGAAGCACTTGTTTCCAGGGTTTTATTCTGGACAGCCACCTTACCTGTCCATGTGGCTCTGTTGCTTTGAGTGCTTGGCTCCGTCTCAATTTTGTAAGTTCAAATCCAAGTGGGGGTCATTTCGGCCCTCATACCGACACAGTCCGTAACATGTCGTACCACTTTTGAGTTATTTTTCCATCTCCACAGGAATGTGGAATTTACATGACGGGCTTATGGCTGCCAAAGTTGATGAGCACCATCAACCACTTCTGTGAAAAGAGTCGTATCTAATAATAATTTAAATGTATAAAGTGCTTGACTTAAAGCTTTCGTGACTGCAGGAATTCATATTCTTGGGGCTTTTGGTAAAGTCACGTCAATAGGTATTTGTTCTTTTTGTTATTTTCTTTGAACCTATTTACGTGACTTTACCGAGAGACCCAAGAATATGTAAAAGTGCCCTTAAGCAATCATTCTCAGGAGGCTATGCATAAAAAGGCAGAACTAGTTAATATTAACCAAGGAAAGAAGAAGTCAAAAAGATGTTTGAAAACTACCGAGAGCCATTTTAAACATATGTTTTTAGTCGAGATTTGAAAGATGTGCAGTGTCTTGGAAGTCCTGAAAGGCAAAGAGTTCCAGAGTTTAGATGGCACAATTTGCAATCACCGCAAGTCTGAAGCCTAGACCGTGGGACAGTTAGCAATGCACAGTCTGAGGATCTTAATGAGCTTGATGCAGCATATGGTCATGAATGTAGGGAGGAGCAAGTCCATTTAATTGTACATATATTTTTTGGGAAATTTAACTTAGAAAATGCTTACGTAGAATACAGTTGTGGAGGTATTTGAGGTTGGGCATGTTGTATGTCCTGCCTTCATGCCCTCCATGCCTTGCCTCTTTCCCCTTGCGCCAGAATGAAGCCCCGGAAACCCAAGGAGGAGGAGTCTCCAAGGACGATCGCTTGTCCACACAAGGTCTGTACCCCTTACACCCCCCCCCCTCTACATCCAATTGTTAAGGGAGCTCACTGCCTCTGAAGCATGGCTCACTCCAGCCAACCTGATCGTGATTGAGTATGGCCTGACTTTTTCATTAATTTTGTGTCTCCTATTGGGACAAGAATCTTGCCCAAGTTGTGATCAAGCCAGGATAGGTAAAACTCTTTTGATTTTGGTCAACTTGGTCCGTTTGATTTTCGAGAGATAGTGATTGGCAGATAATCCATAATGGATATGGAGCAGCAAGACATTTGTTTCATTATTATGTATGCCATTGAGACCCTAATACTGCCATTTTTGAAAAGCGATCAGTCGCTGAATAAATTTTAAAAACAATATCACTCAAGTTGTTTAGAAGTAGTCTTGTGTTTGGTATTTCCAATGTAGTCTAATCTGATTATTTGGTTACTTTTATGATACTGTTTCAAAATTAACATGTTCAGTTTACTTTACCTCAACAGCTCTGTGATATGATTGTGTAGGCTTTGCATTGTTTGTGGTCTGTTTGCTTTGAAAGCAACTGCTGCACATGAACCCAAGCTGATGATGGCAAACTTTTGCAGCATTTTAATTGTCTTTGCAATCGTTTATCGCTTAAAATAAAAGTAATTACCTCTTGCTATGTGGTTACACACTGAAAGTGGAGTGTTCACAGGGTAGCTGCCCATTACACAATGTTTTACTTTGACTGCTGTAGTCCCCTGCACTGTACCGTGTCGGCTGTCATGTAGTTTCAGACTTGTCCACGGATTGCTTCATAGGGTAGCAGGGTCATTCCCCGGTTTGATGTGAAGCTGTGCGGAAAGAGTCCTGATGGACGGGCCGCCTTTGCATGCCTTGACACCAATAATACGAATGGGATATAATTGGTAAGAAAGAATAAGCAATATACTGTATAACAAAATGCATTTAGGAAATCAATACCAATCTAGGTGTGTCTAGACAAATACAATGTAATTTTAAAAAGCTTCCAAATGGGTAAATGAATTATTAACTGTATGAAGTGATTGATTACTTAAGTGTTGTGTGTGTGCATGTAGCTGGCACATTTTGTTCATGCTTTGCGGCTTTTTTTCCGAAAGTACAACGCAAAGAGGACCATTTAAAACGAAATACTGTTACCAAAGGGAAGGCACAGAAGGTGGTTTGTCAGTCATCGTTCTGGCCTCGACACACCGCACTCCGCTCAATAGGCACTCGCTAAAAGTACTGCTTGCCCAAATAGCCTATAAGCAAGAATGGGAATGTTTTCATACACATTCTATGAGTGTATCTGGCCCAATGGCACTTGTTTTAGAATACTTGACCCACAGTTGTAACGTTGCGAGTTCAAATCCCGCTTGCGGGTCTCCAGGGCTAATGAAATTAATGCGACTTGGTGGGAAGTCACAACACCAGTTATCCTGCCTCACCATGGGAATGCAGAATTTCCACCGCATGCTCTGTTCCACCATCGGATACGAGTCCTGCCTCTTGTTTTTGCAGCAGAGATGCATCGACTTGGTAACCAATGACAAATGGTGTTTAGACCTTACCTGGCCCTCCACGAGATTGGCCTGTAAACAAGTACCTGGTGCATTGTGGATTTGTATTTCATTAAGGATGTAGGCTGCCCACACCCCTAGTGCTGAACAAACAGTTGTGTACTTGGCCTGTAAATGAGTACCTTGCATGCCACAATGCTGTGGTGGTGTCGGGGTGGTTGGTGGTGTTGCATATATTTCGGTTATATGCTTTGATATATTCCTAGATGTGTGCAAGTGTTTGTGTTTACATGTCTGCGTGTTCATTTGGCACCTGTTTGCATGCTGGTGTGAGAGTGCATGGGGATTTGCTAATGTATGTATGTGTGTACTCGGTGTTAAATCATTTGTTCAATTTCAGTCTATACTGTTAAAATAAACAGCATTCGTAAAAACTATAGCTGGTGTCGGTCAAAATGTAAAGGCTGCCATATATAGGTTCATCCTTTGCAGTATCCCTAACCTTCATTGGCATTCACATGTACCTAGCAGTATGTGTATCTGTGCATGTGTGAGTGGGACACGCAATACTTGTGTGTATGACATGCTCCTTCACGTGTCTGACAGTATTTGTATTCATGCCTACATGTACAGAGGTTGTGCAGTGGTTAGCGTGCTGCGCGACGAACTAGCTGACTCCGAGTTAAATTCCCGGTCACGGCCGACACCAGTTACCATTATCTGAACCGATCCTGGGCCTCCATCTAGGTCGACTTGGCCTCAAGTAAGTATCTGGTGTGGTGTGAAAACATTGCCACTGAGGAGACGAAGGTTGTCAGGCGTGGTGCTGACTACCCACCCCCTCGTGTACCATGCTCGCAAACAGCACTTGCTCCAAAACTATGTTAGGCTATTCGGGGGGGTCTTTGTACATGCGTACATGTGTGTTCTTATTCCTGTATATGTGTACCTCTGCACGCATCTATGTAAGTGTACGTGTAAGTATACATAATTGTGATTTTGCATGGGTACGTTCGTTGTACCCGTGTGTGCGTGCGCGCGTTATCATGCTCCAGGGATGCAACAAGATGTTCCGTGACAACTCTGCGATGCGTAAACACCTGCACACCCACGGGCCACGTGTGCACGTGTGCGCTGAGTGTGGCAAGGCCTTCGTCGAGAGCTCCAAACTCAAGCGGCACCAGCTGGTGCACACAGGCGAGAAGCCCTTTCAGGTCAGCATGGCCATAGCCCCCCCCACCACCACCGCCTGCCACTCTCAAACTCGCCTCAAGTCAGTCGAATCACGCGACCTCAAGTCTTGTCTCACTACCGTGATAAATATTGAAAAGTGATCGTTCTGTAGAACCATCGGTTCGTGTGGAGCAGACTGCCAAGTGTACTGCAGGGTTTTATAAACCAGCCACTTGAAGTACATAATTGTGTCGAAATAGTGATCTTCACAAATATTTGAAGTTTCACAAATTTTTCACTGAATTCTGGTTGGGATGTCTTTTTTCACGTGAGCTCTTATGGGATTTTAGATTTGGTAATATCTCATTTGGAACATTGGGTTGGTGTTTGGTAACTGGTGTGTTGGAGTAATAAGGGGCTATCCATTTAGTACATATGCAAAAATCTGTCAACTTGACCCCTCCCTGCACGCACGCGTTCTTTTTACACCCCCCCCACCTGCGTACGTACGCTTGACGCACCCCCCCCCCGAATCCTATAGAACGGCCGATAGAAATGATCAAGGATGAATAATATTAATGTGTTTAAGCAAACAGATAGCTCATTTGAAGACCAATGTAGACAAATTATTATCGAGACTTCACCCCCCCCCCCCCCCCGTTTTCTATGCGTACGTACATTGTCAGTAGACCCCCCATCCGCAAGAGTACGCATTTGGGTTAACCCCCCCTCCACGCGTACGTACTAAATGGATGGCCCCTAACTTGTACGGCAGGGAAAATATTGCAATAACTCGGCGAGCAAGATTCAACCCAATAAGCCGTAGCCTGCTGTTTCATATTCATCTAAAATCATTCTCGATCCCGGGGCTATGTGTCCGTTGAAACCTATGGAAATTGGAGTTAATTTCACCTCTAAATGCCCTGGTGGTGACTTGGCCTTCGCGGTAGCGCATTTGCCGGTTGTGTTGCAGAGGTTCACGGTTAGAAAACTAGCGGCCGCCCGCCCGCCCTGATTATTATTGCGGGGTGTGATGACCCTAATAATACTACGCACTGGGCATTCAATCTCACCTGGTGTCATTTTGTAGGTGATTGTGTCCCCGGCATCAGGGACCCAAATTCAAACACCCACAAATGTCTCAATTGGGATTCTGCATAGCAGTCACCCACTACTGGCGGATGTGGCCCCAGGTCAACATTTGCGAATGAGACAAGCTTGGTCTCTTGATGTGTTACCTGGTTAAACAAATTAAACTTGAAGCTTGGCTTCTAACAAGACAAATATTTTATATTCTCTGCGGAATGGGCTCCATAGATGAATGGATGCTGGCTCCCGTAATGCACTATATATGTGACCTCGCAAGAACGTTTTTTAGCATTACAGTGAATGTAGTGACCTCTAGTGGCTACAGGGGTCACGTGAACCGTTTACACTAATCAATTCAAGGCATGTAATGTTAAGTATAACAATGTGAATCAATGGATTGTTGGACCCTGGAAAGTCAGGCTTTTGGTGCTCTCTGCTTGTGAAAAGACAGTTAATTTTGAGGCTGTTGATTATTGTTGAAGCCATGTGTCAGTGTTGAAGCTGTGGGTGAGGCCGTGGGTTGGTGAGACCATTGCCCAATGTTTAGGTCGTGGGTTTGTGTTGAGGCCCATGGGTTAGCTTTGAGGCCGCAGGTCAGAGTTAAAGCCGCAAGTCGGCATTGAGAGTATGGGCTAGCTTGGAGGGCCGTGGGTTAGCATTAAGGTTGTGGGTTATTTAAGTGGTGGGTCAGTGTTAATGCTATGGGTTAGTGTTGAGGCTGTGGGTTTATTATTTAAGATATGGGGTGATGTTAATGCTATTTATTAATGTTAAGGTTGTTATTAATACATATATTTGTGTTCACTTGTTGACCCGCTGATACTGGACATCTGTGAAAAGGAGCTTCATAGCTCATCGGATTCTTCCGGTCTAAATAAAAATTCTGATTCTGTACTGGTGTTGGCTACAGCTTTGTGGTGAGGTTGCATGGATGCCTTCGTGTGCAGATTTGCAGTGCATTAATGGTCTGGGGAGTCGTAGGATCATTTGGTGTCCTATATAACCAGTCATATTCACCAGCATTAGCATAGTACACAATACGTACTAATTGTGTATGTATTGGTAATGCTGTACTCCTGAATTACAATATATCAGTAATGGAGTGATGCAGTGCAGTACACCTCAGGCAGTTGAACGCCAATTCCATCACTAGAGGGTGCTGTTGTGGCACTCTGGAAGTTTAATTTTTACACTCGGAATATAAAACAAAGTTAAACAATAATTTCAGAAATAGCCCAGTATACAAAGCCCACCTTTGCGACTACTACAGACAACATCTGTGTTGCGTCTTTAACGCGAGTCGGAGCTTGGCTGACCTGGGGTCATCTTCACGATTCTGGGTTCCCCTCATCCTCTCTTTCCTCTTCGCTATTCCCACCAGCGGGGTAGTGTTTCAAGAAATCGCTATCTTGCATGTAACTTGTGTTCAGCGTTTTCCTTTGATACAAATTACATTTGTATTATTTTTACTCTAGCTTCTAAACTTACTCACCCGAAGGGGGCGAATGTCTTAGTGTTACATTTGTATTGAAATAAACACATTTTGTTGAAATAAAAATTATGTTTATTCAAGAAAATGTCTCCAAGTTTCTAGACTCTTTTTTTAGGAGGCTTCTATATTGGGATGTTGGGCCAATTGAATTAACATTTTTCAAGTGGAAGGAATCTGGAATACTCGGAAACCCACAAATATGGATTTTTAGAACCCATTTGATGTACTTACGCCTCAGAAAGTCCTCAACAGTTTTCAGCATAACCCATTATCCTCATGGGTTTTCCAAAATGAGTACCGCTTTGTGCAAAGTCAACGGTCAATAATATTATTCTCCCAAATTGGGAATGTCAAATTTCCACCACTCGCCAGGGAGACCACCAGTGGATATAGTGTTGCCCCTTCATCATTTGAGCAGAGACACCAAACCATTGACTTTCAAAGTGGTCACTGATATATTGAATGTTTTTCCCAACTGAATATTCTTCTGAACATGAATTGTTTTTAATGTTCGGTTTTCTTTGAACACATGGCTGAATACTAGATAAATGTTACCCCGGGGTATAGAATTAATGCCTCACTATTGATTGCAAGAACCTAGGTTGTTTATGAAGTCCAGTGTTCTGCATCCTTCTAACACCCCTTCTCTCCTATCACACCCTGTGCCCCCCTACCACCTAGTGCACGTTCGAAGGCTGTGGCAAGCGCTTCTCGCTGGACTTCAACCTGCGCACGCACGTGCGCATCCACACAGGCGACCGACCGTATGTCTGCCCCTTCGATGGCTGCAGCAAGAAGTTTGCACAGTCAACAAACCTCAAGTCGCACATCCTCACGCACGCCAAGGCCAAAAACAACCAGTAAGGGGACGGTGGCATCTCAACCCCCCACCCCCCCCTCCGGTCACGTCTCGGCGCAGACGACTAAACGAGAGAAAGTGAGGACGAGACGAGTTAAACAAAACGGGTGGGGACGGTGAGCGTCCGTTTGCGGGCGGAAGACTCTTTTTCTCTCTCTCTCCCAACTGCCGAGTTTTTTTCAGTCGGAAGTGAAAAATGCCACAACAATGGAGCAAAGAAAAACATTTTGAATTGGGGAAAAAAAGGAGGGAAAACAGCACGACTAGAAGAATCAAATTAATGACTCAGAAGAGGAAAGCTGAGGGGAGCAAATGCTTTGCCCGTCGGGAGACCAACACATGGCTTTTGGTACTGGCCAAGCGAAAGAGTGCTTGCGGAGTTTGCCTTGCGACTGGTGCTGCCGTGTCACGGCAGTGTTACCGAGTCCCACGTTGTTCTGGGCAGTTGGGGCCTCAATGCCGGGGCTTTCGAGCGAGTGCTTCATTTCAGTTGCAGCAGCACACACACGCGGAGGGGGGGTTCGATTTCTTCAGCATCGTTGGTTCTGCCTGCCGAAGCCGCGTGTCACCAGCGCGTCTCGCCCAGAACCGCTCCGTTTCTGCATAAAGGTTTTGGAACCGGATCCCACATCTTTGCAGCCACACGGTGCCAAATTATCTCCTGTAGGTGTAAAAGCTTGACCCAGTATCTTAAAACATTTGGTTTTCGGACTTTTATTTTATTGCCTGTTTTATGTTTCATTCGGAAATGAAATGTTGCTGAATTTGGCTTTGGCAGTTAAGTGAATTGTTTCTCATTTTTACTCCGGTCTTTCACCAGGACTCGCGTCCAGGAGAAAACAATAATTATTGCTAAGCCCCCATGGGAGAGTGGAGCGCGTTTGTTGATGCGACTTGGGTTTTTGGGGCACAGCAGTTTGACTTTCATCGTGCCAGCTTCACACAAGCACTCAAAACCGATGACGTCTTTGACAAAATGCATGATTTTTTTTATATTATAATAATAATGTTATTATATTTTTTTAAGTGGGCTTTTCGATGCCGTTTTACAAACAAATGATTATTTTGAGCAGGGTTTTTCAAATCTTGGAAATGAAAAGTAAAAAAAAACTACTGCGGAAGAATGAATTGTGCCTTTTTATTTTTAATTTGTATCCACTATGGCTGAAAGAATTTGGCGCCCTGTCGCGCAGTTTCCACGTGTTCAGTAGGGGAGTAGTGCTTAATTAAAACTCACATTTTCATCCGCGTGCATCCGGCCATTGATAAGAAGTCACCAAGATTTATTTAGAGCTACAATCATCTGTATATATTTTTTGTCCTTTTGAAGCCGGCTAGAAAATGAATTTGAGTCGTAAAAAATTAACCCGTAAAAACAAAGTTTTTCACTATAAATCCTTTATATGCGTGTTCAATGGGCCACAACCCAGCCCACATTGGTCTTTGAAACGGGTGGCTAGAGTCCTCTCGTCCTCTGGCTTGAGATGGCTGCCACCTATGGGTCAGATGATTGCCTGCCACCATTAAGCAATTGGGAATTAAATATAATTTTTTTTTACCTAAAAAGTGTAAAATTTTGGGAAAAAAATTTCACGAAAATAAATTGTCACGCACAACGAGTCTGTGTGCAAAATGTCAGCTCGATTGGATCACGGGAAGTGCGTTAAAAAACGACCGAAAGATTTGCACGGTCGTAAGCGCGCAAGCAAGCAAACTTAATATAAAGGATTTAAAAATGTTTATCGTGCAAACTGTGTCCCCTTAACTGCCAGCCACAGTAATGCACCCAGTGTAGAGCCACTGCCTCATTCAATACAGAAGCCCTGTCTCGTACATCACTGATATGTGACGCCACGGCGGCGAGATGTTAACTACCTCGCCCTGGTATACAGGAGGTCGTGGGTTCGATCCCGGCCCTGACGCCTGCTGTATATTTGGAGTTTGCATGTTTTCCCCGTGGCCGCGTGGATTTTTCTCCGGGTCTTCCGTTTTTTTTCCTCCGCATTTAGAAACATGCGTTTTGAGTATTTGGCTGCTATGTTTCCATGTGATAAGCCTCTTCATTGAGCTATCATTTGTGGCCAGGTCACTTCTGAAAAAGAGCTATATATCTCAGTGGGCCTTACATGGTAAAATAAAAAAAAATAGTTTAGCTTTCTTTTATGGGTGGTCTGATATCCTCCAATATGAAAAACATTGCTAAATTATTAATTGGCCACGCATCCCAGTGCAGGAGATATCTGAGAAATATTCGTGAGAATCATAGTTCATCTTTAGATAGAGCCCTAGTTGTAAGCCTCTTCCCTACATCTTGCCTACTGTCATTGTCCACATCAGATTGGTTTGTTTGAAGGCAACCCCCGTGATGTTAAATAATTAAAGTTGAGTTATCTGCTGAATTTAGGTAACATTGAAGTCGACTCACTAAGTTGTTTTTATGTATATATGAAAAAAACTCCGGATGGAGAGCAGGTTATTAAGACAGGCATCATTGAGACAGACATTGGAGTGGTACCCAGATGTTGGTGACCAAGGGGAAAGCTCTGAAGCCAAATGTTGGGATACAAAATTTGTAGGTTGACTCGGTTGTTGGTTGATTGCTGCACAACAGCTGTGGTATCTGGCAGACAGGGGAAGCGATGGTAAGGTCTGGTAATACTGGTATTGGCTGTGACGACACCTCAGCTTTGGCTACCAAACCAAATGCCTTTCTGAACCAGTGTTTCCCAGTGGCACTTGTTTCAACAATGCAAATCCCGAGCCGGTTTTGGTTTTGCCTGAGCCATTGGCACTGCTGCCCAATGGATTAATACGACGGGGTTGCATGACGTTATAAACCAAGACACATCCACGAGCATAGTTTGCTTCGGTTAAACACATGCCTCTATAAAAACAAAAGTTTATCTGGAAGACCTTTTCATCGGTGGACTTCAATGTTATTTTATTTCAGCGATGATGCAAACATCAGTCTTATTTATTACCCGCAATACGTGACGACATGATGGCTTTGTCAGCAATATTGAGCTGGATCCCAGCTTCTATCGCCAAATGCTTTAGCGTAGGACGTCGGTGTGTGTGTGGAGTTGGTGCAGTGATTTTCAATCTTGTTCTTGTGGCCTCATCTGACCCATGCATTACACTAGGCTCATGAGTGTGGTGCTAACTTTGCGGGGCCAGGAAGTACATTATACAACCCCTAACCCCACTTCTGATTTCTAACTTGTGAGGGCAGAATTGATATTTGTTGCTGTTGGGTGACTCAAAAGTTAAACATTTCCAACCAGCTCCATGTTTAGCATTTGGAAATAATCATTTCTCTTGAAAACCCTCAGCCATTGGTAGAAATGCTGCATTCCTTTGACAGAGACCACTTTCCGTAGGACAATCACTGGTGGCTTCTATCAAATTGGTCGTCATTTTTACGAAGGACCAAGTCGAGTCCTGAATGTAATTTTGAATGTGTGACCTGGTTGTACGCAGTGGTGCTTGGCTTCTTCTAGCATCTCGCCATCCACAATCGTGCTTTGGTTAGACTGCTTGACTCTACCAAAAAGTTCCTTGAGAGTTGATTCGGCCCTTTGAAGCTCAATAACATAAGCAGCATCAGTGGGAAGTCAACAGTGATCATCCTACCAGGTGAATGACTCCTGTCTGGAAATGAGGAATAGCCATCGCACTGCAGCGTGCTTGTTTGAGCAGGTGGGATGCCTTCGCGACCAAATAATAACTTCCATTTATGAATTCACCAGGCATCCATGCATCCCACAGACAATATGCTAAGTTTAGTACCAACACACCTGAAGGGAAATGTCAATGTTTGACTCCACTCCCAGGGCTTTAGCTTCGACCTTCAAATTATTTGCTGTCCTTGTTGTTTTGGAACGTGACATAATGAACATAGAATGGTACCTGTTTAAAATGTTATTTGATTTGTACAGTCGATGTATGTGTTTTGTTCGTTTGCGAGGCGTTGATTTTTTTGGAAGCTACCCCTCTTTGTCAGAAACGCCGGCTGGCCAGCGCTGGGTTTTGCCATAGCAGCAGTCGCCATGCTCGCAGGTGTCGGTTCTCTCCCTGAAGTTGCAAGGACTCACGGCTGCGCTTCTGTGGGAATTTACCTCTGGGAGGCTGCTTTTCAGACCCCAGGTGTGCGTGTTCGTCTCCGCAAGGGGAAACTCTGTTGCGGCTGAGCAGACCGAGATGAGTGCGTCAAACGCGCCAAGGACGAGCATTCGGTTTGAAATAACAAAAATAAAAATAGTTCTTTATTTAACCAGCAAAAGCCTCACTGAGTCCCAAGACACTTTTTTTTTATGTTTCTACATCGAGATGTTTGCCACATTCATTTTGCTTTGCATGTTGAGATGAAAGCCAGATTACCTAGAGACGAAATCTTGCAAGCAGATTACGCTGAAAGTTCTGCGAAAATGTTTCATGAGCTCACTTTCTGTACCGTCACCTGCCATCTAGTGGCCCAGCAGGTGAAGGAATCTCCAAGCTCACGATGATCTGTATGTGATCCACAAACCCCACTTCTTTAGGCACTTTGTTACATCGATCCAGCACTGATTTACAGCTGTTTAAAGCGATATTCACATCCCTCACTTGCCAACTTCCGTTTCATATAAGCACATCGTTCCTGTATAGTTATTTACTGCACATTTGTTATATTCCTGACATGTTTGTTCTGGTCCTTGATTATGACGAATGAAACAAATTATTGTTTTTTTTTTAGTTTGTCAAAGTGTGTCTTGCGCTCTCCTTCCAGAACATTCTTAATGCTGCTATTTTTTACTACATATTTTTGTTTCATACTATATTCGTATTTGGAATCCGGGTTTGTGCTGGAACTAAGTTTCCAAGCACGGGTCTAGTTGGGCGGTGCTGCTTTTTTGGAAAGCTGCACATTGAAGTCTGGGTTCATCCAAGCCAATCGTCCATGGGGGAGGGGGGTGGGTCAATAACATGAGTGAGCCTGTGGGAAGTCGTCAGTAGTTGTCCCGTTGATCAACTGGCCCTGCCACGAGGATGTTGAATTTACACCACCAGCAGATGATCACCGCCCCATTGCTCGTTTGAGTAGACCCTTCGTCTCAAATACTTACCCATGTGTTGCCAGCACATTGCTCAACCGGGGCTGACCTGTGGCATCGTGCGGCCCAAAATTACGTACGTGTGGTGTAGTGTGTACAAGCGGTTCTCGTTTGTGCCATTCATATGTCATGGGTGGATCGGTGTGTGTAGGGAGTGCTCATTACCTCTCCATTGTGCTGGTATGCTGTGAGCAGCAGCTCTTTGCTGCCAGAAGCACAACTTGTGTTTTGACAGGCAAGAACATTCGTAAAATGTAGGTGTGCTGAACTCATTGGGCAACCTGCACTGGCTCATTGTTTGCAATTGAAATTAAATCATGTTTTGCAATTGAAGTTTAATTGCCAGGAGACGTTGATCAGAGCACTCAAATTTGCTTTAGTAGTGATCTTTGGCTGAATACTAGATGGCGCACTTCTATGTGTTCTTAAGAGTGAACATTGCTTGGAAAACTGCAACATGTACTCCTCAAAGTGGAGCTACGCTAAGATTGAGTGACATCTAAATTGTATTTTGCTGTGGTTTTAGTGGCACTGTCCGTGGATAATGTAACTCGGAAGGTTGAAAGTTCCAATACTGATTGACGGTTGAATCAACAGTGAAAGTGTGTATTTTTACACCCGATTTTCAGGGCTGCCAATGGAAACGAGTTCTAACGACCTCGTCACAACTGGATATTATGAGATAATTTGACTCGAGTAGCATATTTTTATTACTTTGCTCGGTGAAACCTGCTGATGCAACTTTCATCGTTCCACTTCTACCTTTGGCCTGATCCAGCAGCGCATGCTTTATTCTCAGGCTGACGAGGATCGTCACCGGCTGGGATTGAAAACCCCCGATGGCTTCTTGCCCCGTTCACAGAGACGGAGCATCCCTTGGCCCTGCACACGGCCACCGCTTTACCCCCAACAATCGGCACAGCTGCTGCCGTCGTGTTCCCCCGGCAACGGTGCCTTAATGATGTCGTGGCGCTCTCGTCAAGACAAAAGTTGGGGTGGGGTAGCGGGGGGGGGGTGTGCAGTGCCGTGCTTTAATCGTGGACTCGCGCGAAGCCACACAATGAAGGAGTGGCTCTTGGGAGCCGCTCGCTGTCCATGTTTTATGGAAATGGATGGCAATAATATCTTGCCAGGTGGTGGTGCCATTCGTCGCGTGCTAGACACACGCTCCCAACGCTGGGGGAGGGGGGGGGTCAGTCCTGATTGAGAAGTGACTCCGCCCATTATTATCGTCATAACGTTGAGGTTGAGGACATGATTTCCACTGTGGGAAGTCAACGGGTTGTCTAATACACAGGAGAGGTTGGTTTTTGTCATGAGAATGTGGAATTTCCAGCACTGGCCAGGGGACAGCCATGGAGATGAGTGCTGCCTCATGCTTGTTTGAGCAGAGAACAATGTTGACGTTCACCTAATTATTCCAACTCCCATTTGTGCTATTTAGGCGAGGAGGCAATATTCCTGGTCACCGAGGGAAGTGGAGGGAGACGCGTCTTGAATTCAGACACTCCCACAAAAGACATGGGCTTCAGAACTCCATACACTGTCATGTAGAGTGGGTCAACACATCACCTTCACATGTCTACAGCTGTATTGGGAAGTCTACTAAGTGGGTAGTCTGATTCATGTTTATAAGGAAATTGTAAACCTAGTGATTACGATGACACCCAACTACACTTGATAACTATTTTCAGATGGCAACATTGTCAACGGAGGCGATAATCTAGCAATGTTGAGGTGGGGTTGGTGGATCACTTGGAGATCATTGATATTCAAGCCAAACTCGGTTGTTAGGTGGCCAGGATATGCCAGTGGAACAATGGGCGGGTCACTGGCTCGTTTGTAAAGATGATTTAAACATCCCCGTTATATGCAAGGCTTTCATTTGTTCATTCCAGTTTCACTTGCACGTGCATTTTTATAAAAAAAAGATTTGGCCAAAAGAAGAAAGTGTATTGAATCCCAAAAGAGGCTTTTGCTGGGTAAACAGTGGACTATTGTGTGATCCGATATGATGTTCGTGATGATTCGATGGCTTTGACATGGCAAATGACCACAATGAGTTTTTTTGTAGCATTTCTGTACACCGGGTAAAGTAGTTGAGAAGATCTTCTTGGTTCTTTCGGTAAAGTCACGTAGAAGGGAAGTAATAAAATAATAAAAATAAAACATAATTAAACAATTCTCACGACGTTTCGACCACAACGCAAGCAGCCGTCCTCAGGCGAAGAATGAAGCACCGCCAAGCTTGGAGCGTATATTTAAGCTGGGTTAGAGGGGGGGAGGTGGGAAGAAGAGCGCCTAAACAAAATAATTTGCATATCAAGAGGAATTCAGCATATGGAAAATGCGTAGGAGGTGGGCGGGGGGGGGGGGGGTTCCAAATCAATACTATGCCCGTGCATTATGCAGGATTAGCAGCATCAAAGGGGGGGGGGGGGGGGGAGGGGGTAGCATTAACAAAGGAAAGGAATGTTAATAGTTGATTTGGAACCCCCCCCCGCCCACCTCCTACGCATTTTCCATATGCTGAATTCCTCTTGATATGCAAATTATTTTGTTTAGGCGCTCTTCTTCCCACCTCCCCCCCTCTAACCCAGCTTAAATATACGCTCCAAGCTTGGTGGTGCTTCATTCTTCGCCTGAGGACGGCTGCTTGCGTTGTGGCCGAAACGTCGTGAGAATTGTTTTATTATATTTCGATTTAAAGCTTTCGTGACTGCAGGGATTCATCTTGGTTCTTTCGGTAAAGTCACGTATTATGTTTTATTTTTATTATTTTATTACTTCCCTTCTACGTGACTTTACCGAAAGAACCAAGAAGATGAATCCCTGCAGTCACGAAAGCTTTAAATCGAAATTTAGTTGAGAAGAGCCTGCCGATGGCGGAATTATCTTTGTTTGCGGCCCGTGGCTGTAAGCTGCTGAGTTGTGTTGTGACAGATCTCTGCTCTGTCCATCTATTATTCACCTAGGGAGGGGCACCCAGAGGTGTGTAGCCCAAGGGGAAGACTTCGAGCCAGAGGGTGCTGGTGATGGCGGTGTAAGAGCTATCGTTGGGAGTTCTGGTGTTGACTGCTGCAGGTGAAGGATCTGGCAGAAGGCAGGAAGTGGTGGCATCACCATGAATGATCACTACATATTGATCTCAGATGCCTGTGTATGCATTTTTAAGTTAATGATGAGCTAAATCAAATTACACCTGTTCAGTTCCATCTTGCCTACCTGGTACATCACATTTATTGTTGCAATGTCTGCACTGTACTCCTTTACACTATATATTTAATGCTAAAAAGGGACTTAAATTGCTTCGGCATAATGTAATGTAATTTTAAAAAGCTCAACACATTCATCAATAACACTGCCTTATATATATGATAGGTGACGTTTCGGACACTGGTCCTTCATGGCATGTTTTTTTGTGCTATAAAGAAGGGCCATTATTTTCCTGTCAAGGCAGTGCTTTGAACCAATGTGATGTTATTGTCAATTGCTTGTGTACCACTGCCAACAGCAGCAGCAGCAGCACCAAATAATGTTTTATTGTAATATTAAGTAGGTATAGGTAGTTATGTACATGTCTAAGAACTAGGTCGATACAACGATCTTCATCACCAGATAGGGGCCCACCGAGAGAGAGACCCTTTGATTTGGACCTCACTCGTGGGGCTTGGGAGTTAAACGCAAATCCCCCTCCTCGCTATGGAACCAACACGCGCAGCGATGAAACCAATGCGAGGGTTCTATCATTTGGCTCGCAAGTTTGATTCTTGAGTTGGTTGTCTGAAGAAAAAAAACAAGTTCCCAGTGTGGTGATGTCACCCAACATGTACGGCATGATGGGGGGAGTCTAATGACCACAATTGTGCCCTTCGCTATTTTAAGAAATCCCCACATTGCGTGTATTATCATGAATTGTTCCGTGTTCTTTCAGCCCACATGCAATGTTCTACCTAAAAAGTTTCGTCATTTACAGATAGCGCGAGAATCGGTTAATATGCAGATGCTGCTGGGAAATGTTGATTTGGAGGAAAGCGCATTATGGGCTGATGGGCCAGATCTAATTTAACCCCCCCCCCCGTGTGTGTGTACTCGCAAATATATTTCCTGTCGTGGATTGCAGGTTGGATGAGGCGCTGTGGAGTAATGAAACCTCACTTTATTTTGTTGTTTTAAAACGGGGCAAGTACACAGGTCGGTGCGAGCACGTCGTGCGGGCATCGCTGTGTGTGCATCGCTGTGTGTGCATCGCTGCGTGTGCATCGCTGTGTGTGCATCGCTGTGTGTGCATCGCTGCGTGTGCATCGCTGTGTGTGCATCGCTGTGTGTGCATCGCTGTGTGTGCTGTCAGAATGTTGTGTGGGGTGGGCAAGCAGCTGGCAGCACAGCAAGTTGACCTGTTTGGGTGCAGAGCTTTCGATGTCTTGATTTGAAGCTTTTGTGACTGCAGGAATCCATACAAAGAGTAATAACTTTCGATGCGTCGTTCCCTTCATGCGTGGATTTTCACCAGGTACTCCCCAGTCTCCTCTGCAACGTGCAAAAAGAATTGGGACACCCCAATGCAGGCCCCCACTTTGAAAATTAACTGGTGGACTTCGACTTGTCTTGATGAAAGAACGTTATTTTATAACATACAACATTGTAACAGTACCATGGTCTTTCAGTATTGGGAGGGCGACTTCGACAAACGAATCTGCCTCCAATTACCAATTATTTTTACAAGTAACACAATCCTCTGTTTGGTATTCTTAAAGTAATCTAATTTCGGCATAAAGTAACATTTTGACCTCAGATGCGTGTGTAGGCTTTGTCCTGTGATCTGTGTTCATTGGTAGCTGCTGTTACCCTCACTGATGCAAGCTGCTCACGCCCCCCCCCCCCCCCCATTTTCATTGCTTTTGGAATCAATTAAAACGTTTTTAGACAACAGTCAAATGTGAGGGGTGAAGATAACCTTGTCCCTGATTAGGGATACTCAGATCGCCCACTTACCGGGAGTAAGAGGGGGTTGTGATTCCCTGTTGAGGTAATTACAGATTATAGTTTTGCGTGTTTAACTTGTGGGTTGCATCGACTTGCCCGCCCACCGTTTTGAGAGTGTTGTGGTCATTTTGGCCTCTGCACGGTTACATTTTTTTAAATTTTATTTGTAAATTTGTGAAATATTGGGACGACTACGGCGAGTCGGACGCGAGTTCTAGGTTTGACTTTGTCCGATCAGACGTTTGGAACTCTGTTAAGGCGTAGAGAGAGAGAGAGGAAAAGCAAAAAAAATGTGTTTATTTTTTTATTAAAAAAACAAAACAAGAAGTGACTTTTACGCCGAGTCTCGGATTCGGATGCGTCGACTAATACGTAATTATATAATAGCGCTCGGCAGTGGGAAATTAAACATTTTACAGTGCAAACTCGTGAGCCTGTGTGTGGGTTGTGTGTCTCGAACGTGTCTCTGTGTGGGTGTGTATCTGTGTGTCTGGGGTCATTGATTAAGGCCGGCACAGCACTGACGAGGTTTGCTGTGGCCACAAGTGTCTGGCCACTTGCCGTCCCAGTGGTTTTAATCACACGCCCACACATTGTACCATGTACTCATTTCTGTCGTTTGCTAATATTCACCAAGTGGGCACGCATGTGTGCATTGCAACAGGACCCAACCTCAAGTCTGAATCAGAACACCAAGAGGACAATGGCTTTGAGTCGTTATGTCGTTGGGGACCCTGATCCCCTGTCCACAATCATTGACAATCTACATCATGGTGAACAGGTCTGGGTAAAGATATGCGGCCATGAGTCGTTCCCTGAGCATTCCGTTTATGTCTTTTGTGCATATGCACAATGAGGGGAGTGGTGGTGCAGTGGTCAGCTCACGAGCTGTGAACCTTGCGACCTTGGTTCAATTCCCTGTCACGGCTAACATCAGTGGCGAGAGATATATTAGAGCTGCCCCTGTGCCCCACTGAGGGTGAGACGGCCATAACGTGTTTTTTGCTACGCTGGAGAGACAAAAGTGTCGGCGACCACCCCCAGCGTTCGCCCCAACAATCTGTCACGTTTCCATCTCTAATCCCATCACGCGGGAGCTGGGGTTGGTTTGATCACACAGAGATGGGCCCCACAGTGCACACGGGACAACTGCCCCAACAATAGGGCGCTTCAGGTGACGGTGCAGCGAGTCGTGTTTTGAGCTTTAGATTTATCACAATTTCATTGCATGTTGTGTCAAAATATAAAGGCAATTTTACGTTTAAAAAATCTCTTTAAAATGTCGTTTTCTAAATGAAAACCATTTTATGCAAGTTAATGTCACATTAACTTTAAAAAAAATTGCTAAAGAGTTAGCAAACGTGTCACACAGGGCAGGGATTTTGCTCGAACACTGCGCTTCAATGTTGCATCGAGTTAAAACACAAGCGGAGATTTTGCCAGACTTTTAATGAGAGAACCTCAGCACAGCGCGTTCCATTCCTGAGCGTTTCACTCCGTGTCATCATCACCACCACGACAGCCATCCTCAAATCGGCACCGACATTGTCAAATCATCGTCCATCAAACCCGCAATCATCATCACACCACTGCCACCATCATAATAACTTGGCTATTGCTTTCGATTTCACCTTGACCAAAATGGATTTAATGCCTTTCCTTGCGCCTTTATACTCTCAAGTCACTCCCAACACGGAAATAAAACCACCATAAAACATTTGTTCACATTTGCTCAAAAGCACTTCCCCTACACTTTGTGGAGTGCTTTGACGCCAAATCTCAACGTATTGCGTTGCGCCAATAGACCCCTTCAAATCACTCCCGTCGGAGTCAATTCTTTACCACTATCGATAAATAGCCACAGTCGTTAACGCTTCATCACAAAGTCATCATCGACCCTCTGGTCCGTAAAGTAATCATCTCATGAGGCTGTACCACTCGGTGCTGGGAAAGTCCACACCGATTGCCGTTGTCTTAAGGAAACACTGGGCCCTGCCACGTGAATGTGGAATCCAGTTCCACATCTCTACCGACCATGGGGATACTGACCCTGGCTCTTGTTCTGACACGCGCCGCAGCAGAAGTCTGCTGCACTTGAGGACCCTATTCTCAAAAGCCTGGCGTGGGTAACTTTAATCGTCACGGGAGTCTAAACACAGCGGCTTTGTAAACAACAACAACAATGACAACATCGATAAGCCCAGTCTGCCTAAACGCACAACCCACCGACCGCCTGACTACTCACTACCCATCACTACACTCAGCACCCCGTGGCTCCTGTGGTCAAAGCACTTGACTCAAGCTCAAGGTCACAATTCCCAGTCCAGGGCTCACTCGGCCCATCATCATCTTCATCGTCATTCCTCTGGGGTTGATTACATGTGTACCACTTACTGGGAAGTAAACAGTGGTCATTTTAAGGAATGGGAAGCTCCTGCCATAGGAACGTGGAATTTACACCACTGGCTCAGAGCTGGCAACGGAGTGTCACCGCAAGCTCGCCTGAGCTTGTGGGGGTATTGAACTTGTTTTCACGGAACGCGCACCGAACAAAGCAGAGGATTTTCAAACATCACGTTGACAGGATGACGCAGTGATTACGAGCAGAACGCGTGAATTGCCATGAGCGATACATCAAGCAGTGATACTGTTGGGCGTTTTGAAGTTGTCGCTGTACTGCTGAGGGGTTCTGTCGAAGCAATCCGTGCGGCGCTGTGGTTATAACTCAAATCCCGGTCACGTGTCATCTCAGCTTCCCCCCCCCCCCACCCCATCATCTCTGGGGTAGATAAAATCGGTCTCCGATGTCGGACCACTGGTGGATGATGGTGAAATCCCCACCAATGCTTCGGGGCTGCCCCCCCCCCCCCCCCCCCCCCCCCAGTGCTGATTAATCTGTGGAAGGGAGCTTCATGGCCCATCGGATTTCTCCAGGATACATAATAAAGATTCTGATTCGAGTCGACACCTAACCTTGACTTAAATAACCCTCGCAGTGCCTTTGTCTGACTCGCGGGGACCCGAGCATCAGCACGCGAGCCATGCGACCTCTCGTCATTCTCACGGTCCCTGCGGTCTCAATAGTTCCTCTTGGCAACTGCTACGATGCTTAACATGCAGTTGCCAATGCCTGCGTCTCATGGAGCCAGGCTAAAGGCACCCTCCTAAGCAACGCATATGGAGTATAAGTGTTTACAATATAGCAAAAAAAAACGTGTCTCCGGTCACGTGAAACATTTAGCACGTTACCTTCATCGCAATTGAAATGGAAATTACTCCGAAGGTTCTCTTTATTTTGGACACCCTTCGCCTTCGTTTAAAATCTACCGACTCGGCGTTCACATTACGAGGAGAAAAATCCCAGCATCGCCGAGGCCGAGTTAATAAATAGGCTAGTAAAGCAATCGCTACGAAATAAAATACGTGCAAATAAATATAAATACATAAATAACTTGTCGGGAGTCAAACCACTCGGGGTCCCCCGTGCCGGGAGTTTGTAGTCGTTGTCTGCGGCTGTGTGCAGACACAAGGTTGGCCTGAGAAGTGCGTCTGGACAGGGAGATGTCCATGCATGCAGGCACACCTGTGCAGATACACCTTTGCATGTTACACCTGTGCAGGTACCCCTGCGTGATACGTCTGTACAGGTGGGTTCGTGCGCCTACGTTCCGTTCCTGCTCACGCGGTTAGGCCCATGCGTGTCCCGTGGTGCGCGTGTCGGAGCATCGCAGGTGCATGCCGCTGCAGGCGGTGTGACTTTCTACACAGATGCACCTGTGTGTGCGTGCGTCCGCTCTGTGTGTGCGTGCGTGCATCTGCTCTGTGCGTGCGTGCGTCTGCTCTGTGTGTGCGTCCGTAGGTTTGTGTGCGAGCCTCTCTGTCCCTGCGTACGTGTGTGCGTGTGTGCTCGCGGGCGCGGTTGTGTGCACGTGTGTGTACTCGCGTGTGCGCTTGTGTGCACACGCGTGTGTGTGTACACGCGTGTGTGTGTGTGGGCACGACGCGATCTCCGGCCCGTCACTCGGCGCACAGCAGGGCGACTCCGCGCTCGTAGAATCGCCGCGCGTCCTCGTGCCCCGAGATCTTGAGGTCCACCGTGAAGATGAGGTCGGCGCGTGTGAAGTTCAGGTACACGGGCAGCGTCACCTGGAGGGAGGGATGCGTCTTATCAATCCCGCGCACTGCCCCTATCTGTCTGGCGACGCAATCGGCGAGTCTTAGCGGTTCCATTCCCGTGCTGAGAAATGTTTCTTTTCGTCGGACAATTTGGTGGAGATGCGTCGATGTCTAAGTGACCAACAAAGAGGAACGCCAGGGCGGTTTTCGGAGGCCCGGGGGCAAAACGAGCTGCCCCTCACTGTACTGCACTGGGCCAAGCTCACGGACGTGGAGAAAAAACTGACGACCACGGTGAGTGCCACCGCTACACCGCTCACATGCACTCACTCACACACTCACTCACACACACGCCGCTTGCACACACACACACACTCGCACACAGACTCACACACACCGCTCAAACACCCCACACACACAGACTCGCACACACAGACTCCCACACGCCGCTCACTCACACTCACCGCTCGCACACACTTACACTCGCAGACTCACACATGCCACTTGCACACATTAACACACGCCGCTCACGCACACCGCTTGCGCACACTCACATATGCCGCTCACACACACACACCACTCACACATGCCACTCACATACTCACACACACCGCTACATCGCTTGCACACAAAACACAAAGATCCCCCGTGTAGCCTTAACAGACTGTTGGCGCAAGTGCTGTTAGCGAGCACCTATGAAGGCCAGCATAGTACACGAGTGGGTGGGTGGGTGGCCAGAACCACGCCCGACCGCCTTTGTCCCTCCAGTGGTGATGTTTCTACACACCGCACCCACCAGGTACTCATTTAAGACTCGGGTCACTGGGTTCGCGAAGCAGTGCGCCAACCACCGCTCCATTACTCCCCATACACCCACCCGCATGTACGTACAAGCACACGACTACTGTGTGAGTGTGTGTGAGTGTGTGAGTGTGTGTGTGAGTGCGTGTGTGTGTGAGTGTGTGCGTGAGTGTGTGTGTGTGTGAGTGTGTGTGTGCGAGCAGCGTGTGCGAGTCTGTGAGCGGCATGTGTGTGTGAGTCTGTGTGTGTGTGCGAGTGTGTGAGCTGCGTGTGTGTGTGAGTGCGTGTGAGCAGTGTAGGGGTGGCACTCACCGTGGTCGTCAGTTTCTCCACATCCGTGAGCTTGGCCCAGTGCAGTGCAGTGAGGGGCAGCTCGGTGGAGATGGTGTGCGACAGAGACAGCTTGTTGTCAGAGCACGTGGCGCCCTGTAGCTTCAGGCCTGCACACCACCCACCACACACCATCCGTCACACACCACCCCTCACAACAACAACAACCGCCGTTTGGCACTATGTGACGGCATAGTAGGAGACGCTTGTGTCGGCCTCGGTGCACCTTGAAGCCATGTGAAGTGTCGAAGGCCCGCTGGCAGGAGGCCACGGGACAGACGCAGGTACCGTTGGGTTGACTGATTGAGATGAATGCCTGATGCACTATCTGTGCCTCCTACTATGCCGGCTTGTATTTTATCTGCCCGGTGCTCTGCTCGTTGTGAGCGTCGCTCCTCCACTCTCCGTTATTGTTGGAGGGCGACTGCCTCCAACTTCCCAATAGCGTTCTTCATGAGCCTCCTCCATAGAGGCCGATCTTGACACCGCTGGTACCAATCTTCATCAAGTCCACTCAGCTCCACATCCTCCTGTACCGCATCAGTCCATCTCTTTAGCGCCCCTCTATCCAGCCAAACCGAAGATGCTTGGGCATGCGGTGGCTCTGCATGCGGGCTACACGAACCCGCCAACATCATCGCCGCCTTGCCTGCAAGAGGAGCTCTCACTCGCGGGCTTGTTAGGGCCAGCAAGGCCTTTTCTGCTGGCCTAGAGATTGTCAGAATCAGAAATTTTTTTTCATTTTCATTAATGCTATATGTATTTTATAAAGTTGGTTCCCATCGGTCTATAAACGTCATTTCATTGCTACTCTCTCCCTCGGTTGCGCTGCTTCCAGTGCCGCTAATAAATTTGAGCATTTATTCAATCGGATTTTCCACCTGTGCTGTCCCCGCCTCTCCGGGTGAAAAATCGACCCTGAGGCCTTCAGAATGTCGAGTGAATCCCCTCTGCTGTTGAAGAGTGATTGTCATATTCTTTAACCAATCAGATGTCGAGTTTGCCATGTTGGACGTGTTCTTTGACACGCCGGAGCCTTCTAGCTGGCCTTGCCGCCTACGTTAGCCTTGTTCGTGGGGCGTGATCAGAGGGCCACTTAGCTAACTGAAGTAAAACTCGCTAGCACGTAACGTATCATCATCTAGGATGCATTTAAACTTTATTTCGTGACGTTCAGATTTTTAGATGTAGTGCTTTAGATGTTTTGTTTTCTGTGGGAAAAAGCCTGTTGAATCTGGATTGTGTCATTTGTTTTACGGCATTTTTGCTTGCTTGGTGATGGTATGAGTAAATGTGACTGGTTGTTCTTGTTTCTTTGGTAATGACATTGATTTGGGCTATGCGATGTCTATTTGTGATGCAGCATCCTGTCATACTGTGTAATAGTGGTACATCCTTGATGGTTTCAGTCACCATGTATTCATGACCTCTGCAATTAGTGTATGGTAACGCTCATAGGTGTTGAGCCTTATGTTAAATCACTTCATTCCACTCGATAAAGGTTACTGTCACTGTGAATATGGTGTGGTTACGTCGAATGACAACAGCCTATAGCCCTAGTATCATGGTGAGGTTATTCGAAGGCGGTTTAATTGCGGGAGGATGGCACTGAAGGCCTCGGTGTAAAATACACGGCCCGCCACTGCTCATGGGAATGTGTCCAGATCTTTCAAGGATTTGTAAACTCCTCAAACAATCCAGCGCTCTCAATGCACTCTCACCGCTGATTGGTTACGTTAATCTCTGCGTGTTTATGGAACCATCGCTTGAAAAAGCCTTTTGGTTGATTTACCAATTTTTTTTTCAGTTGGATTGACATTTTCCTCATTAACAGTTTCATTCAAGAGACACAATATTTACGTCATAGATATTGTGGTGTAGTACTTCGAAGTCAACATTCATTTCTTAGTTGTATTGACAACTCTCCTTTCGAACGGTTTGATTTAACAGACGTGATGTATGTGTCATGTCTAGCCCGGGGCAGAACCTGTGACTTCACGCCGCCCCACACTGAACCCATCCGGGGCCACAAACTCAACAAACTCTCCCACCGGCCCTGAGTGGAAACGAGCCGCACACCCAACCCAGCACCCCCCCCCACCTCCCCCTCTCGTCACGCGGACGAGTTGTCCCTCCCGCCGTACACTCACCCGTCACTCCGAAGCTGCACGCGTCCAGCCCCTGGGCTCCTCCGCTGGCTCCGCTCACCGTCACCTGCAGGCTCAGCTCCTCCAGGGACCAGCTGTTGGCCTGCGCCACGTACTGCCGCGTCGCCGTGATGTACGCCTCCGGCACAAACAGCCCCCCCAGCCACACGTGCAGGCTCTGACGGCGGCGCACGGTGGGGAGGGCGGGGGGGTGTAGAAGGAATCGGCCACGGTGGCGGGGGATGGCGGCCGTGTGTGTCTGTGTGTGTCTGTGTGTCGGTCTGTGTGTGTGTGCGTGTGTCGGTGTCTGTGCGTGTATCGGTGTGTGTGTGTGTCAGTGTGTGTATCGGTGTGTGTCTGTGTGGGTGTATGTCGGTGTGTGTGTGTCGGTGTGTGTGCGTGTGTCGGTGTGTGTGTGTGTATCGGTGTCTGTGCGTGTATCGGTGTGTGTGTGCGTATGTCGGTGTCTGTGTGTGTGTCAGTGTCTGTGTGTGTACGTGTACGTGTGCGCGCACCGCACCTTCAACTCCTTGGCGCCGCCCTGCGAGGCCGCGTGGGAGATTCTCTGCAGCTGCTGGATGCGCTCACTGAAGTCGGCCACCCACTGCATGACAGTCATGCTGCCCGGCGTGGTGTAGCGCGCCCAGCTGCGCGGCAGGATGCCTGCACAAAGACAAAGATCCCCCCCCCCACTCATATAGCCTTCACAGACGGTTGGGTCAAGTGCGGTTAGTGAGCAAGTGTGTGAGTGAGTGAGTGAGCGAGCGAGTGTGTGGGTGAGTGAGCGAGCGAGTGTGTGGGTGAGTGAGCGAGCAAGTGCAAGCGAGCGCACCCTTGGCGAGCTGGCTGATGATGTTGCGCAGGTAGTTGGTCTGCTTGCGGCGGCCCTCGCACACGGCCACGACGTCGCCCAGGTCCGAGCGCACGTCGTGCAGCAGCGTGGAGCCCACCTTGATCTCCCGCTCGAAGAAACGGAACAGCGGGTCCTGCACGCGCACATCACACGCACGCATCACACGCACACACATCACACGCACACACATCACACGGACATACCACACGCACACATCACACGCACACATCACACGCACACATCACACACACATCACACGCACACACATCACATGCACGCATCACACGCACACATCACAAACACACCACACGCACACATCACACGCACACATCACACGCACACATCACACGCACACATCACCCGCACACATCACCCACACACAAATCACACACACACACATCACACACATCACACACACACACACATCACACACACACACATCACACACACATCACACACACACCACAAACACATCACCCACACATCACACACATATCACACACACATCACACACACACACATCACACACACACATCACACACACATCACACACACACGAAGATCCCCCCACACCACCGTGTAGCCTACAGAGACCATTGGGGCGAGCGCTGTTGGCGAGCAGAACGCACGGCACGCAAGGGCATGGTGTGGCCAGAAGAAAAACCTCGCTTGGCCGACTTTGTAACCGCACCGGCATTGATGTTTACACACCACACCTGGTGCTCATTTAAGGCTGAGTCGACCTAGGGGAGGCCCGGGGTGATATCACACGCCACTTATATGAACCGTGGCCGGGAATCAGACTCATGTCACCGGGTTCGTAGCAGCAGCAGCGCGGGGTCTAACCGTGACGCCCCCGCTCTCCGCGACGACAGAGACGACAGCGACGACAGAGACGACAGAGATGACGGAGACGACAGAGACGACGGAGACGACAGAGACGACGGAGACGACAGAGACGACGGAGACGACAGAGACGACGGAGACGACGGAGACGACAGAGACGACGGAGACGACAGAGACGACGGAGACGACGGAGACGACAGAGACGACGGAGACGACGCACCTTGATGTTGTCGACGGTGCGTTTGAGGTGAGCCAGGCTGCTGGGCACCAGCTCGAGCCAGCCGCTCGCCGTGGAGTGCAGCGAGCGCATCCACGCGGGGCGGCCGTCCGCGCCGGGCCCCGCGGAGGCCGACCCCCGACCCTCCTCCCGGTCCTCCTCCTCCTCCTCGCCGCCCGCGCGGCCGCCGGGCGCCGCGGCCCCGAGGCCCGGGCGGGCGAGGCGCTGGGCGTCGCGCACCGCCACGTCCTCCTCGTCCTCCAGCGCCTGCATCTTGAGCAGCTTGCTCAGCATGGCGGCTCCTGTTGTGCCACGCACGCGCGGGCGTGTACACGTATGTGTGTGTGTACACGTGTGTGTGCGCGTGTACACGTGTGTGTGTGTACACGTGTGTGTGTGTACACATGTGTGTGTGTACATGTGTGTGTGCGCGTGTACACGTGTGTGTGCGCGTGTACATGTGTGTGTGCGCGTGTACACGTGTGTGTGTGTACACGTGTGTGTATGCGTGCGCGTGTACGTGCAGGTGTGTGCACGTGTGTATGCGCGTGTACGAGCAGGTGTGTACACGCGTTTGGAACGCAAGCGTGTGCGTACACAAATGGCTTGTGAGCGGGGATCATGGTGAGCGACGTCAGGGTGAGCGCTCACCCTGCGTGGTGAGCAGAACGATCTCGGCGTTGTCGGGGAGTCCGAGCCACGAGGGCACCTGCGTGTCCGGCAGCGTCTCCACCCACTGCACAAACTCCTCCCTCCTGCCCACCCGCGGGCGCACACACAGATCACATAGACACACACAGACACATAGAGATGACACACACAGACATACACAGATCACATAGACACACACACAGACACACACACACAGATCACATAGAGATGACACACACAGACACACACAGATCACATAGACACACACAGACACGCACAGATCACATAGACAGACACAGACACACACACAGACACACAGATCATACAGACACGCACAGACACACACAGACACACACAGATAGACACAGACACACACACAGATCACATAGAGATGACACACACAGACACACACAGATCACATACACACACAGACACGCACAGATATGTCTGTTAATTGTGATTATTTTTTTAATTGCTTGGTTGCACCGTGGGACCAAGAGAGAGGACTGTAATTTCATCTGTGTTGTATGTCATGCATGTAACACACTTGACAATAAAGTGACTTTAAGACTTTAAGACTTTAAGAAGATGACACACACAGACACACACAGATCACATAGACACACACAGACACGCACAGACACATAAAGATGACACACACAGACACACACAGACACACACAGACACACACAGACACACACAGATCACATAGACACACACAGACACGCACAGACACATAAAGATGGCACACACAGACACACACAGACACACACAGATCACATAGACACACACAGACATGCACAGACACACACAGATCACATAGACACACACAGACATGCACAGATCATACAGACACACACACAGATCATATAGACACATACAGACACATATATTATACAGACAACAACAATCGTCACTAAGTGGCGGTGACGTCACCACGACGCTTGTGCCAGGAAATGTGCACCTTGAGGCCACGTAAAGTGTCGAACGCCCGCTGGCAGGAGGTCACGGGACAGACCCAGGTGCCACGGGTCGACTGACTGAGATGACCGAGATGACTGGCTGATGCACCACCTGTGCCCCCTACTGTGCCAACTTGCTGTGCTTTAGCCACCCGGCGCTCCGCTCGTTGTTGTGAGCGTAGCTCCTCCACCCTCCGTTGTTGTTGGAGGGCGACTGCCTCCAACTGCCCAGTAGCGTCCTTCACGAGCCTCCTACACAGAGGCCAATCTTGACACCGCTGGTACCGGTCATCGGCAAGTCCACCTAGCTCCACGTCCTCTTGTACCACATCACTACATCTCTTCTCTAGCCTGTGCCGCGTCCGTTTAGCCCCCACGATCCGGCCGAACAAAAGCTGTTTAGGCATGCGGTGGCTGAGCATGCGGGCTACATGACCCAGCCAACGCAGCCTTGCCTGCCGGAGGAGCTCACCGATGGGGCTTTGACCAGATCTTTCAAGGATTTGTGAGCTCTTCACACAATCCAGCCTGGTTAAACCCAGGATGGATCGTAGGCAGGCCAGCCTAAATGTTTTAACCGGCGAAGATGCTCCATTAGGGGGGTCCACGTTTCGCAAGCGTAGAGAAGGGAGGGAATGACTGTGGCCGAGAAGACCTGAAGCTTCATGCGGAGCGACAGACCAGGTAGCTTCCACACAGCGTTACGCAATCGATGAAACAATATTGCCGCTCGACTGATTCGGAGTGAGACCTCTGCTGTTAAACTGGAGCCGGTCATAAGCACACTACCCAGGTATGGGAAACTCTCCACTCTCTCCACAACTGCCCCATCACCGATTGGGACACACACAGACACACACAGACACACATAGATCATACAGACATCCACAAACACACAGACACATACATATGACACCCACAAACACATACAGACAGACACCCACAGACACCCACAGACGACACCCACAGATACGTCGCCGCACGCTCAGCCTGGACGCCTGAGGGCCACGGGTGACGCTGACACCGCGTCTCCGTGACCGGGCACGGCCACCCACGAATGGCCGAGGGCCGTTCCAGCACGGCGTGAAATCCGTCTCCCCACGCTGCGAGCCACGCGGCTCCGTGGGTTTCCCCTCCCCTCCAGGGCCATAGGGGAGTGATCGTAAATAAATGTCGAGGAGTTATGAGCTTCAAGAGAGGGCGCGTCGGGGGTTCGGTTTGACCCCAGTGGTTTTTCCAACCTTTCTGAACCGGCTGTGGCCGTCGACCCTCAACAACTTCACGCGGACGACCGAACGAACACCAAAAGAGTGTTTTTGTTTTTTCTAAATTGACAACTCTTCCAGCGCTGTGCAATGTTTCTATTATAAACGATTAAGCTGATTTCCATAGAGCCGCGCTCTTCTTGAAGTTCACAGTTGTGCGACACGGGAGGTAACGGCTACGGTGCGTTGCGTGAAAAATCTATTTTATTTTTATTTTACTTTTGACTTTTTTTATTTTACTTTTGACTGCAACAAGTTCCGCGCGACCGCCACTTGGGAGCCACTTGTTCCGTCCGTCCCAAGCTAACGCTGCTTGGCGACCTGAATCTGGGGGCACCACGGTGGCTATGAGATGTTAACTACCTTGCCCGGTCTACAGGAGGTCGCGGGTTCGATCCCGACCCTGACGCCTGCTGTATATTTGGAGGTTGCGGTGTCTCTCTCTCCCCGTGTTCGTGTGGATTTTTCCCCGGATCCTCCGATTTTTCCTTCCACGTTTAGAATCGACGTCACGCGTTTGGAGCAGCCGTGTCCAACTCAATTAGACAGCGGTGCCGGTTTGTATTCAAATGCAACCTCCCACGGGCCATTACAGTTGAGCCTATGAAAATTAAAACCATAATAACACGGTATTAATCTATGGGAACCTCATTTGCCAGTAAAAATATGATAATTGGTTTTTTACCCTTCTATCTGGCAACAAAACAGTTTTGTTGCCAGATAGAAGGGTAAAAAACCAATTATATTTTTACTGGCAAATGAGGTTCCCATAGTGTACATGCTTGCCCCGAGCTCTCATACTCTGATGGTGCATTGTCTTTGAGTTGTGTGCCTTTTGGCGTCATCTGGTCCAACCCATGTGAGACTAGGCTCTAAGGAAAGCTGTCTCGGGTGTGGACCAATCAACTTCAAGGACAGTACACATTATCAGAGTTATGTTCTTTTGTTTGTATTATGACTGCATGTATTGTGGTCTATGCAAATGAAGTACCGGTGAAGACACTTGACGCCGAGGTTGAGGCACACGTATATTTATTTAACACAACTCGTTCGTGGCATACAGCACTGGAGGGGGTATCGGCCCCCTCACCCGACTAGCTAAGGATACACTTCCTAGCTAATCCTAGCCTGCCTCTTAGTCCTCCACTAATGGGCTAGGGGAGGCTGTCTGGCCCGACACTGGTAAGTCGGGCCCGGTACCCGGAGTCCCAGACCAGCTCTTACAAGAGCACCGGCTCTGGCTCTCGGGACCACGCCGCTGGCTCAGTCCTGTTCGGCCCTGATAAGGACATCGAACGAGGGGAGTCCAGGGCTCTGTCTAAGACGTCTTCAGTCTTCTCTGGTTAGCTTTTAACATAACTGACTCGAGCCCTTATAACATCCCCTTTTATACCCAACCCCTCCTTGAGGGGTGGGGCCCCGGGGGATCATAACGCCGAACCAGCCCCCCCCAGGGTGTCTGGCTCGGACGTCGCAGAGGGCATCTCCCCGTGCACACACGTAGCCCCGCCCACTGTGTTTGTTTCCCATAGACTGCCATGCATAACGGGCCCTCTCTTTAACACCCCTACATCACCCCCCCCCCGCATAGCTCGCAGCCGTCCCGGCTGCCAACATACAAAATGACAATAAAAATGAATTTATACCGTAATCGCGCGTGTGCCTCACTAATTTTCAACAATAACAAGAACGGCAACAAGAACACAACAAAATGCAACAGCAAGAAGAGAAAACAACCCGACGCACCCCCCCTTGAATAAATACGAATTCCGTAAAAAAAAACAACCTATATACAATTTGCAGGGAACCCACCATACACACAACACCAGGTGAACCCAACGTATGTACATTTCAATGGGCAGGGAACACACCACCCACACAACACACAATGAACACAACCTATATACACATCTTCCGGCCTCATAACAGTCTGCGCATTTTTGCGCGCGTCCTTGCAGCGGGCCCCTCACACGGGGTAACCCCGGGTGGCGGACCGTCAGGTGGCAATTGTCCGTCCTGGAGTGAAACCTCCTCCGATGCCGCGTGACCGTTGGTATCCACAGAAGGGGTGGTCGGGCGTGAGCCCGTCAGTCTTGATGCACCGGTTTATGATGGTGGAGCTTGAGATGAGGCCCGTCGTCCCGGTGAGGTGTCGTCCCGCGCTGACGAGGAGAGCGGCACCCCGAGGCGACGTGGCCCCGGACGCCGCAGTTAAAACACCGCGGGAGCGGCGTCGGAGGTGACGGATGGTTGGAACGGCCCGACCCGTCCTGGCCCGGCCGTGCTCCCGTCGCCTGTTGCCATCGGTGGTCGACGGCGTAGAGTTCCTCCGTCGGAAGGGTGGCTGCAGCCACCGCACGCCCCGCCGATGCCCTGCTGGCTTTTCGCCGGAGCGACAGGAGGTTGGCGTGGAGGAGCCTTGCCGCCTGGAGCGATGTCATCTCTGCGTCCTCCTGCGCGACCACAGCGATGTCAAGGTCGTCTGCCAGGAGGAGTATTTTCTCCGTCACCATAGCGTCGATGCCGTCGTCGTCCATACGGGGGAAGGCCGACTTGGCCATCGCCAGGAGGCTCGTTCGATACGCTAGGGGCGACTCCTTCTCACCCCGCTTGCGGTCGTAGAATTGCTGTCTGCATTCAGCCGATGGTCCATAGACCCCTCCCAGCAGCTGCAGCGCCATCGGTAACGTCGACCGCCTCTCTCTTGGCGCCGATGTGAGGGCGGCGAGCGCGTCGCCGTCGAGGAGCGCCGGCAGCGCGCAGAGAGCCTCCTCATCGGACCACCTCGCCATCTCCTGATGGGCGAGGAAACGTCTGCGAAAACCGGCCCAGTCCCCCTCCGCGCCGACGAACTCCTTCAGCGGGGGCAGCCTCTGATGGAGCGCAGCGGTCGTTGTAGATTCCCGCGGGCAGATGTCACCCCCACTCGGCTGTGCGTCGGTGCGAGCGGCCGATGGGATCGCCTGTCGTGGTTGTGATGACGTCGCAACTTCAGCGACGGCGATGTCGGAGCGGATGTGCAGGCTGGCCACGCCCCGAACAGCTGCAGCGTCGATGGCGGGAGTTTCAAACTCGGACTGCTCCGAAATGGCGGGAAGGCGCCCTGGCCGTTGGCCCGCCTCGCCCCGTGATGGATCACCGGCCCCCAACCGCGTGATGGTCTCCAGCGTGGCGGCAGCGGCATACAGCAGCTCCGCCAGCCTCCCGTGAGCCAGCCGCAACGCGTCTGGCTGTGGTCCTTCTTCACTCAGATGCCCCGGTAAGGAGGCATCAGGCCCCGGCTGCACCATGTCTTGTGTAGCCGTCTCGGGCTCGACGATCTCGGCAGTATCTTCCTCCTGCGGTACTTTGGCCCGCGCTGTCTTCCGCGTGTCCATGTTCGAATTACTTCTGACACCAGTTGAAGTACCGGTGAAGACACTTGACGCCGAGGTTGAGGCACACGTATATTTATTTAACACAACTCGTTCGTGGCATACAGCACTGGAGGGGGTATCAGCCCCCTCACCCGACTAGCTAAGGATACACTTCCTAGCTAATCCTAGCCTGCCTCTTAGTCCTCCACTAATGGGCTAGGGGAGGCTGTCTGGCCCGACACTGGTAAGTCGGGCCCGGTACCCGGAGTCCCAGACCAGCTCTTACAAGAGCACCGGCTCTGACTCTCGGGACCACGCCGCTGGCTCAGTCCTGTTCGGCCCTGATAAGGACATCGAACGAGGGGAGTCCAGGGCTCTGTCTAAGACGTCTTCAGTCTTCTCTGGTTAGCTTTTAACATAACTGACTCGAGCCCTTATAACATCCCCTTTTATACCCAACTCCTCCTTGAGGGGTGGGGCCCCGGGGGATCATAACGCCGAACCAGCCCCCCCCAGGGTGTCTGGCTCGGACGTCGCAGAGGGCATCTCCCCGTGCACACACGTAGCCCCGCCCACTGTGTTTGTTTCCCATAGACTGCCATGCATAACGGGCCCTCTCTTTAACACCCCTACACAAACATGACTCCTTGTAAAAAGGTGTCAGTTTTGTTGCCAGATAGAAGGGTAAAAAGCCAATTATCACGGTATTAATCTACCGATACAAAATCCCAAAGTGCAGGAAAAGAGAGTTGATAATATTTTTTTTCAGCAGGACAAGCCAAATCCCCCGTTTCAATGTTCGGTTTAAATTCAGGTTGACTTTCGGGTAGACGTAAAAGAAAAACTAAATTACATAAATAAGTCGTTAGAATGTAAACACGTGGTGGGCAGGAGGAAGGGGCTTGGGGGGCCGGGTCCGACCTGCGGTCTATGTTTGACAGCCCTGGTTTAGAGCATTTGGCTGCGACTATAAATTTCCACGCGAGTGGAGCCGAATCTTCTCACCGGATGCCGTCCGGCATGAGGATGTCGCGCGTGGAGCCGTCGCTGGCGCCTTGGACGAGGCGGAAGTTGCGGTCGAAGCTGGCCGGAGTGAAGATTCGCTCGAGGAAGGTGTTGAGCAGCCGCTGGTCGAACTCGTTGTCGATGCGGCCGCCGTAGATGGACTGCGACATGAGGGTCTTGAGTGCCGCCCACGGCACCTTCTCCGGAGAGATGTTCTGACGGCCCTGGGGTCATCAATGTCATCGTCGTCATCACCAGGGTCTTCGTCACAAGCAACATCGCGATCGTCGTCGTCAGGGTGATGATGATGTGCCCGCCACAACCAACCCCAATAACGCCGCGTGTTGTTTTCATAACGTGAACTGGAGGTATAACGCGATGATGAATGTATTAGGGAGCACATTTTTTGTAAAACGCGGATGCGAATTGGATATAACGCGATCGAGCAAGCGGAACGACGTCGCGCGTGAGTCGGAATAAGCGGTCGTACGGCTGCCTGGGTGTAGCATCGTCGTGCGAGGCAGTGGGATGCTGCCGGATGCCGCCCTACACGCGGCTCAGTCTCTGTTCGGCCTGCGTACGCACCTCGCGCGTTATCGAGGACTGCGCTTTGGCCCCCACACGAAATATTAATTATTAATTTTTCCGTCACGCGGCGTCCTTCAGGAACGCAACTCCCGCCGCCGCCGCGTCACAGGAGCACGATGCTGCATCACATCGGACACCGTGACGTCGAAGCGCCGGGGCCCTGGGCAGTCGCCCCGATTCGCCGTGCACCCTACGGACGGCTCCGCTCCTACGTCTGGGTGCCCCCCCCCACCCACGCCCCCGCTCCCCCCCACCCACCCGCTCTCCCCCCCCCCCGTGCACCTTGGTGGCGTCGTCGAGCCAGGTGTCGACGGTGTCGTACGCGGAGCGGAGGTCCGACTCGCTGAACTCGTAGCGCTTGGCCCAGCCGAGCGGCACATAGCGCAGGCGCTCCTGCACCACGGCGTGGAACCACGCGATCAGGAAGTACAGGCGGGCCCGCTCGCTCGGGGCCTGGGAAGCGGGGAGAGACACGGGGGGAGAGACACGCGGGGAGTGACACGGGGGGAGAGACACGGGGGGAGAGACACGGGGGGAGGGACACGGGGAGAGGGACACGCGGGGAGGGACAGACGGGGAGAGACACGGGGGGAGGGACACGTGGGGAGGGACACGCGAGGAGAGACACGGGGGGAGAGACACGGGGGGGAGAGACACGTGGGGAGAGACACGGGGGGGAGAGACACGGGGGGAGGGACATGCGGGGAGGGACACGCGGGGAGGGACACGCGGGGAGGGACACGCGGGGAGGGACACACGGGGAGACACACGCGGGGAGAGACACGGGGGGAGGGACACGGGGGGAGGGACACGTGGGGAGGGACACGCGGGGAGGGACACGTGGGGAGGGACACGCGGGGAGAGACACGGGGGGAGAGACACGCGGGGAGAGACACGGGGGGAGGGACACGGGAGGAGGGACACGGGGGAAAGGCAAAGGGAGACATGGGGAGAGGCATGGTGGAGGTACACGGGCAGACGCAGGAGAATCAGGCAGGCATGGGGGGGAGACACAGGAGAGACACGGGAGGGATGTGAGAGGCATGGAAAACAAACACGAGGAGATACATGGGGCAGAGGTATGTGGAGACACGGTGGAAGGCAGACACACAGGAGAGAGGTGAGCGAGTTAGTTGATCGATTTAACATCTCCGCTATTATATATACACACATTTGAGCCATGTTGTATTTAGCATTGCCATTATGACGACATGACCCTCTCCAACCAATCAAAATGCACGGTGCTTGCATGTCTGCACGCACCATCTGTGCTGTGTGCTGCTGCGCATGTGTCTGCGTGTGTCTGCATCTGCTGCGTATGCATGTCATGCGTGTGTCATGTGTGTGTCATGCGTGTGTTTGCGTGTGCTGCCTTCGCTGTGTAAACATCGGCACTGGAAAAAAAGAGGTGGCCGGGCGTGGTGCTGCCCGTGCCGGGTTGGCCTTCATCGGCGCTTGCTAACAGCGCTTGCCCCAAAAGCTTGCGCCGGTTTCCGTTGTGGTTTGCTGACCCCGTGCCCCTACTGGGCATCTGTGAAGAAGAGCTTCATAGCTCGTCGGATTTCTCCACGATAAATAAATAATCTGATTATTCTTTCTTTCTATTATTATTACGTATGCTTGTTTACCCAAGTAAGCCTCGCCGAGTCTTCTAAGGGGGGTCCTGCCAAGTTTTTCGCAGCAGCAGGAGGAGGGGGTGGTGGGGGGCGGCGATGATTGCTCGCAGTATAACTTTGGCGGTGTAAGTTGTTGCATTTGGTCAACGAAGCGTCCGTCGGGTGGTCTACGCGGTCCATGCCGTGGGGGTCGTGGGGGAGATCGTGGGAGGGGGGGGGGGGGGTGCCGCCGCGTCTCACCCTGCACATGCGCGCCGCGGGGATGCTGCTGAACGTGCGCATCATGTTGGCCTTGACGCCCGGCGGAGGCTCGAACACGAAGATCCGCCCGGCGCGGAGCAGGTTCACGGGCACCTGCGCGGCACGGCGACGGGAGCCGCGTGACGACGAGCAGCGACGAGGGCTTCAGAATAGAGAAACTAGAAACTAGAAACGACTTTGTACTTTAGCAGGCCAGGGCCCACTGAGCTGCGTGGCTCTTCTTCAGAAGCGACCTGCCCATCACAAATGACGGCTCAACCAAGTGGCTTGTCGTCGTCACGTGGACGTTTATAGCAGCAGGCAAATACTCTAAACGCGTGACGTTGATTCTAAATGTGGAGGAGGAAAACCGGAGGACACGGAGAAAAATCCACGCGACCACGTGGAGAGAGACACCACAAACTACAAATATACAGCAGCAGCAGGCGTCAGGATCAGGATCGAACCCACGACCTCCTGCGTACCAGGCGAGGTCGTTAACATGTGTGCTCCTAGCCACCGTGGCCCCCCATAATGGCGGCGTCATGAAGATGTGTGTGATGTGTGTGCTGTGTGTGCTGCGTGTGTGCTGTGTGTGCTGTGTGTGCAGTGTGTGTATGTGTGCTGTGTGTGCTGTGTGTGTTGTGTGTGCTGTGTGTGGCTGTCTGCTGCGTGTGTTGTGTGTGCTGTGTGTGTTGTGTATGCTGTGTGTGTGTGTGTGCTGCGTGTTGTGTGTGTGCTGTGTGTGTTGTGTGTGCTGCCTGTGCTGTGTGTGTGCTGCGTGTGCTGCGTGTGTTGTGTGTGCTGTGTGTGCTGTGTGTGTGTGCTGTGTGTGTTGTGTGTGCTGTGTGTGTGTGTGCTGTGTGTGTGTGTGTGCTGTGTGTGTTGTGTGTGTGTGATGTGTGTGCTGTGTGTGCTGCATGTGCTGCGTGTGTGTTGCGCGTGCTGTGTGTGCGGCGTCATGAAGATGTGTGTGCTGCGTGTACTGTGTGTGCTGTGTGTACTGTGTGTACTGTGTGTGTGCTGTGTGTGCTGTGTGTGTGCTGTGTGTGCTGTGTGTGTGCTGCGTGTACTGTGTGTACTGTGTGTACTGTGTGCTGTGTGTGCTGTGTGTGTGCTGCGTGTGCTGCGTGTGCTCTGTGTGTGCTGCACAGGCTGCGTGTGCTGCGTGTGCTGTGTGTGCTGCGTGTGTGCTGTGTGTGCTGTGTGTGCTGCGTGTGTGCTGTGTGTGCTGTGTGTGCTGCGTGTGCTCTGTGTGTGCTGCACAGGCTGTGTGTGCTGTGTGTACTGTGTGTGTGCTGCATTTGTGCTGTGTGTGCTGTGTGTGCTGTGCGTGCTGCGTGTGTGCTGTGTGTGTTGTGTGTGCTGTGTGTGCGGCACAGGCTGTGTGTGTTGTGTGTGCTGTGTGTGCGGCACAGGCTGTGTGTGTTGTGTGTACTGTGTGTGTGTGTGCTGCCTTGGGGTTGATCTCCATGGTGAGGAAGAGCCTGAAGCCGGTGTGCGGCTGCAGGGAGTGCAGCTTCTTCTCCAGCTGCATGAGCCAGCCCGGAGCGAGGTGAGCGTTCTTCAGCATCACCCACCTACAGCCACACACCACTCATCAGCACTCATCAACACTCATCACCACTCATCACCACTCATCAACACTCATCACCACTCATCAACACTCATCACCACTCATCACCACTCATCACCACTCATCAGCACTCATCACCACTCATCAGCACTCATCACCACTCATCACCACTCATCAGCACTCATCACCACTCATCACCACTCATCACCACTCATCAACACTCATCAGCACTCATCAACACTCATCAACACTCATCAGCACTCCACAACACTCATCAACACTCATCAGCACTCATCAGCACTCATCAACACTCATCACCACTCCTCAACACTCATCAGCACTCATCAACACTCATCACCACTCATCACCACTCATCAACACTCATCAGCACTCATCACCACTCATCAGCACTCATCAGCACTCATCATCCACTCATCACCACTCATCACCACTCATCACCACTCATCAACACTCATTAACACTCATCACCACTCATCAACACTCATCACCACTCATCAACACTCATCACCACTCATCAACACTCATCACCACTCACCACCACTCATCAACACTCATCAACACTCATCACCACTCATCAACACTCAACAACACTCATCAACACTCATCAACACTCATCACCACTCATCAACACTCATCACCACTCATCAACACTCATCACCACTCATCAACACTCATCACCACTCATCAACACTCATCACCACTCATCAACACTCATCACCACTCATCAACACTCATCACCACTCATCAACACTCATCAACACTCATCACCACTCATCAACACTCATCAACACTCATCACCACTCATTAACACTCATCAACACTCATCACCACTCCACAACACTCATCACCACTCATCACCACTTCACAACACTCATCACCACTCATCACCACTCCACAACACTCATCACCACTCATCATCACTCCACAACACTCATCAACACTCATCACCACTCATCACCACTCATCACCACTCATCAGCACTCATCAACACTCATCACCACTCATCACCACTCATCAACACTCATCACCACTCATCACCACTCATCACCACTCATCACCACTCATCACCACTCATCAACACTCATCACCACTCATCAACACTCATCACCACTCATCAACACTCATCACCACTCATCACCACTCATCAACACACACAACACTCATCACCACTCATCAACACTCATCACCACTCATCAACACTCATCACCACTCATCAACACTCATCAACACTCATCAGCACTCCACAACACTCATCACCACTCATCACCACTCATCACCACTCATCAACACTCATCACCACTCATCACCACTCATCACCACTCATCAGCACTCATCAACACTCATCACCACTCATCACCACTCATAAACACTCATCACCACTCATCACCACTCATCACCACTCATCAACACTCATCACCACTCATCACCACTCATCAACACTCATCACCACTCATCACCACTCCACAACACTCATCACGACTCATCACCACTCATCACCACTCATCAACACTCATCACCACTCATCAACACTCATCAACACTCATCAACACTCATCAACACTCATCACCACTCACAACACTCATCACCACTCCACAACACTCATCACCACTCATCACCACTCATCAACACTCATCACCACTCATCACCACTCATCACCACTCATCAACACTCCACAACACTCATCACCACTCATCAACACTCATCAACACTCATCACCACTCCACAACACTCATCACCACTCATCACCACTCATCACCACTCATCACCACTCATCAACACTCATCACCACTCATCACCACTCATCAACACTCATCAACACTCATCACCACTCATCAACACTCATCACCACTCATCAACACTCATCACCACTCATCAACACTCATCACCACTCCACAACACTCATCACCACTCATCAACACTCATCACCACTCATTAACACTCATCACCACTCATCAACACTCATCAACACTCATCACCACTCATCACCACTCAACAACACTCATCAACACTCATCACCACTCATCAACACTCATCACCACTCATCAACACTCATCACCACTCATCAACACTCATCACCACTCATCAACACTCATCACCACTCATCAACACTCATCACCACTCATCAACACTCATCAACACTCATCAACACTCATCAACACTCATCACCACTCATCAACACTCATCAACACTCATCACCACTCATTAACACTCATCACCACTCCACAACACTCATCACCACTCATCACCACTTCACAACACTCATCACCACTCATCACCACTCCACAACACTCATCACAACTCATCACCAATCATCACCTCTCATCAACACTCATCACCACTCATCAACACTCATCAACACTCATCAACACTCATCAACACTCATCAACACTCCACAACACTCATCACCACTCCACAACACTCATCACCACTCATCACCACTCATCAACACTCATCACCACTCATCACCACTCATCACCACTCATCAACACTCATCACCACTCATCACCACTCCACAACACTCATCACCACTCCACAACACTCATCACCACTCATCAACACTCATCACCACTCATCACCACTCATCAACACTCATCAACACTCATCACCACTCATCAACACTCATCACCACTCATCAACACTCATCACCACTCATCAACACTCATCACCACTCCACAACACTCATCACCACTCATCAACACTCATCACCACTCATCAACACTCATCAACACTCATCACCACTCATCAACACTCATCAACACTCATCACCACTCATCAACACTCATCACCACTCATCAACACTCATCAACACTCATCAACACTCATCACCACTCATCAACACTCATCACCACTCATCACCACTCATCAACACTCATCACCACTCATCAACACTCATCAACACTCATCAACACTCATCAACACTCATCACCACTCATCACCACTCATCAACACTCATCAACACTCAACAACACCCATCAACACTCATCAACACTCATCACCACTCATCAACACTCATCACCACTCATCAACACTCATCACCACTCATCAACACTCATCACCACTCATCAACACTCATCACCACTCATCACCACTCATCACCACTCATCAACACTCATCAACACTCCACAACACTCATCACCACTCATCAACACTCATCAACACTCATCACCACTCCACAACACTCATCACCACTCATCAACACTCATCACCACTCATCACCACTCATCACCACTCATCACCACTCATCAACACTCATCACCACTCATCACCACTCATCAACACTCATCAACACTCATCACCACTCATCAACACTCATCACCACTCATCAACACTCATCACCACTCATCAACACTCATCACCACTCCACAACACTCATCACCACTCATCACCACTCATCACCCCTCATCACCACTCATCAACACTCATCAACACTCATCACCACTCATCACCACTCATCAACACTCATCAACACTCAACAACACTCATCAACACTCATCAACACTCATCACCACTCATCAACACTCATCACCACTCATCAACACTCATCACCACTCATCAACACTCATCACACTCATCACCACTCATCACCACTCATCACCACTCATCAACACTCATGAACCAACTCATCACCACTCATCAACACTCATCAACACTCATCACCACTCATCAACACTCATCAACACTCATCAACCACTCATCACCACTCATCAACACTCATCACCACTCCACAACACTCATCACCACTCATCACCACTTCACAACACTCATCACCACTCATCACCACTCCACAACACTCATCACCACTCATCATCACTCCACAACACTCATCAACACTCATCACCACTCATCACCACTCATCAACACTCATCACCACTCATCACCACTCATCACCACTCATCACCACTCATCACCACTCATCACCACTCATCACCACTCATCACCACTCATCACCACTCATCAACACTCATCACCACTCATCAACACTCATCAACACTCATCAACACTCATCAGCACTCCACAACACTCATCACCACTCATCACCACTCATCAACACTCATCAACACTCATCAACACTCATCAACACTCATCAACACTCCACAACACTCATCACCACTCATCAACACTCATCAACACTCATCACCACTCATCAACACTCATCACCACTCATCAACACTCATCAACACTCATCAACACTCATCAGCACTCCACAACACTCATCACCACTCATCACCACTCATCACCACTCATCAACACTCATCAACACTCATCAACACTCATCAGCACTCCACAACACTCATCACCACTCATCACCACTCATCAACACTCATCACCACTCATCAACACTCATCAACACTCATCAACACTCATCACCACTCATCAACACTCATCACCACTCATCACCACTCATCACCACTCATCAGCACTCATCAACACTCATCACCACTCATCACCACTCATCAACACTCATCACCACTCATCACCACTCATCAGCACTCATCAACACTCATCACCACTCATCACCACTCATCAACACTCATCACCACTCATCACCACTCCACAACACTCATCACCACTCATCACCACTCATCACCACTCATCAACACTCATCACCACTCATCAACACTCATCAACACTCATCAACACTCATCACCAATCATCACCACTCCACAACACTCATCACCACTCCACAACACTCATCACCACTCATCACCACTCATCACACTCATCACACTCATCACCACTCATCACCACTCATCAACACTCCACAACACTCATCACCACTCATCAACACTCATCAACACTCATCACCACTCCACAACACTCATCACCACTCATCAACACTCATCACCACTCATCACCACTCATCACCACTCATCAACACTCATCACCACTCATCAACACTCATCACCACTCATCACCACTCATCACCACTCATCAACACTCATCACCACTCATCAACACTCATCACCACTCATCACCACTCATCAACACTCATCAACACTCATCACCACTCATCAACACTCATCACCACTCATCAACACTCATCACCACTCATCAACACTCATCACCACTCCACAACACTCATCACCACTCATCAACACTCATCACCACTCATTAACACTCATCACCACTCATCAACACTCATCACCACTCATCACCACTCATCAACACTCATCAACACTCAACAACACTCATCAACACTCATCAACACTCATCACCACTCATCAACACTCATCACCACTCATCAACACTCATCACCACTCATCAACACTCATCACCACTCATCAACACTCATCACCACTCATCAACACTCATCACCACTCATCACCACTCATCAACACTCCACAACACTCATCACCACTCATCAACACTCATCAACACTCATCACCACTCCACAACACTCATCACCACTCATCAACACTCATCACCACTCATCACCACTCATCACCACTCATCAACACTCATCACCACTCATCAACACTCATCACCACTCATCACCACTCATCAACACTCATCAACACTCATCACCACTCATCAACACTCATCACCACTCATCAACACTCATCACCACTCATCAACACTCATCACCACTCCACAACACTCATCACCACTCATCAACACTCATCACCACTCATTAACACTCATCACCACTCATCAACACTCATCAACACTCATCACCACTCATCACCACTCATCAACACTCATCAACACTCAACAACACTCATCAACACTCATCAACACTCATCACCACTCATCAACACTCATCACCACTCATCACCACTCATCAACACTCATCACCACTCATCAACACTCATCAACACTCATCACCACTCATCAACACTCATCACCACTCATCAACACTCATCAACACTCATCACCACTCATCAACACTCATCAACACTCATCACCACTCATTAACACTCATCAACACTCATCACCACTCCACAACACTCATCACCACTTCACAACACTCATCACCACTCATCACCACTCCACAACACTCATCACCACTCATCATCACTCCACAACACTCATCACCACTCATCATCACTCCACAACACTCATCACCACTCATCACCACTCCACAACACTCATCACCACTCATCAACACTCATCACCACTCATTAACACTCATCACCTCATCACACTCATCACACTCATCAACACTCATCACATCATCACCACTCATCACCACTCATCAACACTCATCAACACTCATCACCACTCATCAACACTCATCACCACTCATCAACACTCATCACCACTCATCAACACTCATCAACACTCCACAACACTCATCAACACTCATCACCACTCATCAACACTCATCACCACTCATCAACACTCACCAACACTCATCACCACTCATCACCACTCATCAACACTCATCAACACTCCACAACACTCATCAACACTCATCAACACTCATCACCACTCATCAACACTCATCACCACTCATCAACACTCATCACCACTCATCACCACTCATCAACACTCATCACCACTCCACAACACTCATCACCACTCATCAACACTCATCACCACTCATCACCACTCCACAACACTCATCACCACTCATCATCACTCCACAACACTCATCACCACTCATCACCACTCCACAACACTCATCACCACTCATCAACACTCATCACCACTCATTAACACTCATCAACACTCATCAACACTCATCACCACTCATCACCACTCATCAACACTCATCACCACTCATCAACACTCATCACCACTCATCAACACTCATCACCACTCATCAACACTCATCAACACTCATCAACACTCATCAACACTCATCAACACTCCACAACACTCATTAACACTCATCAACACTCATCAACACTCCACAACACTCATCAACACTCCACAACACTCATCACCACTCATCAACACTCATCACCACTCATCAACACTCATCACCACTCATCAACACTCCTCCTCATGCTGTGAGCGTTTGTAAGCGTCACCCACCGAGAGTGGCACACTCACTCTCTCACCTTTAACCCCAAGAGGCACTTGGGGCAACGCATGAACCATTGATGTTGACGTTGATCAACGACCCGGTTGGATAAAGAGGAGCCAAGCTACCCTCAATTGTCCCAGTAAACACGGAACGTGACGGTGGCTATGGAGACGGTTGCTGCGTGAGTAGGGAGTGGATGATGGGGGGGATGCTAGAACGAGCGACTCGTGCGAGGCCGGGAGAGCGGAGGCTCACGGCGGAGGCTCACCGGCCGGACTTCACCGCGGAGTTGATCGCCTTCTCGGCCTGGCTGAAGCCCTCGGCCGAGCCTGTGGAAGAGCAAACGAGTCGCAGAGAGAGCGGCGCCGGAGACATTTACCGAGACCACTACGGCAGGCGACCCGTGCGTGCGTGAGTGTGCGTGCGTGTGTGTGTGCGTGTGTGCGTGAGTGTACATGAGCGATGGTGCAGTGGTTAGCGCTACGCAGCGCTGCGAACTCGGCTGCCCGGGTTCAATTCCCGTTCACGACCAACACCGGTGGCGATTATCTGAACCGGTCCTGGGCCTCCCCTAGGTCGACTCAACATCGCCACTGGGGAGACAAAGGCGGCCGGGCGTGGTGTTGGCCACCCACCCCTTCGTGTGCCACAGTGCCGGCTTTCATTGGTGCTTGCTAACAGCACTTGCCCCAACAGTCTGTTAACGCTACATGGGGGATCTTTGTCTTTGTGTCTCTGTGTGTTTCACATTTTGGGCCGAGTGGCGAATCAGAGGCTCATGGTTCGAATTCAGTAGGCCACCCAGGTTAACACTACGAGTGAACAGTATAAATACAGGCCTCACAGCGGACATTATAGATCCCAAGACGTCATCCGTGGGCTCGTATGTGCCGGCATTCACGTCAATTGGGATTACACGTAGCAACAACATCGCCACCTAGTGAGTCACCTTGTGCCGCACAGGGACAGCTGCCACTGGGGGGTCCCCTTCCAATGTTTACAATGAGATGTCGTGCGAGGTGATACTGAGTTGCTGTGGCATATCAGTAAGTGCCATGTAAATGCAAAGATGATGCTGATGATGATAACAATGACGACGGTGATGCCGATGATGATGACGATGATGATGACAATGACGATGATGATGACGATGACGACAATGACGACGACAATTATGACGACGATGATGATGATAATGACAACGATGATGACGACGATGATGGATGATAATGACGACGACGACAATGACGACAACAATTATGACGACGACGATGATGATAATGACAACGACGATGATTGATGATGATGACGATGACGACAATGACGACGACAATTATGACGACGACAATGACCATGATGATGACGACGACGATGTTGACAATGACGACAACGATGACGACGACGATTATGACGACGACGATGATGAGAATGACGACGACGATGACGATGTTGACGACGATGACGATGCTGCTGCTGCCCCCACCAATGGCGATGGCGGTGAGGAACTTGTTCTGCTCCGTGGCCAGGTCCTCCACCCTGCCGCTGGCGTCGTACCCAGGCACGGAGCACATGAGCACGGGCGTCCCGGGGCGAACCTTGAGAGGGCCACGGAGGGGGGGGGGGGGAAGCGACGAGCCGTCCCGAGTCACATCGCGGGATGGAGAAGCCGAGGGCAGCGGTTGTATGGATGTTGAATTATTTTGCACCGTACGTGGCCAACCGTGGCCATCGGCAGTGCGGGGGAAGGACATCAAACTAAACACAAACATATGTTCTAAAGGAAATGAGTTTGCAATCTAGACGATGATGATTTAAAAGTGCATAGCTCCAGTGGCTTCCTACTATCGAAAGAAAGAGCGTTCCAGACGGCCACATAAGAGCATCTGAAAGCGCACGATGCGGTGACCCTCTTTGTTTGATGGTTAGCCAAAAGCCACTGCGAGGATGACCGGAGTTTGCATGATGGTTATGCTCCTTGTTGAGATCAACAAGGTATTGTGGTTTATTTGTGGCAAGAACATTGTGTGTAATGAGTGCAATCTTATAGTAAACTAAACTATTTTTATTATACCAGGTAAGGCCCACTGAGCTACACAGATCTTTTTCAGAATGTGGAGAGAAACCCACAGGACCACAGGGAGAGAGACAGAGACATGCAAACTCCAAAAATACAGCAGGCATCTGGGTCGGGATGGAACCCACGACCTCCTGCACAACAGGCGAGGTAGTTAACATCTCCTAGCCACCGTGGCGCCCTTGGCCCAAGTTCCCTCTGCTTCGTCAGTGTTCTTGCGGCGGTGGTGTTATCAACGTTCCGCTTGTTTAGCCAGGCAAGCCTGGCCGAGTCTCGCGAGTCGCCCTTGATGACGGTGCGGGGCCCGACAGCAGCAGGCCCGAGTTGGGACAATGGGCGCGCGCGTTCCGAAGCCGCGTCGGTGTCCGCTACCTCGTTGTCGACGATGGCCGCCAGGTCCATCTCCTGGTCGAGGCCGCTCATGAAGCCGTCGGCCAGAACGCACGACACGAGGGCGTGGGCCGCCGCCAGCAGCCGGTCGGGGCGCAGCGCCTGCACGCTCAGCAGGCGCATCAACGCCACCCCCACGGGGGCTACACAGGGGGGGGGCACACACCATCATCATCACCGCCATCATCACCATCAACATCATCTCCACCATCACCATCATCATCGCCACCATCATCCTCTCTACCATCATCACCATCAACATCACCACCACCATCAACATCGCCACCACCATCAATATCGCCACCACCATCACCACCACCATCAACACCTATAACTATCACCACCATAACCACCATCACCACCGCCACCATCAACATCACCACCACCATCAACATCGCCACCACCATCACCACCACCACCACCAACGCCACCCTCCCACTGGGGGTACACGATGGGGGCAACAACACCATCACCACCACCATCAACATCTATAACTATCACCACCATCACCACCATCACCACCGCCACCATCAACATCATCATCTTCATCACTACCACCAGCGACACCATAACTGCAGTGTAGTGTGGCTGGCTGGGGTGGTCTGGCTGGCTGTGGTGGTGTGGTGTGGGGTGGTGTGGCTGACTGTGGTGGTGTGAGGTGGTGTGGATGACTGTGGTAGTGCGGTGTGATGTGGCTGGCTGTGGTGGTGCGGTGTGGTGCGGTGTGGGGTGATGTGGCTGTCTGGGGTGGTGTGGCTGGCTGGGGTGGTGGGGTGTGGGGTGGTGTGGCTGACTGGGGTGGTGCGGTGTGGGGTGATGTGGCTGGATGTGGTGGTGTGGGGTGGTGTGGCTGGCTGGGGTGGTGGGGTGTGGGGTGGTGTGGCTGTCTGGGGTGGTGTGGCTGACTGTGGTAGTGCGGTGTGGTGCGGTGTGGCTGGCTGTGGTGGTGCGGTGCGCTGTTGGGTCTCCGTGTGGCGGCGCCGCGTCTCACTCAGTGGCTTCTCCTCGCTCCACAGGGGCGGCACGCACAGCTCTGGGGAGCCACTCTCCAGCCACCTCTGGAAATCCTGCAACAGACGCCAGCCCACAGCACACCACACAAACAATCTCAACCACACCACACAAACAATCCCATCCACACCACACAAACAATCCCAACCACACCACACAAACAATCCCATCCACACCACACAAACAATCCCAACCACACCACACAAACAATCTCAATCACACGACACAAACAATCTCAACCACACCACACAAACAATCTCATCCATACCACACAAACAATCCCAACCACACCACACAAACAATCCCAACCACACCACACAAACAATCTCAACCACACCACACAAACAATCCCAACCACACCACACAAACAATCCCAACCACACCACACAAACAATCCCATCCACACCACACAAACAATCCCAACCACACCACACAAACAATCCCATCCACACCACACAAACAATCCCAACTACACCACACAAACAATCCCATCCACACCACACAAACAATCCCATCCACACCACACAAACAATCCCATCCACACCACACAAACAATCCCAACCACACCACACAAACAATCCCATCCACACCACACAAACAATCCCAACCACACCACACAAACAATCTCAATCACACCACACAAACAATCCCATCCACACCACACAAACAATCCCATCCACACCACACAAACAATCCCAACCACACCACACAAACAATCCCATCCACACCACACAAACAATCCCATCCACACCACACAAACAATCCCAACCACACCACACAAACAATCCCATCCACACCACACAAACAATCCCAACTACACCACACAAACAATCCCATCCACACCACACAAACAATCCCATCCACACCACACAAACAATCCCATCCACACCACACAAACAATCCCAACCACACAACAAACAATCCCATCCACACCACACAAACAATCCCAACCACACCACACAAACAATCTCAATCACACCACACAAACAATCCCATCCACACCACACAAACAATCCCATCCACACCACACAAACAATCCCAACCACACCACACAAACAATCCCATCCACACCACACAAACAATCCCATCCACACCACACAAACAATCCCAACCACACCACACAAACAATCCCATCCACACCACACAAACAATCCCATCCACACCACACGTACAATCCCATCCACACCACACGTACAATCCCATCGACACCACACAAACAATCCCAACCACACCACACAAACAATCCCATCCACACCACACAAACAATCCCATCCACACCACACGTACAATCTCAATCACACCAAACAAACAATCCCAACCACACCACACAAACAATCCCAACCACACCACACAAACAATCCCAACCACACAAACAATCCCAACCACACCACACAAACAATCTCAATCACACCACACAAACAATCCCAACCACACAAACAATCCCAACCACACCACACAAACAATCTCAATCACACCACACAAACAATCCCAACCACACAAACAATCCCAACCACACCACACAAACAATCCCATAACGCAGAAACGCACCAGCGCAGTAGCAGCAAAGAATAATGAATTAAAGTTGTACGACGATATAATATTATATATATCCATACACCCTTGGCTCTTTGCGGAACTCGTGGGTACTCTGTTCCAGGTTGGCCACCCCTGCAGCAGATTGTCGAATCCCAACTTGATGGCCGCGTGCCGAATCGGCTTTCACGCCGGCCCCCCCCCCCCGGCCACGCACCTTGTTGGCCTGCGTGCGCGCGACGACGTCCCGGAATGCCGGCAGCCGGGCCAGGCGAGCGGTGGCCTCGGCCTGATCCGACGTGAGGCCTGGCACCTTGGCGAGGGCCAGGCCGCTCACGGCGGCCTGGCCCACTCCTCCGAGAGCCACGACGGCCTCTTTGCCCCGCAGGAAGTGCTGGAACTCGGCGTCGTACGACGGCTCGCTGCCGGGGGGGTGGGGGGGGGGGGGCGGAGTGGATGGGGGGCCGCGTGGCCGTCAGGGGTCTCCCTCCGTCCCGAGCCGGTTGTGGTGTCGGATCGCGTAAAAGAGTAACGGAGTCGTCTCTCGCTGGCGACGCTGGCGGAGGAATGGCCTCCACTCGACGGAGCTCTACAAAAACCCCCCCCCCCCACCGCCAAGAGGGAATTTGTTGTTGTTGTCGTTGTTGTCATCGTTGTTGTTGTCGTCTTGGAAGGAGTGGGAGTTAGCCACCCTTTAACCCACTGCGGGCGGAGACGCGTCGTCGGACTGGGCTCCATGGAGAGCGTTCCCCCCCACCCCCCACGCTTCCCGTTTATCACTCAGAAGCTTCTCCAGTCTGGGAGAAAATCCCATCAGGAGCTCGTCCGGTCAAGAGAAGGAGGGAGGGAGGGAGAGGGTAGGGAGGGAGGGGGTAGGGAGGGAGGGGGGGAGTCACCTGGGCATGCCCTTGAGGCGGATGCGAGCGAGCAGCGTGGCGAACGTCACGTGGTCCTGGTGCAGCATCCCCCGGCCAACGCGGTTGAACACGGCCTGCTCACACGCACAAAGACAAAGATCCCCCCTGTAGCCTTAATTGAATGTTAGGAAAAGAGCTGTTAGCGACAACCTATGAATGACGGCACGGCACACGAGGGGGTGGGTGGCCAGCGCCACGCGCGGCCGTCCTTGTCTCCCCAGTTGCGTTTATTAAACCTCGCACCAGGTGCACATTTGAGGCTGAGTCTCCCTAGAGGAGACACAGGACCGGTTCATGTAATTATCACCAGTGTTGGCCGTTAGTTGAACCCGGGTCGCCGGGTTCGTAGCGCAGCATGTTAACCGCTACACTTGACGTACACAGACAGACACGAGTCTCCGAATGACACGTCCATCATCAGCCCCCTGTGCCACCCGACCCCCGGCACATCGCTTCACGGGGACCCCTCCCTGCCAGTGGCCTCACGGTGTCGCACTCCTGCTACTGCCGCGAGAGTTCCGCTTGTTCACCCAGGACAGGCCGAGTCTCGAGACTCGGACTTTCAGGAGGGTCCTGCCAAGTCTACATAGGAGGGGGCGATGCTGCTGCTGCTGCTGTGTGATCCCAATTGAGTAATTTGCAGGTAATTTTTTTCAGCGGTGAGATTTTTGGTCTTGCACCAGTTACACTGTGTCTGTGTTCATAGCTACGGGGGGAATCCGGAGAACACAGAGGCAGCCCATGCAGAGCAGGAGGAGAACATACAAACTCCACTCACTGGCTGTTATAAATTTCCACGTGATAAGCCACTTCGCTCAGCTATCATTTGAAGCCCCCATCACCCGCGAGAGGCCCCCATCACCTGGAAGAGGTCACGTGTGAGCGTGGCGAGGCGCATGCCGTGGTCCGACACCTTCTCCAAGTGTGGGTTGTCGTAGAGCACGGCGTGGTACACCTCCAGGAAGAACTGCAGCGAGTACTGGTATAGGAAGTGGATCTGCGCGCGCGTGGCAGGGCACGGGGGACAAGAAGGTCGTCTCAGCTTGCCGCTGCCGGCGCACACGGAGCCGGCGCCGCCCCGAGCGGCGGCGACGACTCCCGGGAGGCCCCTCCTCACCGCCTGCTCGAGGAGGACCCTGGGGAGTTCCTCGTCACGTGAGGCTGAAGACCGGCTCCGCTCACGACGCCGTGCGGTCCACAGCACACACGGAGGCGCAGAGATAAAGCCAAACAACGAGCGCTTTACACGCGGGAGGAAACCGGAGCAGCCGGGGTAAAAAACCCACGCGTGCAAGGGACGGATGGAGATGAGTCGGCACTTCGCTGTACCGCATTCTCCTGGCGAGCCAGGGTACGAGCACCTCCCCGATGCTCACGGGAAGGGAGTTTTACAACATCCGCGCGTGCGGTGATCCACCGAACCCCGCCACTGCCACCGCAGCGCCGGATCACCGGCGGCAGCCACGTGTCAGAATTGTAATCAGATTATTTTATTTAGACCGGAGGAATCCGGTACGTGTAGCGTAGCGTAGCTGCTGCCACCGCTGCCACCGCTGCCAGCCGCCACGCGGCTGCCCTTCCAGAGCTGTGGCTGAGGGATCCTCCGGGAGGGAGAGTTCCAGTCTCCGGTTCACCTGGCTGAGGGCCTCCATGGTGAAGTAGATGGAGCTGCAGGCCGTGGAGAGGGTGAGGTATTGCTGAGAAACGGCGTCCACCTCGGCCATCACCACGTCCGTCTCCTCCACCTTGCGCGTCACCTCGGCCGCCTCGCGCTTCAGGTTCTCCAGCGTCGTGATGATGGTGTCGTCGTCCAAGATGCGGCCCTTCACCTCGTTCAGCGCCTGCAGCAGCGACTTCTCCTAGCTGACGCAGGCGCAGCTGGAACTCGCCTGGTTGGGGGGAGGGGGGGCAGTGGGGGGGGGTCACCGGGCGGGTGTAAGGTCAGGGTAGGCCCCGGCTGGGTAGCCGCGGCTCGCTGCGGTTGATTCCCCGATCCACGACCCCGCGGAGCGCCGCTCTCCATTTGCTCGACAAATCGGAACGCAAATAGCGACGGGCCAGGGATTGGTAATGTCATCGGTGACAGCAGCCAGCGTCACATCGGGCGTGGGGGTTTCCCGCCCTCGTCAGGCAGCATGCCAGGTCGGCGCGAGTATTCGACCGCAGGGAAGGTGGTCCAATATCGAGCCTTCACGCATGCTGCTTTGTGGCTCGGTGGTGGCTCGGGCGGCTCGTAGTAGCCGTGTCCGAGTCGACTCGCACCGCCCTCAGCGTTTGGCTCAAATCGTCGGCCACCGCCCCCCCGCACAGGATATGAACGACAAATTATTTTATATTACCAGATAAGGTTCAACTGAGCTACGTAGCTCTTTTTCAGAAGTGACCCGACCACAAATGATAGCTCAACGAATTGGCTTATCGCGTGGAAATGTATTGCAGCCGAAACACGTGATGTTGTTTATAAATGTGGAGGGGACAAACCAGAAGGACCCAGAGAAAAATCCACACGACCACGGGGAGAGAGACACGCAGACTCCACATATACAGCAGGCGTTAGGGTCGGGATTGAACCCACGACCTCCTGCATACCAGGCGAGGTAGTTAACATCGTGGCTGCGATGTTAATCGGATCGCAATGCTACCCCGTGACGTGACCCTGTGACGTGACCCAGTGACCCCGTGACCCAGTGACGTGACCCAGCCACGTGACCCAGCGACGTGACCCAGCCACGTGACCCAGCGACGTGACCCAGCGAATTGACCTCGTGACCCTGCCACATGACCCTGTGATCCGACCCAGTGACGTGACCCCGTAACTCCGTGACCCAGTGACGTGACCCCGTGATGCGACCCAGTGACGTGACCCAGCGACGCTGGAGGGGGGTTGGGGGTCCGAGGTGGCGCCGCTTGCCCTGGAGCTTGAGGAGGTCGGAGCGCTTCTCGTCCACGTCGGGCCGCTCCGCCTTGAGCACCTCGTTGAGGCACTGGCTCTGCAGGCTGCTCCTCGTCACCGTGAAGTTGACGAAGGTGACGCGCGAGCACAGGTCCGGGGGGAACTCGGCCTGGCGCGGAGGGGACGCGGAGAACAAAATGACGCGGAGGATCCAAACGTGGCAGGAAACTACCGCGGACGCGATCGGGGAAAAGAGAATCGGGGCGCGGTCGCGGCTACCGTGGGGTCCCGCGTGGAGAGGAAGATGACGAAGGAGGGCGACAGGTCGATGTCCTGGTCGCCCAGCGTGATGAGCACGCGGCCGCCCGTGCGCCGCACCTCCCGGTTCAGCACCGGGTTCAGGATGGGGTCGTAGCTCTCCACGTCCTGCGGCAGCGCAGGGCCACGTGGAGCGATACCGGGCAACACGAGGCAACGCGACGTCACGCGGTTGTCACACGAGGCTACACGAGTGTAGTCTGACTGGAGTTTGAGTGGTCACTGTGGCGAGGTGAGTGCAGTAAGTGGTGAGCGGGTTGTGAGTGAGCGGTGAGTGAGGAGTGGTGAGCGAGCGGTGACCGAGGAGTGGTGAGCGAGAGACCTGCACGAGCAGCGGGTTTCCGAAGCGCAGGGCGCTCTCCAGGTTCTTGCGGAAGGCGTCGTCCAGGAAGCTGGTGCGCGTGATCTTGCGCTCCTTGTACTCGTTCATGATGAACTCCGTCGCCTGGCCCGACGGGTCGATGATGAGCGGGTACCTGCACAAAGACAAAGATCCCCCCCCCCCAATAGTCTCAACATGCTGTTGGGGAAAGTGCTCCCAATCTCTAAAGGAGCTCGTGCTGTGGTCTCGGGCTCGAGGAGAGCAGTGAGTGTGGTGTGGTGAGTGTGGTGAGTGTGGTGTGGTGTGGTGAGTGTGGTGTGGTGAGTGTGGTGTGGTGAGTGTGGTGAGTGTGGTGTGGTGAGTGTGGTGAGTGTGGTGTGGTGAGTGTGGTGTGATGAGTGCGGTGAGTGTGGTGTGGTGAGTGTCGTGTGGTGAGTGTGGTGAGTGTGGTGTGGTGAGTGTGGTGTGGTGAGTGTGGTGTAGTGAGTGTGGTGTGGTGAGTGTGGTGAGTGTGGTGTAGTGAGTGTGGTGTGGTGAGTGTGGTGAGTGTGGTGAGTGTGGTGAGTGTGGTGAGTGTGGTGAGTGTGGGATGGTGAGTGTGGGGTGGTGAGTGTGGTGTGGTGAGTGTGGTGAGTGTGGTGTGGTGAGTGTGGTGTAGTGAGTGTAGTGTGGTGAGTGCGGTGAGTGTGGTGTGGTGAGTGTGGTGTGGTGAGTGTGGTGTGGTGAGTGTGGTGAGTGTGGGGTGGTGAGTGTGGTGTGGTGAGTGTGGTGAGTGTAGTGTGGTGAGTGTGGTGTGGTGAGTGTGGTGAGTGTAGTGTGGTGAGTGTGGTGAGTGTGGTGTGGTGAGTGTGGTGTGGTGAGTGCGGTGAGTGTGGTGTGGTGAGTGTAGTGTGGTGAGTGTGGTGAGTGTGGTGTGGTGAGTGTGGTGTGGTGAGTGTGGTGAGTGTGGTGAGTGTGGTGAGTGTGGGGTGGTGAGTGTGGTGAGTGTGGTGAGTGTGGTGTGGTGAGTGTGGTGTGGTGAGTGTGGTGTGGTGAGTGTGGTGAGTGTGGTGTGGTGAGTGTGGTGTGGTGAGTGTGGTGAGTGTGGTGAGTGTGGGGTGGTGAGTGTGGTGAGTGTGGTGTGGTGAGTGTCGTGTGGTGAGTGTGGTGAGTGTGGGGTGGTGAGTGTGGGGTGGTGAGTGTGGTGTGGTGAGTGCGGTGAGTGTGGTGTGGTGAGTGTCGTGTGGTGAGTGTGGTGAGTGTGGTGTGGTGAGTGTGGTGTGGTGAGTGCGGTGAGTGTGGTGTGGTGAGTGTCGTGTGTTGAGTGTGGTGAGTGTGGGGTGGTGAGTGTGGTGTGGTGAGTGTGGTGAGTGTAGTGTGGTGAGTGTGGTGAGTGTGGTGTGGTGAGTGTCGTGTGGTGAGTGTGGTGAGTGTGGGGTGGTGAGTGTGGTGTGGTGAGTGTGGTGTGGTGAGTGTGGTGAGTCGTTGTCGGCGTGTGAGCGTGAGTGGCGCCGTCACCGGTTGTAGCGCTTGAGCATGATGGCGTTCTCCGTGCACAGCTCGTCCGCCGGGAGGGAGTGCGCCTGCCAGCGCAGCCGCTCGTCCGCATTCGACAGGTACTCCGTGCGCGCGATGTCTGTGCGGAACTGCGGGACGCACACGCGCACACACGTACACACACACGCATGCACACGCGCACACACGTACACACACACGCATGCACACGCACACACACGTACACACACGTACACACACACACGTACACGCGCACACACACGTACACACACACGCATGCACACGCGCACACACGTACACACACACGCATGCACACGCGCACACACGTATACACACGCACGCACACATGCACACACACGCACGCACACACGCACACACGTACACGCACGCACACGCGCGTACAGCTCGCTGTCAAAGAGAGAGAGGACGTCTCAGAGGGGCGAGGAGAAACCACAGACAAGCGGGGAGGCAGCAGCCAGCCAGGCGATGAGCCGGAGCCAAATTTCCTTCCCCCACAACCTCTGCGATCCTCTAAATGAATCTTATGGTGGGACCCCTGGCACTCGCATAAACTGCGTTGCGACGTCATTTTATGTCTGTTGAAGGCAAATGATACGGCAATCTATTCTAGACGAGCTCTACACGATGCGCAAATCTAAGTTTCAAAGTTTAGTTTCTTCTGCGCATTCGTCCGGCTGCTGCGCTTGGACGACATGACAACAGAATGATCCGCGCCACGTGGGTCGCAGCGTTTATGTGCGCGGTGGGATGGAGTTGCCAAAAATACATAAATAAAAATTTTGACTTCCGTTTATTTGGGACCCCGGGGTCCCGCCATAAGGTTCATTTACTAAAATGTGACCGGCCAATTAACGAGTGTTTACATGTGGGAGAGAGGAAACTGGAGCACTCGGAGAAAACCCAACAACGAGGCTACGGAGGAGGAGCTGTCACTGCCTGGCGAAAACAAACATGGAGTGTGAGGTTCTAACGCGCCGCTGCGACTAAGACGGACACGGGGCTCACCACGGAGCCTCCCACACCACGTGGAGGCACAGGAGGGGGGCGGCAGCCACGCTCCCCCACGGGGCGGCCACCGCACGACAAACACGGCGACCCGGGTTCCATTCCCGCTCACGGCCAACACCGGTGACGATTACTTGAACCGGTCCTGGGTCTCACCTAGGTCGACTCGGCCTCAAATAAGTGCCCGGTGCAATGTGTAAAATATTGCCGTTGTAAAGACAAACGTGGCCGGGCGTCGTTTTCCGGCCACACCACCCGCTCGTGCGCTGTGACAGCCTTCACAGGTGCTACTCGCTAACAGGCTACATGGGGGATCTTTGCTTTTGATCTTTTTGCGTTATTGTGTTTGCGTGCGTGCGCATGTGTGTGCGTGTGTGCGTGTGTGCTGGTCACCCACACCCTCGTGTACTGTTCCGGCCTTCATAGGTGCTCGCTAACAGCACTTGCCCCTACAGTCTGTTAAAGCTATATGGGTGATCTTTGTCTTTGTGGGTGCGTGTGTGTGTGCGTACGAAGGCGCAGTGGAGCGGAGCGGCCACCACGACCCGCGCCACCAACCGGCCGACGACACGAGTTCCCGACTTCCCCGGCCAGGGCCGGCAAACGGGAGCATCGTCCCGCGCGTGAGCCGCCCCACCTGGATGTTCGCCTGCTGCAGGTGCTGCGCCCAGGTGCTGAACAGGTTGTGGCGCATCTGCTGGTCGAAGTAGCCGGCGTAGGCCATGAAGGCGGACGACAGGAGGCAGTCGCCCGTGATGGTGGACATCTGCGTGCGGAAGGTCTGGCTCGTCTGCTCCCAGCGCTCCTGCTCGGCGGCGAGGCTGCGCAGCAGCGCCGTGCTGCGGCTCACCTGCACGCGGCCCACGCGGCCACGGCCGCCGCGACCGTGACGGTGAGCGTGGAGACCGGACGCCACCGTGGCTCGGAGATGTGAACTACCTCGCCTGGTATACAGGAGGTCGTGGGTTCGATCCTGATCCTGACGCCTATTTGGAGTTTGCGTGTCTCTCTCTCCCGTGGTCGCGTGGATTTATCTCCGGGTCCTCCGGTTTTTCTCTCCACATTTAAAATCAACGTCACGCGCTTAAGAGTATTTGGCTACTGCTATAGATTTCCACGTGATGATAAGCCACTTCGTTGAGTTACCATTTGTGTGACCAGGTCACTTCTGAAAAACAGCTACGTAGCTCAGTGGGCCTCACCTGGTAAAATAAATAATATTTTATTAGTTTCAACTAAAAAAGCACAACAAAGTGGCATATGATCGTGTGTAAATTTATAGCAGTCAAATACTTTCAACACGTGATGTTGTTTCTAAATGTGGAGGGGAAAAACTAGAAGGACCCGGAGAAAAATCCACGCGACCACGGGGAAAGAGACACGCAGACTCCAAATGTACAGATGTCAGGGTCGGGATCGAACCCACGACCTCCTGTATACCAGGCGAGGCAGTCAACATCTCACCACCGTGGGGCAATGAAGACGGACCGACGGTCACGATCGTGGCAGCGTGGCGTGCAAAACCGGGACGTACGGACACGGCCGGATGAACAGGAGGGGGTAGGGAGCGCTCACCTTGGCCTCCACGGCCGCCAGGTCGGCCTTGATGGCCTGGGCCTGCGAGATGAGCAGCGCGTACTCCTCCTTGTAGCGCGCGATGCTGGCCTCCAGCTCGCTGATCATGTGCTCCACCTCGTCGGCGCGCGCCTGGTTGTCCTTGGCGTCGCACTCCAGCTTCCGGAGCTCGTTGCGCAGCGGCTCGACGCGCTTCAGCATGTCCGCGTAGTTCAGCTGTCGTCCCGGCACGGCCGATGGCAGACGGCGGGCGGTGGACGGGGGATGGCACAGGGGCGCAGAGAGACAGAACGGCGACGCCACCCTTGGTCTCCCGCGCACGAGAACACGTCAAGGCGGCACGCCCGCTGGCGATGCTACGCTGCTGCTGACCGTAACCCGGTGCCGCAGGGGCAGTGGCAGCAAGGGCTCGGTGGATCACAGCGCACTGATGTTGTTGTGAAACTCCCCTTCTACCCGTGGCTGTCGAGGACGTGGCCGTACCCTGGCTCGCCAGCAGAAGGCGGCTACAGCAGCAAGTGGACTGATCGCCATCTGTGTCCATCTCGTGCAAGGTGTGGGTTTTCTCCAGGTGCTCCGGTTTCCTCCCACCCACCTGAGTAATATCTGAACTACTTTCTGTGTTTAGTTTGTTGTCCTTCCCCCGCACCTCCGATTATCACGGTTGGTGAGAGAAGTTCAACGTACATACAGACACACAATACACACTCATCCTTAATTGGCTGAAAACATCTTAATAACATTAAACCCAATGTAGTGGCAGGACCCTCCTGATAAAAAGAGTCCTAGGACTCCTGGACGAATAAGTAAATTGTTGATGTTATTCAAATTATTATACCGGGGGCATCTCACTCAGTGGCAGCCCATCACCCCCCCACCCCCAACTTCCTCTGTTCACGCAGTGAGACGATGCCCCCCCCCCCCGACCGGCGATGGACCCTCACCTGCGCCGTGGCCCACTTGACCATGGGCCCGCAGGCGAGCGAGGCGCGGTTCACCGTGTCGTAGTTGAAGTTGGGGTTGGAGAGGTAGCCCTTCTTCATTTTCTCCCGGATCGTGTCGCTGGTTTGGGGAGGTCAAACGGCCCGTCGGTTAAACGACGCGGTGAGAGGGGCGGTGTTGGCTGCATGTACACTCGGTCGCCTTTGTCTCCCCCGTGCACAAGCTTACACACTGCACGAGGTACTCACTTAACGCCGAGTTGACCTAGGGGAGGCCTAGGACCGGTTCAAATACTCGTGATTGGTGTTGGCCATGAGCAGGAATTGAACTCGTGTTTCGAGGTTCATAGTGCAGTGCGCTAACCTCTCTATTGTCGCTCCCCCAGAGACACGTAAACACGCACGTACATACACAAAGACAAAGATCCACCCTATAGCGTTTAACAGACTGTTGAGGCAAGTTGGTCGCGAGTATGAATCTCGGGTCGCCAGGTTCGTACTGCTGTGCTCTAACCAATACACTGCCGCTCCCCATAACGTACACACTCACAACAACAACAATAGCTACCATTCACAAAGCACTGCGGTGACGTCACCGCAGTGCTTGTGCCAGGCTAGGTGCACCTTCAAGCCACGGGACAGACCCAGGTGTCATGGGTCGACTGCCTGAAACGACTGGCAGATGCACCACCTGTGCCCCCTACCGTGCCAACCTGCTGCGCTTTAGCCACCCGGCGCTCCGCTCGTTGTTGTGAGCGTCGCTCCTCAACGCGCGCACGCGCACACCTGATCTCGTCGGCGGAGAAGTTGACGATGGTGGGGATGAAGTTGTCGCGGATGATGATGGAGCGGAATTTGCTTCCAGTCCGTCGTGTTCTCCCCGAGAAGGAGGCAGATCGACTCGAGCGCCATCTTCACCGCGGCCGGAGGGTTGGCCATGGACCGCACCTCCACCAGGTGCTGCTTCTTGATGGACTTCACCGCTGCACACACACAAAGATAAAGTTCCCCGTGTTGCCTTAACAGACCTTTGGGGCAAGTGCTGTTAAGGAGCACCTATGAAGGCCGGAACGGCACACAAGGGGGTGGGTGGCCAACGCCATGCCCGGCCGCCTTTGTCTTCCCAGTGGTGTTGTTTACACACTGCATCAGGTACTCATTTGAGGCCGAGTCGACCTAGGGAAGGCCCAGGACCCGTTCAGATAATCGTCACCGGTGTTGGTGGCCGTGAGCGGGAATCGAACTCGGGTCGCTGGGTTCGTAGCGCAGCGTAGCGCTAACCCCTGCACCACCGCTCCCCCATACACCCACAAGCGCGGCAGCTCCGAGCTGCGAGCCTGGACGAGCATGGGGGAGGAGGGGGCGGGTAGGGGTGGGGGGAGGGGTGGGGGGTGGGGTGAGGGGTGGGGGGAGGGGTGGGGGCGGCCGCACCGTTCTGGGCTTCGATGACAGCCGGCTCCACCTGCTCCAGGTCCTCACAGACGCTCTTCTGCTTCTCGGCGATCACCTCGTTCTGCCGCAGCAGCGACTCCTGGATCTCCTGGCTCATCACCTGCGCTCGCAGGGAGACAAGGGTCCCCGCGTGGCCTCACGGACTATCGGGGGGAGTGCGCGGCGTTCGCAAGAGCCCATGGCGCACGCAGCGCGCGAATCACTGCACCGCTGCTCACCACACGCACACAATCACGTTTCCACACAAAGATTTCCGCGTGAAGCCCCAACAGGCTGTTGGGGCAAGTGCTGTTAGCGAGTACATGTGAAGGCCAGCACAGCACACGGGGGTGTGGGTGGCCAGCACCACGCCCGGCCACCTTTGTCTCCCCACTGTTGATTTTTACACACCGCACCAGGTGCTCGTTTCAATATTTGCCGCTGTTATTGGTCGCCGCGTGCAGTGCACTAACCAATCACAGACGCACACAAACACATGCACACACACACGCACACGCACGCACGCACCTTCTTCTTCTCAGCCTCCTGCTGGCCGATCACCATCTTCTTGAGTTTGTCGTTGGCGGCCGCATTCTTGGCCTCGAGCTCCTGGGACTTGATGGACAGATCCTTCCTGAGCTCCTCCACCTGCAGGGGCAGGGGGACGGGGTGAGCGTGTGGAGGAGCTGGACGGAGTGAGAATGTAGGTGAGCGGGACGGGGTGAGCGCGTGCGGGCGAGCGGGACAGGGTGAGCGCGTGCGGGTGCGCGGCACGGCGTGCGGGCGAGGGGGTACGGGCACCTGGTCTACGGTCTCCTTGATCTTGCGGAGGCCCACGTTGAGGTGCATCTGCTGCTCCTCCAGCTCGCTGCGCTTCTCCCCGAACAGCTCCGCGTAGTGGCCGATGAAGTCGAGGTAGTGGCGGGGTGTGATCGCCACCGTGCGGCCCCCGCGCTTGGCCAGCCGCGCGTTCGCCTGCGCCAGGGCCCCGCACCGTCATCAAAAGGCGACTCGCGAGACTCGGCCAGGCTTGCCTGGCTAAACAAGCGGAACGGCGATAACACCACCGCCGCAAGAGCACTGAGGCACACCGCTAAGCAGAGGGAACTTGGCTGGGCCAATGGGGCCACGGTGCCTAGGAGATGTTAACTATTTCGCCAGGTATACAGGAGGTCGTGGGTTCGATCCTGACCCTGACGCCTGCTGTGTGTTTGGAGTTTGTGTGTCTCTCTCCCCGTGGTCACGTAGATTTTTATCCGGGTCCTTCGGTTTATCCCTGCACATTTAGAATCAACGTCACGCGTTTAGAGTATTTGGCTACTGCTATAAATTGCACGTGCTAAGCCACTTTTTGAGCTAAAGAGCTCAGTGGGCCTTCCCTGATACAATAAAAATAGTTTAAGTTTTCTGTTTTAAGCGTGGGTAGATGTTTCGAAAGACAGAGGGATGAAAGGATGAATGCACGGACCGACAGACGATGAGGACAGATGGACAAATCAATGTACGGACAGATAGATGAAGGGTCTGATGGACCAAAATACTGAGAGATGGACAGATGAATGGGTGGACAAGTAGACAGACAAATTGACAGAGAGATATGCACGGATGAATGGACGAGCCGATGCACACCTGAACGTACAGATGTGAGGACGGCCATTTTAATTGACTGAGAGACAGATGGACGAATAAAGAGATGGACAAATGGAATAATACCAGACAGGCAGCAAACACGAGGGCAGACGACTTGACAGCCAGACAGAGGAATGCACAGACAGTTGGAAAAACGTGGAGATGGATGGACAAATAGTCCCACAGATGGGCAAACATCAATATAGACGGATACATAAACACATAGACATAGACACATAGACATAGACACATAGACACAGACACATAGACATAGAGACATAGACACATAGACATAGATACAGTGAGGGAAAAAAGTATTTGATCCCCTGCTGATTTTGTACGTTTGCCCACTGACAAAGAAATTATCAGTCTATAATTTTAATGGTAGGTTTATTTGAACAGCGAGAAACAGAATGACAACAACAAAATCCAGAAAAACGCATGTCAAAAATGTTATAAATTGATTTGCATTTTAATGAGGGAAATAAGTATTTGACCCCTCTGCAAAACATGACTTAGTACTTGGTGGCAAAACCCTTGTTGGCCATCACAAAGGTCGGACGTTTCTTGTAGTTGGCCATCAGGTTTGCACACATCTCAGGAGGGATTTTGTCCCACTCTCTTTGCAGATCTTCTCCAAGTCATTAAGGTTTCGAGGCTGACGTTTGGCAACTCGAACCTTCAACTCCCTCCACAGATTTTCTATGGGATTAAGGTCTGGAGACTGGCTAGGCCACTCCAGGACCTTAATGTGCTTCTTCTTGAGCCACTCCTTTGTTGCCTTGGCCGTGTGTTTTGGGTCACTGTCATGCGGGAATACCCATCCACAACCCATTTTCAATGCCCTGGCTAAGGGAAGGAGGTTCTCACCCAAGATTTGACGGTACATGGCCCCGTCCATCGTTCCTTTGATGCGGTGAAGTTGTCCTGTCCTCTTAGCAGAAAAACACCCCCAAAGCATGTTTCCACCTCCATGTTTGACGGTGGGGATGGTGTTCTTGGGGTCATAGGCAGCATTCCTCCTCCTCCAAACACGGCGAGTTGAGTTGATGCCAAAGAGCTCCATTTTGGTCTCATCTGACCACAACACTTTCACCCAGTTGTCCTCTGAATCCTTCAGATGTTCATTGGCAAACTTCAGACGGGCATGTAGATGTGCTTTCTTGAGCAGGGGGACCTTGCGGGCGCTGCAGGATTTCAGTCCTTCACGGCGTAGTGTGTTACCAACTGTTTTCTTGGTGACTATGGTCCCAGCTGCCTTGAGATCATTGACAATATCCTCCCGTGTAGTTCTGGGCTGATTCCTCACCGTTCTCATGATCATTGCAACTCCACGAGGTGAGATCTTGCATGGAGCCCCAGGCCGAGGGAGATTGACAGTTCTTTTGTGTTTCTTCCATTTGCGAATAATCGCACCAACTGTTGTCACCTTATCGCCAAGTTGCTTGGCGATGGTCTTGTAGCTCATTCCAGCCTTGTGTAGGTCTACAATCTTGTCCCTGACATCCTTGGAGAACTCTTTGGTCTTGGCCATGGTGGAGAGTTTGGAATCTGATTGATTGATAGCTTCTGTGAACAGGTGTCTTTTATACAGGTAACAAGCTGATATTATGAGCACTCCCTTTAAGTGTGTGCTCCTAATCTTTGCTCGTTACCTGTATAAAAGACACCTGGGAGCCAGAAATTTTTCTGATTGAGAGGGGGTCAAATACTTATTTCCCTCATTAATATGCAAATCAATATATAACATTTTTGACATTCGTTTTTCTGGATTTTGTTGTTATGCTGTCTCACTGTTCAAATAAACCTACCATTAAAATTATAGACTGATAATTTCTTTGTCAGTGGGCAAACGTACAAAATCAGCAGGGGATCAAATACCTTTTTCCCTCACTGTACATAGACATAGACACATAGATACATGGACACCTATACATAGATACATAAACACAGACAGATGGTCAGGCAGAGAGATGAAGAGGAGAAACAGCAGACGGACGAATGGACAGAGGGATAGACGACAGGCTAAGTGTGGATGGCTGAGCGGGTGACAAGGAGGAGCGACGCACAAGAACCTCGGCACCACCGCTGCTCTGCCCACTCCACACCACTCCACACCACTCCACACCACTCCACTCCACACCACTCCACTCTACATCACACCACACCACTCCACACCACTCTACACCACTCCACACCACTCTACATGACACCACTCCACACCACTCTACACCACTCCACACCACTCTACATGACACCACTCCACACCACTCCACACCACTCCCCTCCACACCACTCCACTCTACATCACACCACACCACTCCACACCACTCTACACCACTCCACACCACTCTACATGACACCACTCCACACCACTCTACACCACTCCACACCACTCTACATGACACCACTCCACACCACACCACACCACTCCACACCACTCTACACCACAGCACTCTGCACCGCACCTGGTGCAGGGTGAGGTGCACGAAGACGCAGGCGTTGACGATGGCCTCGCGGTGCGAGGGTGGCTGGGGCAGGCGGTCGTACGCGGCCGGCACCGAGTCGGGGGCGATGTAGCTCGGCTTCTCCAGGTCCATCTTCCCCGTGAACTCCTTGCCCACCTGGTAGAGCGCCTCCGTCGACCAGTCTCCGAACCAGTTGAGAACGCACCTACAGCGGGGGGGGGGGGGGGGGGGGGGGGAGAGACAAAGGTGGTGTGGTGTCACGCCACACGGTCCACCGGTGGGATGTTACGGGATGAGAGAGATGACAACGCATGAGCGCGGAGACCCGTAGACTCACAGAGACACACAGAGACACATCGACCCATAGACTCACAGAGACACAGAGACAGACAGAGACCTGTAGACTCACAGAGACACACAGACCCATAGACTCTCGGAGATTCGTAAACTCACATCGAGACCCATAGACTTACCCAGAGACCCGTAGACTCACAGAGACCCGTACACTTGCACAGAGACCCGTAGACTCACACAGAGACCCATAGATTCACACAGAGACCCATAGATTCACACAGAGACCCACAGACTCACACAGATACCCATAGACTCATTATGCAGAGACCCATAGACTCTCATCACACAGAGACCCACAGAGACCCATAGGCGAAGGAAAGGATGGGAGAAAAACGGGGGAGGACTTTACCCAGCGGTGGGGGAAGTTACAGGCCGACAATGACAGCGATAACGACGACGCACACACGCACATGGGGGGAGTTCGTGAAGGGGGTACGGTGGTGGGGGGGTGGGGGTGGGGGGGTCACCTGTTGAAGAGCGCGGGGGAGGTGGCGGCGCGGTCTTTAAGGCCCTCGGAGGACGGGTTCATGGTGAACACCACGTGTAGGTTGCGCATCACCTGGCTGGTGAACCAGCGGTACAGCTCCTCGTGCGAGTCCAGCATGAGGCCCTCCTTCTGCGAGCCCTCCTTGCAGCCGGTCATGAGCGCCGCGTACTCGTCGCCCTCGAACAGTCCCGGCACCTGCGGGGTACGGAGCGGCACGGTGCCACGGAGCGGTGTGCGTCACGGAGTGGCACGGTGGCACAGAGCGACAGGGTGGCACGGAGAGGCACGGTGACACAGAGTGCATTTCGGGTGAATGGGATGGCGCCCGTCTCCATTCAATGGCGGAGCCAAGATTTTCAGGTAGCGGGGACAACCCCACCAGCAATGAAAAATGATCGGATTTGTTTGACGCGTGTGCTGCGATGGCGCAGCCATCGATTGGGGGTCAAATTCGAACCGTGTGTGATCGGCATCGCGCTCGTTGAAGGTGTTTGCCTTTAGGGAAGTCGTGGACTGTATACGCAACTGCGCACAATTCTGAGTCACTTATAACTGCTTTGCACGTAATAATATGCTACACAGTGGCAGTGGAGGTCGCAAAATGCCGATTTATTACTAATAAACCCCAATGATCCGATAAATATTAGGGATTTCGGTCGGATCATTGGGGGGGGCACATGCCACCCCACCCCCCCCACTGGCTCCGCCAGTGTCTCCATTGGTGGTACTAAGCCAGCAGTGTAAATTCCTAGTTCCTGTGGCCCTGGCGAGCCTATCCATGGGACGACCATCGCTGAATTACACAAGCGGCACACACACACGCGCACGCACGCACGTACGCGTGTGTGCGCGGGTGTCACCGACCATTTCACGCCGGACGCCCGCGTTGCGCTGTTTTGTACGACCCCTTGAGACCAGTCTCACCGTGGCGATTGAGAACCCGGCTTCACCACGCACGCCCCAAACTCCAGAGCAAGGTTCTTCATTACATTTTCAGGAGGGAGGCGGCACTTTCACCGATAAGACATCGCCAGTGTGTGATGGCCACCACAGATTTGAAACCATTGGGGGTTTGACAGCAGCACGATGATGATGGGGGGGTGGGGTGTTCACTTTTGTGTATTGTCTGGGGCGGGGGCCGCATGTCAAGGGGACCACACTAAAGGCCACCAAGGGGGTTGCCGCCAGTGGCCAAGCAGGGGCCTTGCAACGAAGAAGAACAACGCTCCAGACTCACACCCAGAACCTCACCGAAACGCCAGCTCCACGCTCCCCGGCGAGACCTCTCGCCTCTCCAGCCACGGTGGGCCGGCCGCGCCCACCCCCCAACCCCACCTCCCCCCCCACCGCCCACCGTTGGGCTAATTGGCGAGTGCTTCACGCCGCCGTACCTCTCCGTTGGCGAGCAGCGTGTTCATGCGCTCCAGGAAGCCCGAGTCCAGCACATTGGACTCGTCCATGATGAAGGCAATCTTCTCGTTTTGCAGCCGGCGCGGCGCAGCACGGTGCGCAGGTCTTCATCGAAGTCCTCGCCCGTGTACTTGCGGTGCACCTGCGGAAAAGGCAGGAGGGGTCGCCGCGTCGGGGCATTCGGATTTACGCGGGGGGCAAAGGTTGCGCTGGACGTCACAATGTCAAAGGTCAAGATAATACCCCCACACCCCCCACCAGAATTCAACAATGCGTATTTGCGGGGGTGGTGTTGTCTTTCGTGCACACGAGGAAGAGGAAGCTCCGGGGGGGAGGAGGAACAACGTCGGACGTCGTTTCAAACACCGGGGAGGGCACGATGCGGGAAACGCGCGGTGGGAAGCAGCAGGAGCGGCGCAAGCGTGGGAGACCGCGTCGTAAAATATCCGTCTGCTCCCAACGAGCGATGGTGACGGCACTCGTCTCAGTCAGCGGCCGTGAGCCCAGTGGTGTATATTCCACATTACCGTGGCAGGTGCCGTAGCAGTGGAGTGATGTCATCCTGGAAGCATGCAAAGAACCCTTCGCAAAGTAACCCCGCAGTGACTGTCAAGTGTTTTTTCTTATGCAAGAAGCTTCAAGCTCAAGTCAGACCCCAATGACAATACCTTCAGGAGTTAAATGCTACAGTCGAGGTCTGCTAGTCACGACGAAAGGGCTTCAGGAGAGAGTTCGTGTCGTTTGTCTGTTCCTCCTCCATTGAAAGAGCGCAGACTACAGCGTTTAACTATGGGGTCCAGAGTGTGGGTTGCATGTGTCTCTATGAATATCTATTGATCTAAATGCATGTATTTTAGTATCGGTATCTCTATGTGTCTCTACGAGTCTATGTGTCTCTGTGAGTCGCGATGTATTTCTATGGGTCTCTAAGGGTGTACTACAGGGTCCATAGTGTGGGTTGCACAGTGACGGTCACACTCCTTGTGGCTTGCGTCTTTAATTTCCAAACTGGACACTGGATCAGGTGGCTCCCTGCTGCGGGTTCAAGGCTTTGTGAATTCTGAGTAACTGGTCCTGCACACTTTATACTCTGACTTCTAGTATCCAAAACGTTCAGCGATGGAAAATCTGTCATAGTTCGATTCAAGGTCCCTGGGAAACCTCAAGATCAAAAGATGTTTAAGAGTCTATTTATAACCCAAAAAGTTCATAGTTTTGAACCTTACATTTTGAGGCCAATGTATAAAAAAAGTTTTCAGCAAGGACTAAATTTGTACAAAATTTCAATTCTCTGGCCATTCTATAAAATCATAGAATTGGCGTCGGTTACTCGCTCACTCATTCAGTCGCTCACTCACGACCGGTGGCGTGAGACAGCGCCATGTAAAATTGGCAATAATAATAATACAGACGATCATCAATTATAATTATAAGGCGGCTTCGGGCAGGAGGGGGAGCCAGATTTTTTAAAATGCTAGATAATCACCAATCATAATTTAAAATAGCTTATTTTTGCACATTCTTGTGTGACATTAGGTTTGTATGTGTTGGTATATGTTTTTCTAGTGCTGTACATGTATTTACTATGTGAAATTGGAATAAATTAACTAAAATAAATATCCTACTTTAAAAAGTTACTGTATTTACTATACAGTACTTAGCACTCCAATCTCGACCACTCTGCATCATGGGGTGATGTATACACGTGCAGTATTTTCATTGTTTAAGTTGCATGTAGTGTATAATGTACTGTATCTATAATATTTAACACTGAAATCAAGCGCAGCTATTTTGTTTGTCACGCACGCGGTGCCGATCGCCGGACTGGTTACGGCCTTTGGAACGGTGTTGTCGGTTTCGCCGGATCGGCCCGGGACCGCCAGATAATGTTGGAAGCAGCCAGATAATCGATGATGAACTGTAATAATAATTATGATCGTGTCAACTTGTAATGCGCGGCCACACGGAGTTTCCTCGCTCTCTCTCGAGAGAGGGAGAGGACGACTCAGAGGAACCAGGAGGAGAACCACAGACGAGCCGGAAGGCAGAAATGCAATGATTTTGCACCAACAACTGCCCAAGCTTGGCGGTCTTATATATGTGTATGGTGTCAGCCCATTATTGAGTATTTATAATGAAAAAAGAACAGCCTTCAAGCACCAAATAGACACCGATTGCGAAGCATCAAGTCTGAATTAACCACACGTTTTTGTGGTAAAACATGCAAACAACATGCTTTGATCATGTATATGCACTGTCCTTGAAACTGATTGCCTACACCAGAGACAGCCTCCGTTATGACCTTGTCTCACCACCAGTGTTAGACCAGAGAACGCCAATAGGCGAACAGCACAATGGCAATGCAAGTATCAAAGCTTGGGTTGAGCTGTTATAGCCACGGGTCCCATAGATGAGCATTTATACTTGTGGGAGGAAACTGGAGCACCGAGATAAAAGCCCACATCTGTGAGGGGGCAATACTCTCGAATCTGTTGGAACGAGTGGGGTCCACATTTGCTGTGCTACCTTCTCCTGGCGGGCCAGGGTAACGCACCTCGATCCACCAACCCTCGCTTCCAAATGTGCTGAATTAGGGGCCATGTGCCTAGTCACCACCGCCCTTTATAATAATAATGAAGCTAAGGAGACACAGACATGTGGAGAGCCATGGACCGTCGTGATGGTGAGATGTTAACTCCCTCGCCTGTTATGAAGGAGGTCATGTGTTCGATCCTGACTCTGACACCTGGAGTTTGCATGCTCTCTCCGTGGTCGCGTGGATTTTTATCTGGGTCCTCCGTTTTTTCCCTTCACAGTTAGAATCGACATGCGTTCAGAGCATTCGGCTGCTATAAATTTCCACGCTCCTGAAAAAGAGCTAAGTAGCTCAGTGGGCCTTCTCACCTGGCAAAATAAAAAATAGTTTACAGTTTTAGTTTCGACTCCTCGGAGGCATGAGCAGGCTTAACCCGACGAGTGTCTCACCTTGATCTGGTAAACGCTGAGGCCGTTCATCCACGCCACGAAGCGGGACAGCGTCGTCTTCCCCGCGCCGCTCACCCCGATCAGCAGCAGGTGGCCCTGGGGCTGCCGGAAGATCCTGCGTGACGAGGAGATGGCCACGGCAACGATGTGAGCCACGATGATGATGACGACGCTGATCGCAATGACCACGACGATGACACGGCCGCCTCGGGTTAAAAAGTCAAAAGACACGTGTTTGCTCTGATCTGCCTAAATAGTTCTTATATGACACAATGAACTGGGTTTCGATTTAAAGCTTTCGTGACTGCAGGGATTCATCTTCTTGGTTCTTTCGGTAAAGTCACGTAGAAGGGAAGTAATAAAATAATAAAAATAAAACATAATAAAACAATTCTCACGACGTTTCGGCCACAACGCAAGCAGCCGTCCTCAGGTGAAAACCAGGTCCGTCGAGGCGACAGAGTCTGAATGAAACAGCACACGGGCTTGGAGCATATATATAAGCTGGGCGCATTGACAAAGGAATTTGCATATCAACAGGAATTTAGCATATTTATGGGAAATGCAGGAATGTAATTAGTACTGCATATGCATGTGCATTATGCAGGATTAACAGCATCAAAGGGAGCTGCAGTTACTGCTGCTGCAGTAGTTGCTGCTGCTGCTGCAGTTTCTGCTGCTGCTGCAGTTGCTGCTGCTGCTGCAGTTGCTGCTGCTGCTGCTGCACTTGCTGCTGCTGCTGCACTTGCTGCTGCTGCTGCACTTGCTGCTGCTGCTGCACTTGCTGCTGCTGCTGCAGTTGCTGCCTTATCCATTTTAATATAACACTATGTATTATTCTACCCACCCTAATGTGTATCATACTGCTATATGTTTACTGTACAATTACGACACCATACATTACTCTGCACACTGCACCATGCCAGTGAGTGGAACGCGGTCTGAAAGTCACCGTTAACGTGAACACAATCAGTTAAGATCCGAAATGGTTTATTACGTCCTTCCAATGATTGCTAAGCCAGAATCCATCTTCTCGGTTGAAATTGTCTCTGTGTTTGTATATGTGGATCGCCTCATGAACGAATCTCTCATGATAGCCAGATGGCTTGCAGAGAACCTCTGTCTTGGAGAAGTCAATGTCATGTGAGCCCACTGAATTGTAACAGTGATCTGCCACGGCTGAGGTGTTTGTCCTACCGTGTTTCAGGTCTGCCTTATGTTCACGGATGCGGTCCGAGACATGTCGTTTGGTTTCTCCAATGTAACTGCTACCACAGAGGAAACTTAGTTTGTAGACGCCAGGGTACTGTATGTCTGGAACCACATCTTTTACAGACGGGACCAGATCACGGATTTTATGTACTGTGTTGAATCGGACCTGGATCTTGTGTTTAATCAGGATTTTGGAGATCTTTTTTGTGACCCCAGCAATGTAGGGTAAGGTGATGGTCTTGAAAGGCTCCTCAACAGGATCCTTCTTGATGGTTGGAGTGATGGCTTTGCGGATTGTGTAGTCGGAGTAACCATTAGCCTTAAGAGCTTGGCGTACGTGTTTGAGTTCACTGGAAATGTGTTCATGGTCGGAGATGCATTGGGCTCTATGATATAGAGTCTTGATGAGGGAATTCTTCTGGGATGGATGGTGGTGGGAATCCGGTTTTAGATAAGCATCCGTGTGGGTGGCTTTCCTGTAGACAGAGTGGCTCATTGAACCATCAGGTCTCCTTTTGATTAGGACATCCAAAAAGGGTAGCTTGCCATCATTTTCGACTTCCATGGTGGATAAGGCAGCAACTGCAGCAGCAGCAGCAAGTGCAGCAGCAGCAGCAGCAAGTGCAGCAGCAGCAGCAAGTGCAGCAGCAGCAGCAAGTGCAGCAGCAGCAGCAACTGCAGCAGCAGCAGCAACTGCAGCAGCAGCAGAAACTGCAGCAGCAGCAGCAACTACTGCAGCAGCAGTAACTGCAGCTCCCTTTGATGCTGTTAATCCTGCATAATGCACATGCATATGCAGTACTAATTACATTCCTGCATTTCCCATAAATATGCTAAATTCCTGTTGATATGCAAATTCCTTTGTCAATGCGCCCAGCTTATATATATGCTCCAAGCCCGTGTGCTGTTTCATTCAGACTCTGTCGCCTCGACGGACCTGGTTTTCACCTGAGGACGGCTGCTTGCGTTGTGGCCGAAACGTCGTGAGAATTGTTTTATTATGTTTTATTTTTATTATTTTATTACTTCCCTTCTACGTGACTTTACCGAAAGAACCAAGAAAATGAACTGGGTATCAATGACTAACCAATCAACCAACATAATGATTTACTGATGACTCCTACTACGATTTTTAAGGCCCCATCACAAATGGTAACTTAACGAAGTGGCTTATTATCACGTGGAAATTAATAGCAGTAGCCAAATACTCTTAAACGTGTGACATTGATTCCAAATGTGAAGGGAAAAACCAGAGGACCTGGAGAAAAATCCATGCAACCACGGGGAGAGAGAACATGCAAACTCAAAATATACAGGCGTGAGAGTTGGGATTCGAACCCACGACCTCCTGGTTACCAGGCGAGGTAGTTAACATCTCGCCACCGTGGCACACTAACTGGCTGACCCACTGACCAACAGATCAACAAACTGACCTACCCACCTAGTGACTGGGCAACCAACACACTGACCGACGGGACTGGCTGACACATCGAATAACGATACAACGAATGTTCAGTCGACCGCCGACCGATAGCCGACCCCCCGAGTGAGCGAGCGAGCGAGTGGGCGTTTCACCTGTCGATGCGGAGCACATGGTCGAGCACCTCGTTGAAGAGAACGAGCGGCACGTCGAGCTCCTCCTCGTAGAAGATCTTGAGGCGCGCCTTGACGTACTCACGCAACTCCTCCTGCTCCACCGGCACGTAGTCCTGCACGGCGACGCCACGTGAGGTGAAGTGACGCCACGTGAGGTGAAGTGACGCCACGTAAGGTGAAGTGACGCAAAGTGACACGACGTGAGGTAAAGTGACACAACGTGAGGTAAAGTGACACGATGTGAGGTAAAGTGACACAACGTGAGGTAAAGTGACACGATGTGAGGTAAAGTGACACGATGTGAGGTAAAGTGACACAACGTGAGGTAAAGTGACACAACGTGAGGTAAAGTGACACGATGTGAGGTAAAGTGACACAACGTGAGGTAAAGTGACACAACGTGAGGTAAAGTGACACGATGTGAGGTAAAGTGACACAACGTGAGGTAAAGTGACACAACGTGAGGTAAAGTGACACGATGTGAGGTAAAATGACACAACGTGAGGTAAAGTGACACAACGTGAGGTAAAGTGACACGACGTGAGGTAAAGTGACACAACGTGAGGTAAAGTGACACAACGTGAGGTAAAGTGACACGATGTGAGGTAAAGTGACACAACGTGAGGTAAAGTGACAGGACGTGAGGTAAAGTGACAGGACGTGAGGTAAAGTGACACGACGTGAGGTAAAGTGACACAACGTGAGGTAAAGTGACACGACGTGAGGTAAAGTGACACAACGTGAGGTAAAGTGACACAACGTGAGGTAAAGTGACAGGACGTGAGGTAAAGTGACAGGACGTGAGGTAAAGTGACATGACGTGAGGTAAAGTGACACAACGTGAGGTAAAGTGACACAATGTGAGGTAAAGTGACAGGACGTGAGGTAAAGTGACACAACGTGAGGTAAAGTGACACGACGTGAGGTAAAGTGACACAATGTGAGGTAAAGTGACACAACGTGAGGTAAAGTGACAGGACGTGAGGTAAAGTGACAGGACGTGAGGTAAAGTGACACAACGTGAGGTAAAGTGACACAACGTGAGGTAAAGTGACAGGACGTGAGGTAAAGTGACACGATGTGAGGTAAAGTGACACAACGTGAGGTAAAGTGACACAACGTGAGGTAAAGTGACACGATGTGAGGTAAAGTGACAGGACGTGAGATAAAGTGACACAACGTGAGGTAAAGTGACATGACGTGAGGTAAAGTGACACGATGTGAGGTAAAGTGACACAACGTGAGGTAAAGTGACACAACGTGAGGTAAAGTGACACAACGTGAGGTAAAGTGACACGATGTGAGGTAAAGTGACACAACGTGAGGTAAAGTGACACAACGTGAGGTAAAGTGACACGACGTGAGGTAAAGTGACAGGACGTGAGGTAAAGTGACAGGACGTGAGGTAAAGTGACAGGACGTGAGGTAAAGTGACAGGACGTGAGGTAAAGTGACACGAAGTGAGGTAAAGTGACAGGACGTGAGGTAAAGTGACACAACGTGAGGTAAAGTGACAGGACGTGAGGCAAAGTGACACAACGTGAGGTAATGTGACAGGACGTGAGGTAAAGTGACACGAAGTGAGGTAAAGTGACAGGACGTGAGGTAAAGTGACACAACGTGAGGTAAAGTGACAGGACGTGAGGTAAAGTGACACAACGTGAGGTAAAGTGACACAACGTGAGGTAAAGTGACAGGACGTGAGGTAAAGTGACACAACGTGAGGTAAAGTGACAGGACGTGAGGTAAAGTGACACAACGTGAGGTAAAGTGACAGGACATGAGGTAAAGTGACACAACGTGAGATAAAGTGACACGATGTGAAGTAAAGTGACACAACATGAGGTAAAGTGACACAACGTGAGGTAAAGTGACAGGATGTGAGGTAAAGTGACAGGACGTGAGGTAAAGTGACACGATGTGAGGTAAAGTGACAGGACGTGAGGTAAAGTGACAGGACGTGAGGTAAAGTGACAGGACGTGAGGTAAAGTGACAGGACGTGAGGTAAAGTGACAGGACGTGAGGTAAAGTGACAGGACGTGAGGTAAAGTGACAGGACGTGAGGTAAAGGGACATGACATGAGGTAAAGTGACATGACGTGAGGTAAAGTGACATGATGTGAGGTAAAGTGACACAACGTGAGGTAAAGTGACAGGACGTGAGGTAAAGTGACACAACGTGAGGTAAAGTGACACGATGTGAGGTAAAGTGACACAACATGAGGTAAAGTGACAGGATGTGAGGTAAAGTGACAGGACGTGAGGTAAAGTGACAGGACGTGAGGTAAAGTGACACGATGTGAGGTAAAGTGACACAACGTGAGGTAAAGTGACACGATGTGAGGTAAAGTGACATGATGTGAGGTAAAGTGACAGGACGTGAGGTAAAGTGACAGGACGTGAGGTAAAGTGACACAATGTGAGGGAAAGTGACAGGAAATGACACCTTGCAGAGCCAAGTGAGGTTGGGCTGGGGTTTGTGCTAGTGTTGGGCTAGCACTATTGTTGGGGTCAGGGCACCTTGGACAGCCAGTTGCTGAAGAGGATTGGTCGGGCCAGGGCCTTGTGGCGGTCGATGTTGGGGAAGTGCTTGAGGGCGACCATGTTGATGTTCTCGTCTGTCCATCTCCGCTCCTCTTCATCCACCAGCCTTGGGATGGACACGCGGATAAGGGAGAGACTGGGGGGGGTCGGTGGACAGGCAGGTGGAGGGACAGGTGGAGAGACAGGCAGAGGGACAGGTGGAGGGACAGGTGGAGGGAAAAGGTGGAGGCACAGGATTCAATTAAAGTTCACTTGAGCAGGAGAAGCCGGTGGTGTTACACAGCAAACGAGGGCACGACACCCCCCAGTAGACACGTAAATGTTGGCCCAACGTCGCACTTTAAACTTGCATATTTAGAGCCGCATCATCCTTAAGTGATTCACCGCAACTTTGAACGTGAATATTGCAAAAGAAAATATAAACGTTATCATTCAAAGCTGTCCTTAACCTCAACTCGACCAAAACGCCAAGCCCTAACCATGGGCCTAATCACACCGCAATCCTCTGTCACTATCCTTACCCCATATCCAATTCTAATCCCGGCAATAAGCAACAACATCAACCCCAACGACAACTCCAATTGTAATCCCAAACTAAAATGAAGAGACCACGTTGGCATTACTTAACAAAGCAAAAACCGTCAAATATAAATAGTTTAACACATAGGCTTTTACAACCAATATCATCCATAATAGAGGTTTTTTTGGGTTAGATCGTGTAAATATATAAATATGTCATTAAACCCGAAACGTCGTACTCAGATTGTAAATGTTGTGGCTTGGCTCTCCAACACACCGGTGTGCTGTACTAGTGATGAATTGGCATGTTCTGTCTACGTGACAACCTTTACTAATTGGCTGTGTCGGGTGGTGGCGGGTTTTAACAACACATTTATATATTTACGCGATCTAACCCAAAAAAACTGTATTATGGAAAATATATATAGTATACCAATACATTTTTATTTAGAGAATAATCTGATGTATTGGGCAATTCCTGTGAAGCAAGCAGAACTTGAAATCCTGCTAACCCCTTAACCGTGACCAAAATAAAGCCCAAAAACCAAATTTGACCCAAACCCGAAGAACACCAACCGTAACCATGGCCCTATCTCAAACACAACACAATCACAACTCTAAACCAAACCGTAACTCTGACTATAACCCTGTCCCCTACTCTAACCCTAACTCTCAACTCCACATAAACACCTACCACAACCCCGACTTCACTGTAACTTCACTCTCTCTACCGCTACCCCTGCCTCTACCACTACCCCAAACTCTACCCCAACCCCTACTGCCACCTACCCTGACCCCTACCGCTACCCCGACTCCTACCACTACCCTGACCCCTACCGTTACCCCGACCCCTACCGCTACCTCTCCACGCGGCCCCTACGCTTGGCCCCTACGTCCGGCCTCTATGCCCGACCCCTGCGCCCCTGCGGGCCCTCACTGACCGGTCCTGGAAGAGGCGGAGCGCCTCATGGGCCCACATGCGCACGAGGCCCTCGACGGGCAGGCTCTCGAGCGGCCGCACGGCTTCCAGAATGCCGCGCACCCAGCGCGTCATCTCACGCGGCGAGTAGATGTAGTGCGGCTGCATGTCCTGCGTGAAGTGCTCCTGTGGGGGGTACGGGGCATGGAAGGTTAGGGGTCGCACATCATGGGGTGCAGGTTGTGGGTCGCGGGACGGCTAAAATAAAATGTATGTATGTTGAACTAAAACGTATATGTGGTTAATCGATTATCCGGTGTGCGATTATCTGGCTTCCAACATTATCCGGCGGTTCCGGGCCAATCCAGCGAAACTGCTCCAAAGGCTGTAACGAGTCCGGCGATCGGCACCGTATGCATGACAATAAAGTAGCTACACTTGATTCAGTGTAAAATATTATATATGGTACATTATACACTACATATAACTTAAACAATTAAAATACTGCACGTACAGTATATACATTTCCCATGACTAATAACTACAGTGCGATCCAGCGAAAATTGCGTTGTGTAATTTGGCGTTCACCGGAGCACCGGTCTAAAGGCTGCATCAGTCCGGCCATGGTCAAGAACATGGTTGTGTTGAAACAAAAGCATAATACGTACATCACCCCAAATTGGAGTTTAAATAAATAAACTTTTTACAATAGGATATTTATTTTTATCTTTATGTATGTTGATGCCAATTTTATACAGTAAACTAATTAAAAACACAAAAAAACATACACACAAAAAACATAATGTTATACAAGAATGTGCAAAAATAAGCTCTTTGAAATAATTATTTGCTTATCCGACATTATTTTTTAATCCGGTGCCCCCTTCCCGCCCCCTGAAGTCGTCAGATAAACGATGATCTACTGTATGTGCAAATGCCCAGTGCAACATTGAAGCTCGTGCCGCAAGCAAGATTGCCCTGGCGCAGCGCCCACCTGCGACATGGTGTAGAACTCCACCATGGCGGCGGTGAGTGGCTCGGCGTAGGTGCGCAGCGTGGGGATGAGGCGCAGCAGCGCGCGGTTGAAGGTGCTGTAGATCTGCGTGAGCGACGCGGGGCCCGGGTAGTCCACGTACACGACGGGGACGTGGCGCATGAATCTGTCGAGGGACGAGAGAGGGTCGGCATCAGCGTCAGCATTGCTATCATCATCACTGCCATTTTCATCATCATTCGTTATCGCATACCTGTCAACCCCTTATCATTGCCTACCTTATTACAGACAAATTCAGACCCTATTGGTCACGCCGTGCCCTTATACATCTCAACGTTCATCCTACAAAGTCCCATCACAAGGGAGACACACAAACAAATAGACAAAAGACAAATTGCCCGTATTGAAACAGCTGTACGTCGTATGGACCTGAAAACTCAATTCTCTGGACAAGATTATGGGTAAACGGTATGGGTTCACAGGCATGTTATCACTGTCACTAATATTCTTGTCTCCATCACAGTCATTATCATTCATATCAGCATCGTCGTCGTCATCGTGATCATCACCGCTGCACACACCCATAGCTCTGCTGCCCTTTGTGTAAATCTGTTGCTAGATGAGGGCATCCCCACCCTGTACAGGTTGTGGGGGATAGTCGACCATACTTCACCGCACTGGTCTGTGTGCGTGTGCGAAGGTCGGGAAGCATGAATGAGGGAGCATAGACGTAGAGTACAACAATGGGTATTGCTGTACTAACAACTTAGCCACACAGTGGCCTAGGTCACAGGCCATTATCAACACGATGACCATCACCACTATGCCTAATAAGGTCATCATCAATGCTTGTTTGGCTGATTACACTTGTATCGATGGCCCTTACACCTCAGAATTAGAATATTTGTTCATCCTGGAAGAATCCGATGAGATGTCCAGCAGGAGCGGATCAGAACGTTACAACAACAACAACACAAAAACACGACAGGAGTGCAAAGTATAGGAAAGGTAAACAAATAAAACTAAACAATGTTTTATCTTACCAGGTAAAGCCCACCGAGATATTAACTTATTTTTCCAAAGCGACCTGGCCACAAATGTATGAAAAATATTAATGATTTTTACCCTTTCTGGCAATAAAACAGGAGGTGTTAAGATGTAAAAAAAACACAAATATAACCCTTTTGTGGTGAGCATGCAAACATGCTCTGATACAGCAGCCTTCTTTATGGCCTTTTCTCTCTCACCGGTGTCAGACCAGAGAACACCAAAAGGTGAAAAAGGTCCCATGATATGGCCCCAAATCATAGCTTTACAAAGTGGCTTATCACGTTGAAATTTATAGTAGTTAGCAAATAATCTAAATAATCAAATGCATGTTTTGAAATGCATGAAAGGGATCCCCTCCTGCACATGAATGGAAGCCGTGGGTCAGCGGTCACCCCTTCACCTGTGTGAGAGCGGCTTGCGGCCGGGGTCCGTGGGCGGGTTGCAGGCCCCCACAAACTGGATCCGCTCCAGACGAACCCACGTCTGGTCGGCCGTGCGGTAGAATCCGCCGTGCTCCACCATCTACGTCACACAAGAAGAGCAAAGATCCCCCCATGTAACCTTTAACCCTCTCCCCTTCCGATGACGTACGTGTACATTATCAGTTTTTCTTACGATTCCGTTCCGAAGACGAACGTTTTCATCATCAAAATGAAACCGGAATAAAAACTGAAATAAAATAACTTTATCGGTACCGAGGCTCCCACAAGGTCATGCGGGAAGGCGTGTGGCACAGTTTGGCGCCAGCTATCATAGCGTGCGGTCGTGTCGCTACGGTTCTCTGCGGTGAGTACAATGTGTTTAAAAACAACGGTGCTATGCCTCTCTCAATAAAATTAATGCTCACCGTTTGCACGTTCAGCGGTGAACGGAACTACCCACCCTGAAATTTGCAGACGTCTCCGAACGGGAAAGGGTTAACAGACTCACGATAAGGTTTTTTTATTTTTGGGTTAGATCGCGCCAATGTAAATGTTTCGTACACCAACCTCCACCCGACACAGCCAGTTAAACAATTTAAACTAAACAATACATTTTTATTTTTCCAGGTAAGGCCCACGAAGCTACGTAGCTCTTTTAACAGAATCAACTTGGTCACAAATGATAGCCCAACGAAGTGGCTTATCACGTGGAAATGTATAGCAGCCAAATACTCTAAATGCATGTTTCTAAATGTCGAGGGAAAAACCGTAGGTCCCGGAGAAAAAAATCCACGCGAACACGAGGAAAGAAACATGCAAACTCCAAATATACAGCAGCAGGCGTGAGGGTTGGGATTCGAACCCACGACCTCCTGTATACCGGGCGATACCGCGGTTTGTAACGTGAACACAACGTGAGACCGCCCCCCTGCCCACACGCCTCCCACGGCCCGCGGCGTCCCCCCCCCCCCCGCAGCACTCACCTGGCGGATGAAGGAGATGACGCGCTGCGTGCCGTACTTGTCCATGTCCGGCAGGTTGATCTCGTCGCAGAAGAGCACCAGCCACTTGCTGAGCTGCACGGGCGCCAGCACGACGCCGTTGGGCGTGCGCCGGTACTCGCAGTAGTGGTCGAACGTCTTGAGCAGCAGCTCCGGGGTGGTGGCACTCGAGAAGTTCAGGCCGACCACCTGCGGGGGGGTCGGCAGGGCGGGGCGGGGGGAGGGGTCGGCAGGGCGGGGGGGTCGGCAGGGCGGGGGGCGGGGGGCGGGCGATGAGGGGTCAGGAGGTCGTCGCGGGACAGCTCTGAGAAGCGTGTCGGCTTATTTTGTTCTATGTGGACGCGAGGTGATAGGTCGAGGCTGCCAAGCTCATATGTATGCCACCCCTGGGTCTAGCATGTAACCGACTTAAACACGAAACAACGACTCTCACGCGCGGAGCTCTCAAATGACGCTCCACCTTCTCTCCATTATTTTCTGAGGACTGAAAACCGACAGCGCCCCCCCCTCCCCCCATGTTCATGCAAGAGAGGGGCCCCCTCTGCCTACAGCCACCACCGTCACCGCCACCACTTCTCAGTGCAGCGTGGTGAGCCAGAAGCTACTCTCCTCCACATTAGCGGCGCGGAGGGGCACGTGAACATTCTGTAGGTGAAGCCGCCGTTCATAGCGATTGTTATTTAGCAGGTAAGGCCCACTGAGCTGTTTAGCTCTTTGTCAGAAGCGACCTGGTCACAAATGATAGCTCAACGAAGTGGCTTATCATGTGGAACTGTATAGCAGCCAAACACTCTAAATGCGTGATGTTGATTCTAAATGTGGAGGGAAAAACTGGAGGACCCAAATAAAAATCCACGCGATGATTGGGAAACTCCAAATATACAGTAGGCATCAGGGTCTGGATTGAACCCATGACCTCCTGCATACCCGGCAAGGGAGTTAACATCTCGCCACCGTGGAATTGTCGAATCACTTGCATCCCTTCATGGGAGAAATGGCCAGGGCTAAGGAAACGGCCACAAGCACACACGAAACAAAGACAAAGATCCCCCGTATAACCTTAACAGACTGTTGGGGCAAGTGCTGTTAGCGAGCACCTTTGAAGGCCGGCAGGGCACACGAGAGGATGGGTGGTCAGTACTACGCCCGCCAGACCGCCTTTGTCTCCCCAGTGGCGATGTTTACACACCACACCAGGTCCTCATTTTAGGCTGAGTCGACCTTGGTGAGGCCCACGACCACATTCAGATAATCGTCACTGGTGGTGGCCGTGAGCGGGAATCGAACTTGGGTGGCCGGGTTCGTAGCGCAGCATAGCGCTAACCGCTACACCGCCGCTCCACACGCACGCACGCACGCCTGTACACACACACCTCCATGTCGGGCAGCGCCCGCAGCGCGCTGAACAGCGTCATGGTCTTGCCGGAGCCGGGCGGGCCGCACAGCACGAGCGGCTTGTGCTCCGCCAGCCACGTGTAGAGCAGCGCCTCGTGGCGCACCGTGTCCAGCGTGGGCACCACTACGTCGGGGGCGGCCACCTACGCGGACGTTGCCACAAGCGCAGTCATCGACACGGACATAACCACAATCCACGACCAACAACAATCATTAAAATTGTGAACGCGCCACCGCTGCCGCGCAGTATCCGCTCGCCGTCGCGGAGAGGAGACGGCACGAGCGGGAAGGCAGCGGCAGACAATAATTGCCCAAGCTCTGCGGTCCCCGATATATAAGGATGCTTTCAGCCAAGTAATGAGCACGCATGCGAGGGGGCAACGCTCTATCCCGTAGAGATGGAACAGGCGGGGTCCACATTTGCTGTGACCGCCTTCTGGCAAGCCATGGTAATGGCACCACCTCGGTCCCCACAGGAACGCATTCGTGGGGTGATCCACCAACCCTCGCCCCCGCAGTGCTGCAGCACAGGCGTTACTACAGACGCAGACATAACCGCAAATCAAAGGTTTAGACACAGATACATCTGTAGTGGGTTAACGCGCGCCAAAAGGGGGAATTGGAAACACGTGCGTGTTATGGACAGTGGGGTCGCGTCAGGGCAAACAGGTGTTGCTGGGAGAATAACGGCCGAAGGGAGACGGTTCATTAAGTGGTTGCAAGATGCGTGGCGGTAATTGGATGGTGGACAGAAGCTACGAACGCGAGGCGTCGGTGGGGACGCCGCTTAATTAATTGGTAATTAATGAGGAAGGGGATATATAAGGGAGCGCGAGAGAGACGGGGAGTTGTTGCTGGGAGCTGGACGGAGAGAAGACGGGGAGCAGGATCGAGAAGAAGATATGAGAGATAGAACAGGCTAGCAGTGGAACAGGGAACGAGAGAAGATATGAGACAAAGCAGAGTGAGACAGGGCAGAGTGAGACAGAGCAGAGTGAGACAGTGAGAGACGAAGCGGAGAGTCGGAGTGAGACGGAGACGCCGAGAGAGAGACAGTCGGAGCAGAGTCAGTCGGAGCAGAGAGAGCGGAGAGTCGGGGAGAGAGAGATGGAGAGAGGCGGAGAAAGCGGAGCGACCGAGGCGAGCGGAGCGTGGCGAGCGAACGGCGGAGGGCGGAGACGCACGCCGAAGTCACGGGTGTTGAATGGGAAGAAGTTTGTATAATAAAAGTGACGACGGAAAAAGAAGAAGTTGTCTGCGTAAAGTTCAGCACTACACATCTACAAACCACAACCACCGATACAGATACAGCCACATCCTCAAAGCAGAGGTAAACCGCAACCACAACGAGAATCGTGCGTGTGGCTGCGGTTGCGATTGTTGTTCCCCGGATGGTCTCCAGGCGTGAGCACAAAACGGCACGAGCGCCGAAGCAACACCGACCTATGGCAACGAAGCTCGCTCATCGACTCAAAGTTGCAATGCACTTCAACTAAACGTTTCCTCACCCCCCCCCCACCAACTTCTCCACAAGCCGTCGCGCGTAGCCGCCAACTGCATTACCTTGTGCGTTTCCACCTCGATCTGGGGGACCTTGGCCTGCCAGGGCACCCACTCGCCCGTGATGGACACCTGGGAGGGATGCAAAGACAAAGAGCCCCCGCGTAGCCTCCACGGACTTGCTGGGGGCAAGTGCTGCGAGCGAGGAGCACCTACGAAGGCCGCCACGGTGGCACACGACGGGGGTGGGTGGTCTCCTCGGTGCTGATAGTTATACACCGCACCAGGTAGTTATTTAAGGCTGAGTCGACCTAGGGGAGGCTCAGGACCAATGCCGATATTCGCCACTGTTATAGGTCGTGAGCGGGAATCGAACCGTACATGCGCACAGCAGCTTGAGCGCACGACACAACCCAAAGGGACCCAGACCCACGTGTCCCAGAATGCCTGGCGGGAGTTTGATGCTTCGTTAATTAAAATACAGGATCATGTGACTTTCACGACAGCAACCACACTGTCGCCACTGCAGTGGTGATTGATGAGCAAGTGCAGTGACGAGTGCGCCCCCACCCCCAACCTCCACGCCTGACGGGTTGACGGAATGTCAGGACTCCTCGGGGTCACAGTTCGATTCCAGGAGCGGTCGTTTTTGTCTCGGCTCTGCCGTCTCGTTTGTACAGCGGTGTCAGCTCCATCAGCCTCAGCGTGTAACCACTGCTATAGACTAGAGGCCCCTGCTATAGACTAGAGGCCCCTGCTACAACCATCGCTGTAGACTAGAGACGAGAGTGGGGGAGAGAGTGGGGGTGTGCGGGCACCTCGAAGTCGATGATGGGCAGGCTGGGCGCGGTGGGCAGCGGGATGGTGGTGACGCGCCGGATGTACTCGCCCAGCTCCGAGCGCATCTTGAGTCGCCCGTCCCCCGAAAACGACCAAAGCACGGCGTACACCAGGTACCGCTGCGGCACGCACAAACACGCACAAAGACAAAGGTCCCTCCCGTGTAGCCTTAGCAGACTGTTGGGGCAAGTGCTGTTTTGAAGCACCTGAAAAGGCTGATGTTTGTGTGCCGCACCAGGTCGACCTAGGGGAGGCACAGAACTGGTTCAGACATTCGTCGCTGATGTTGGCCGTGAACGGGAATCGAACTTGGGTGGCCGAGTTTCGGAGCAGGTGCTATTAGCGAGCAGTTAAGAAGACCGCCACGGTGCACAAGGAGTTTGTATGGCCGGAACCACGACTGCCTTTGCCTCCCCAGTGCTTTGTGTTTACACACCGCATCAGGTACTCATCTAGGTTTGAGTAATTCTCGAGTCGGCCAAGAACCGGTTCAGATATCACTCACCACCGATGTGAGCCATGGCCAGGAATTAAACTCGGCTCACAGGTTCCCAGCACAGTTCACTAGCCCAGCGAGTGATTGAATGTGGGCGTGGGTGCATGAGTGAGTCAGGGAGTAATTTTTTCAGTGAGCAAGCAGGCGAGTCAGTAAATGAGCCATCGAGCGGGCGAGTGCGAATGAGAATGGATGAGAGAGTGAGTGAACGAACGGGCGATTAGGAAGTTTACTTAACACGGAGATTTTGTGCAGCCAATATCATGATACGTAATAGATTTTTGGCTTAGGCCACATAATGAAATTTGTGTCGTGATACTACTATCCCTTCCACCACCCGATACAGCCAAACAAATTCATTTGTTTACAAGTGTTATTATTGCTTCAGTTCACCGGTAAGTTTAACAACACATCTCACCACCAAATTTAGCAATCAGATTCGTGACGTTTCGCTTGCAAATGCCCCAAGCATTGTCAGGACAAGGATTCAGAAAGTCAGACTAACTGTGTCTTGTATGTACAGTATGTATGATGAACCTGCTCTGCATCGTATGTAGCCAACCGTGCTAATCGGAGGTGCAGAGGAAGGAAGATCCCACAGGAACAACCAATCAGATTATTTGTGTGCCCAGAAAACGTGGAACGTTTGTCCAATGCTGGTGCAACAGTCACAACCACGTGCCAGCGTTGAGTGAGTCGTTGAGTCGGTGAGTTCGCGAGCGAGCGGGCGAGTGGGCGCGTCCCTTCACCTGCGCGTAGCGCTCCAGCATGTCGGCGGGCATGGGGAAGTCGGGGTGGTTGGCGTTGTAGAGCGCCACGTTGCGGCACGCCTGGTGCAGCATGGAGAAGAGCGAGCCGAGGCAGCGCAGCCGCGTGAACTCCATGATGTGCTCGAGGCGCGACGCGTGCTCCAGCGCCTTCGTCACGAGGCCCCCCGAGGTGAAGTACGGCTGCAGCACCGCCGCCACGTCGTGCTGGATCTGGTGCCGCCGAGGGCACGGGGAGGGGGGGGGGAGGAAAGAGGCCGTTCGCAACGCACGGAGTTGTGGGACAGGTCACGTGGCCACGGCGCTGCGTCAGTGCGTCCCCTTGCGCGTGACCGGCAACGTGGGAGATTGGGCCTTGAGACAGGGCCAGAGGCCTGTGTCGGTGCATGTCACCCTGTGTGCCAACCCCATACGTTGCCCCACGTGCTGCTCTACTGCCGCCCCCACACGTTACTCCAGCTCGTCACCTCCGAGCATCACCCCCATGCATCACCCCCACGCATCACCCCCCCGGCGCGCCACCACGCGTCACCCCCAGCGCGCCACCCCCACGCGTCACCCCCCTGGCGTGCCACCCCCACGCGTCACCCCCCCGGCGCGCCACCTGCAGCATGGGCGACAGTGCCTCGTCGTCGCGGTCCTGCCCCCCCGTGCGGCGCCGCTGCGCCTCCTCCTCGGCCTCGTCCAGGGAGATGCTGCGCAGGCGCGCGAGGAAGTGGCCGAACACCATGTCGGTGCTGAGCACGTCCTCGCTGAACCACACCATGCCGCAGCGCGACACCGTCGCCAGCGTCGCGTAGCGCAGGTCCTGCACCTCGAACATCACGCGCACCTGCGGGCAGCGACGCACGCACACGCGAGCGCGTCGTCGAGTTACGCGCGTGGATGGGAAGCGGTGGCCTCGCCGTGCCCGGCTGCTGCCTCTACCCCAGCGCTGTGGAGGCAGCGGCGAGGGTTGGTGGATCGCCGTACAGCGAGCGTGACTAATCTCCATCTATTTCCATCTGTACGGGGATCGAGTGTTGGCCCCCACCCCTTGCATGCGTGGGTTTCTCCAGGTGCTCCGGTTTCCTCCCACGTGTATAAACAACTCATTAATCAGCAGTAAACGCCTTTAAATTACTAATATTACCATTTTCATCATACCAGGTAAGGCCCACTGAGCTGTATAGGTCTTTTTTAGAAGTGACCTGGCCACAAATGATGGCTCAATGAAGCGGATTATCGCGTGGAAATTTATAGCAACCAAACACTCTAAATGAGTACGGAAAATCCCAAAAATGTGTCGGGAAAAACCAGAGAACTCGGAGAAAAATCCACGCGACAATGCGGAGAGAAACACACAAACTCCAAATATACAACAGGCATTGTCAGGGCCGGGATCGAACCCATACCCGGCGAGGGAATTAACACCTCCGAGCCACCGTGGCAGGACCCCCTGTGACAAATATTCCGTGGACTGAGTGTGGCTTTCCTTGATAAATCAGTAATGGTTGTATAGTACTACGCGCACGCACACGCGCACGTGTGCGTGCGCGCTCGTGGGCTCACGTTTGGCGGCAGGCTGAGGCGCTCGCCGTTGGGCAGCGTGAGCAGCTTGTTGTCGTCCAGCACGGAGTTGAGGTTCTCCACCCACTCGGGGTCCACGTCGCCGTCAAACACGATCCACTGCCGCTTGTGCAGTTCCCCGCGCACGTTGTCGATGATCCTGCACGGGGGCGACGCCGGGTTCACGCGAGCGGCGGCGGATACAGCGGCGTCGCCGCACCGAGTCTCACCGGCTCGCCCATCCCTCTCCTCCCGTGATCGTTAATAAAGATGACAACAACTCTGCGTTGTGTTCTGCCCTCCACTTGAGGATCGAGTGACTCCACCACCGAGGGACACCAGGGGGTTGTGGAACGGCAGCTTCATTTCGAAGTGTTCTGTAATTATGACCAGATGCTCACCAATCGACCCCACGTTACACGACACCTCACTGCTCAATCCCTACACGGCGTCCATCCGAATCTGAATAGATGCCCTGTACCCTGAATCTATTACTCCACTGGTGGGCGTGACCTACTGTGCAGTAACGTGAGTCTATGGATCCAATCCATGGTCATCGTTAACTCCATTCATAATTTTACGTGTGATTCATTACATTAAGCCCATAGCTGCTACAGGAGCAGCAACAATGCCATACCAAGCAACAACGATACCACCTTGAGCATAACACAGTACAATAGATATTTATGCACTGCTCTCGACTGCCACAACCAAGGCAAAGATGCCCCCTATAGCCATAACAGACTGTTGGGGCAAGTGCTGTGAGCGACTAGCACCTATGAAGGTTGGCTAGGCACACGAGGTGGTGGGTGGCCAGCACCACGCCCGACTGCCTTTGTCTCCCCAGTGGCGATGTTTACACACCCCAATCATCACCGGTGTTGGCCGTGAGCGGGGAATCCAACTCGGGTCGCAGGGTTCGTAATGCAGCACGCTAACTGCTACTACACTACCGCTCCCCACACACACACGCCCACACACGCCGACGCACACACGCATACGCCCACACGCCCACACACACGCGCGCGCGTGTGCCACCCCCCCCCGACGCTCACTTGCGCAGGATGTGGGTGAAGAGGCCGTCGGTCCACTCGCGAGTGTTGGGGTCCAGCGTGCCGTACAGGTGGTCCTTGCTCAGCGCCTTGGGGTCGATGATGTGGGCCACGCCCTCGGTGCCCTCGAGGCGCTCCAGGGCCTTGAGCAGCACGCGCCACGCCGTCGACTTGCCGCTGCCCGAGGGCCCCACCATCATGAGGCCGTGGTTGATCTGCGTGATCTGGTAGAGCTGCAGGACCTGCGGTGGACACCCGCGATGCACGAGCGACCGTTCATTCATTCATCAGTTAAGGTATTCGTACAATGTTTCATTGATTCATTTCGTGTGTTCATTTGCACGTGAATTATTTTGTACGTTAATTCATTTGTTCGTACAACTGTTCTTTACTTCATGTAACGGGTAGATAAAGGGCTCTGCAGAGGCAAGTGGTATCTGCATTAGGTGGAGAAGTATGGTCAAACAATCTCCACAACTGATATATGGTATGGGAAGGCCCCACCATCGCAAAGTGGATGGACAAAGAGTAGTGAGTTATTGTTATTTTTTATGAACATCAATGCCCGTCACCTAGGGCTGAACACTTTAATGCCTCAGCTCTGACCGTCTGTCCGTCCGTCGTCCGTCTGTAACATGGCGTGACGATAACGGCCGTAAAGACGAGCCAGTCAAAATGAAGTTCTAAGTTTAACGTTATCAGTGAACGCACACCCTGAAGAAAACCGGGCAAATTGATTTAAGGGTTACCTACAACTTGTTAATGAAGGTCAACCTTGACGCACGAGGCGATGACGTCACACGCCGCGCGTGCTCGGCTCGCCACGATGCCGCCTACGCGCAACGCGGCGTCGTCTCGTCCCGCCACTCGTAAAGGCATCGCAGTAATCGGGACGCCGTTAACTCGCTAAGACGACCGTGCGCGTATAAACTCAAGCGTGGGAACTCGCGCGTAGGAACTCGCGCGTGGAACACGCCCGGGACACGCGGGGGCACGTCGACTTTTCCCCGTCCCCTAGTCGCCGCGGGCGACGCACCTTCTCGACCCACATGCTGCCGATCTCCTCGCCGTCGCCGTACATGAGGTACATCTCGGCGCAGACCTTGCGCAGCTCGTCGCGCAGCGCGCCCATCTCGCCGCGGTGGTACTGGACGCCCGGGAAGACGTCGGATAGCAGCGAGAAGAGCAGCGGGATGTCCTCCGCCACCAGCTTGGGCACCATTGTCTCGCACACGCTCTGGATCAGGATCTGCGGGCGGACGGCGGTGGTGATGGGGGGGGGGGGGGTAGTGTAGCGGTTAGCGCGCTGCGCTACGAACCTATAGACCCGGGTTCGATTCCGGCTCACGGCCAACACCAGTGACTATTATCTGCATGAGTCCTGGGCCTCCCCTGGTGGTTGTGGTTGATGGTGGCGGTGGGTGGCGGTGGATGATGACGTGTGGATACAGTGAGAGATTAGTGTTGTTCCAGCTGTTGTCATAACAACCATTGGGGGTCAGGACCTTTATCAGCTTGAGTACTGTTCAACCTCGGCCTAGTGTAGTCTCATCCTTGGTCTGGGCCTAATCAATTTCACTCTCAGCCTACATTTGTAGCAATAGCCTTGGCATTGCCTATCCCATCCTTATATTTGGCCTTGCCAGTCCATTCTTAAAATTTACTTAATCGGTCCAAGCTTTCGCCAACGCTTGGTCAATCTCAGTTTTGGCTCCATCATTCCCTTGCCAGTCTCGAACAGCCTTGGCGTAGTCGGTCCCATCTCAGTCTTACCTCATCAGTTCTGGCCTAAGGTGTGACTCGGGAACTAGCGAGTTTCAGCGTTTGCACGCGAGAGGCCTTCCACATAAAGTTGGCACACACTCGTAACGCAGGTCCCACTCATCTTCGTTGGCTGGTCTTCGGGCCATTGAAAGGGCCTGTCCTTGCGAGAAGACTACTGCTAGAAGGTGGAGACTACGGCCAAATCCATCCAATAACTGCGAAGTAAATGCCCAGTTGGAAGCGACCCTGCTGAAAATTAGCTGTACCCTAAATACTCGGGTGCATGTATGTTGTATGTATGTTGTATGTATGTAGAACTTCTTTCGCATGGTACGTCGTCAACTAGGCTAATCGGCGGTGTGGGGGAGAAGGACAAAAGACTACAATCACTCCAAGCCTTGGCCTAGATTTAGTCAGTCCAACCTGGGCCTTAGGCATGAAGTGGGCCGAGAGGGGGTGGGGATGGCGGAGGGGGCCCCCCTCGCTGGATGGCATAGCCCCCCCTTGCTCCCCCCCTCCAGGGTGCGATGGGTGGGCACGTCACCTCTTGCTCGGGGAGGTTCTCGGCGATCTGGCCCTCGTCCACCACCTCGCCGCGCTCCACCTTGTCGCGCTTGATGCGCTGGATGCGCTCGCGCTTCACGTTGCCGGCGCTGACGAGGACGCTCTTGAGGGCGCGCAGCCCAAAGTCGTAGTGGCTCTGCGAGGAGAGCTGCTCGTCGCACAGCCTGCGGGGGGAGCGCCACCGCCACCGCCATCGCCGCCGTTGTTATCGGTAGTGGAATCGGTGTCAGCATCCACAGCATTGGCATCATCATTATCATTGTCGTCATCGTCAGCATCAACATCGGCAGCAGTAGTGTCGCCCGTAGCATTGTCAGCGATGTCATCATCATTATCAGTGGCAATGACAGTGTAATCAGCATTATCATCATAAATATCGTCATCATCAGAAGCAGCAGCATCATAATTGTCATCATCAATGCAGGTCATGAGCGACAAATCATGAGTCTTATAGATTTCAATCTTGTATCACTCGTAACTGATACATGGGTGGTCAAACCGCAGCTCCCGGGCAGATCGAGTGCAACTTTTACAGAGACGCAGAAGATGTTTGCTACTTTTCGATCTGAATTTAAATTTGGATGGGAAAAAATAAAATAATCTGCATGAGCGGGAGGAGCTCGGTGGCACCTAAGTACTCCCCGCGCACTTCCACGGATATCTACATTCATAACTCCGCAGCCAACCGGTGCGGGTGAATTAGCCACGTGACCACCCCACGCAATCACCCCATGTGACCCGCTTAGCGTCCTGTCGCTCTCAGTCACGTGCAGATATGAAGCTTGCAGGTTCAGGACGTAAAATGTCTTCGGACAGATCGTACGGGGGGACGGGTGTCGATGAGGATTACGGACGTCACAGAAGGGAGAACGGAAGGGGAAAAAGAGTGAGACGAGGGCCGATGATCGGCTGACTTTGGAGGAGCCGAGGGAGGTGGACGTTTGTGAAAACAAATGGGAGGGCGGAGGGCAGAGAAGAATGGAAAAAACATTTCCATCGAGGCGCTGCTTATGATATTGACCAGCAGCACATCGTGTCATTAATTCCGAGATTAATAATTAAAGGGCAAGTTGATAAAAATAAGATTTTAGACATTTCCGAAAGATATCTCAATTTTTTCTCGGCACGCAGTTCGCCGTCGTACACCAGAGCTGTCCATGGAGCGAAGACCAGGCAAACTCGTGATTGACATCAAAGGTCCGGACAGAGAGAGAGAAAGAGGTCAGGGGAGGTTGACCGCTACCCCCACACCCACCCCTCCCACCCCACCCACCCCTCTCATCCCACCCGCCCCTCCCACCCCACCCGCCCCTCCCACCCACGCGCCCCACCCACCCACCCAACCCTCCCACCCCTCCCACAAGCCTCCTCACCCACCCCACCCCACCCCTCCCACCCACCTACCCCATCCACCCCGCCCACCCCACCCACCCAAACTCCAGCCACCCACCCCTCCCACCCACCCCACCAACCCCCCCCACCCAACCCACCCAACCCTCCCACCCACCTCACCCACCACCCCCACACACCCACCCCTCCCACTCCACCCACCCACCCCACTCCTCCTACCCACCCCACCCACCCCACCCTCCGAAACCGGCAAGTCTGTTGAGAGGAGGCGTGCGGGGCCGGGGGGAAGCGGACGCTCACTTGAAGAAGGGCACGATCTTGTTGGAGAGCACCTCGGCCGTGCGGAAGCCCTGCGAGTAGAGCATGACCTGCGCGATGAGCTGCCGGTCGGGCTTGGTCATGGCCAGGCTGCGGAAGAGCTTCTTGAGGTTGTCGGGCAGGTTGGAGCGGCCGGCGTAGCCCGGGTTCATGGTGATGAAGATGGCCATCTCGGCGCTCACCTTCACCTGCTTGCCCAGCAGCTCGCACGTGATGGGCGGCGACTCTGCTCCGAGCGGGGGAGCAACGACAATGGCGCCGCCGTCGTCGTCATCATCGTCATCATCGTGATCATCATCATTATCGTGATCATCATCGTGATCATCATCATCATCGTCGTCGTCATCATCGTCGTCATACTCGTCATCATCGTGATCATCATCATGATCATCATCGTGATCATCATCGTGATCATCATCATCATCGTGGTTATCATCATCATCGTTGTCATCATCATCGTCATACTCGTCATCATCGTGATCACCGTCATCGTCGTCGTCATGACCATCATCATAGGCTGTGGTTGTTGCTATGCGAGGGGTTAATGTGGCTGTGATTTGGTGGTTGTTGCTGTGGTTCTTGTGGTTGTGATTTGGTGGTTGTTGTGGTTGTGATTTGGTGGTTGTTGCTGTGGTTGTTGTGGTTGTGATTTGGTGGTTGTTGCTGTGGTTGTTGTGGTTGTTGTGGTTGTGATTTGGTGGTTGTTGCTGTGGTTGTTGTGGTTGTGATTTGGTAATTGTTGCTGTGGTTGCTGTGGTTGTTGTGGTTGTGATTTGGTGATTGTTGCTGTGGTTGCTGTGGTTGTTGTGGTTGTGATTTGGTGGTGGTTGTTGCTGTGGTTGTTGTGGCCGCGGTGGCGGTGGCGGAGACTGACCGCGCAGGCGGCAGGGGTTGGCGTGCTCGCGCAGCGCCTCCTGGATGCACTGCACCTGCTGCGACACGGCCGACAGCATGCGCTCCTCCAGGCGGTTGAACTCGTCGAAGCAGCCCCACGCGCCCACCTGGCACAGCCCCACGAAGATGCGGCCCATCGCCTGCGCAGGGCACACACGCGCACACAGACACAGTGCAATGCGGTTGTAAAAATTATCATAGTAAGGAATAATATTCATAATTACAGTTCTCCAGATTGATTTTTAACACGTAGTAGGCTTTCGCGACCAATATTGTCCATAGAGGTTTTTTTTGGATTAAATGGCGTGAATATAAATATGTTGTTAAACCCCGCCACCACCCGGCACAGCTAGTTAGTAAGGTTTGTCACGTAAACAGAACGTGCCAATTCGTTACTATCTTCTTGGTTCTTTCGGTAAAGTCACGTAGAAGATACATAATAAAATAATAACAATAAAACATAATAAAATACAATTCTCACGACGTTTATTATGTTTAATTTGCATTATTTTATTATTTCCCTTCTACGTGCCTTTACCCGAGAACCAAGAAGATGAATCCCTGCAGTCACGAAAGCTTTACATCGAAATTAGTTACTAGTTCAGCACACCGGTGTGTTGGAGAGTAAACCCACAACATTTACAATTCGAGTACTGTGACGTTTCGCCGGTAATTACAACCAGCCTCATCAGGCGACAGCCAGATTGACTTTGTTATAGATTTCCAGAACTAAGGATTTATGATTCATCATCACTTATTTATCCAGGAGGGCGACACTGAGTCGAAGGATTCTTTTTGAGGCGAGCCCTGCATTTAGTTTTCATTTATTTTAAGATGTTTTCAGCCAGTTAATGACGAGCATTTATTGTACAAGTGGGGAGGAAACCGGAGCACCCAGATGAAAACCGACGCCTTGCGCAAGGGGGCAACGCTCTATTCCCGTACAGATAGAAACAGATGGCGATACAATTTTGGCTTTAAACTTTCGTGACTGCAGGAATCCATATTCTTGGTTCTTTCGGTAAAGTCACGTGGATAGAAAATAAAATTTAAAATGAATTAAAATAAAAGCAAAAATCCCACGACGTTTCGACCACAGCACAAGCGGTCTTCATCAGGCGGAGAGACAAGAGGGGGGGAAGCCTCCACATGCAGCTGCTTCTAAGGGCTTCCAAAGTGAGTGGGTGGGGGACGAGAGTTGCGAGGCAGCAGCAAAGAAAGCTGTGCGGCGTCAACAGCACGGGCAGGGCAGCCAGTCAGCCCAGGGGAGGCCCAGGACCAGTTCGGATAATCGCAACTGGTGTTGGCCATGAGCGGGAATCGAACTCGGGTCATCAGGTTCGAAGCGCAGCGCGCTAACTGCTACGCTCCCGCTCCCCACAGACACATGCACACACACGCACGCACACACAGGCTGGAAAACCTCCAACGGCTCTGGCCCAAACACAGATTCTCCTGCCAGGGGACACGTGGATGGCAACGACTGCGAGGCTTCCCTGGGCCGGTGTCTCTGGTGGAGTCCGCCTCACACAGGGGCAAACGAGGCCACCCCCCGTGCGTCTCACCATCGATGAGCCTCTGCCCCAGGGGTCACGGTCAGGTACATTCCCCCACCAGGTGCAAAATCCTCGACAGCTCAAATGTGTTGCGTCACCTGACAATCACGATCTCTAGCGCTAGCTTTGTTTTTGTGCAGTTGTCGGTGACCGGGCGGGCTCAACTCGCTCCACGAGAGAACCCGATCTCGTCGGTATGGGCGACCACACGGCACTGCGACGCTGGCTCGGCGCTTTAACACGGCCATTACGAACCCCCCCCCCCCTTCCCCCGAGCCACCATTGCACTTCGTGAGCAGGGGGGAGGGTTCGGCGATCAAGCCACGATGCGTCCTCACCTGGAAATCGAAGGTCTCGTCGCAGTTGAACACCAGCACGAAGCGGCCCAGCTGATTGCCCAGGGCCTTCACGGACTCCGTCTTGCCCGTCCCAGCAGGGCCTGAAGCCACACAAAGTGCCACCGCAGTCATCCCGATGAGCGCTCGCCACCGGCCACGGCCGCACCAGAGACCCTTTCAGCACGGCTGTGTTTCTGACATTACCGTTCACCAAACATTTACATCCCAGCGGGAGCTGAGCGTGTTACGGGAGAGGCCTGTGTCCTGATACCGAATGCAATCGGTGGCCTTGATAAAGCCTCGCAGTTCCTCCGTGCGGTTCCTTTGAAATGCAATGCACTTGGGTCGGGCTAAAACTCAAGGCTTTTCTATATCAGACACTAAGGCCCATTGCGCTAATCAGCTCTTCTACAAGGATGACCGGAGCTCCATCACCACCATCAACATCACCGACTTCCCACGGCTTTAATCCCCGCCCAGAGGATCTCTCCGTCTCGCGGTTCATGTTACTTCACTGTCACTGGAAAGAAATCCCCCTGGGTGGACTGTTGCTCCTCCCGATCCCTATAACCCCCCCCACCGTCAAGAAAAGATGGAGCCCGTGGTGGGGCCGCCGGCACCCTCACCGAAGGGCGAGCCGCCCAGCCGGGCCTCGAGCGCCTGCGTCATGGTGAGGTAGCAGCGGTCGGTGAGCGGCGTCTGCACCAGCTTGTCCTGCACGCCCAGGTACTCGAAGCCGTAGTTGAACTTGGCGTTGGCCATGTGGATAGACAGCTGCTTCAGCACGTCCGTCTGTGGGGAGAGAGCGGCGCGAGGGGATTGGGGCGAGGCGGAGACGGGACAGCGCGGGCGAGAGGCGCGGAGCTAAAGGCGTATTGGGAGCGAGACGGAACGAAATCAATGGAGCAACGGAAACGGGTTTAATGACGGGACATTCCCAGCCACCGTCTTCAACGCTCAGATCACGCGACAGATTTATGGGCAGAGCGATGCCGCTGATCGTTGCTCCGGCGACCTTGCATGACCCCGTGTGACCCCGTGTGACCTCGAGTGACCCCACGTGACCCCGCACGACCCCGCGTGACCGTGGGGTCGATCGCACCTGCTTGGGGTCGAAGCTGAAGCGCATCTGGGAGAGCCACTCGAAGCGCTTGGGGTGGGAGACCTTGTTCCGCGCCAGCGCCCTCGTCACGTCCCTCTGGTGAACCAGCTCGGTGATCTACGGCCACGGACGCCGACATCATGCGGAATAGCGGGAGCGAGCAGGAGAGGGAGCAGGAGAGAGAGGGGGGGGGGGCAAGAGAGAGAAAGCCAGGGAGCGGGAGAGGGGGAGTAAGTGGTAGGTTATGTGTAGACAAAGGAGACGGAGCCATCTGCCCCGTCTTTGCGTTCAGTGTACAGTGACAAACCCAAGTCATTTATTGCGTTTCCGATTCCCAAATCGACTCAAATGAGTGCCAATTATTCAAATAAAAGTTCTTTGAAAACTCGCATAAAATGTCGTTGTCCTCCCCAAAACACGCGTTGTGCTCGTGAACAGGATAACAATTAAGAACAGCAGAGCGACGGTGGCTACGCACGCGGCCTGCGGATTGCACGAAAGTTGTGAAACTCCCTTCCCGTAGGCGTTGAGGAGGTGCATTAATAATCTGGCTTACTAGAAGGTGGGACAGCAAGGCGCGGACTAATATCACCTGTCACTTCTCTAAGTGATAAGAGTGTTACCCCCTCGCACGCGTGGGTTTTAATTGGCCGATGACATCTTAATATATATTGGGGGCCGCTTATCTGTGGTTTCTCGCGCCTCCGAGTCGTCGTCTCTCTACGAGAACGAGCAAACACTGTGCAGCAGCGGCACGTCATGATCATTCTTCAAAATAATCTACGTGTGAAGGATGACATTAATAAATAATACTACCTCATCACAGTTATAATCAGGAAACACGTTGTAAAACGGAGTGCAATTCGCATGCCGCGGCGCCGATGGTTTCTAACAAAGGGGAACAATTCTGTCGAGGCCTGGCTAACCAAACGACGTCGAGTACATTCCGATTCGGGAGATCCCGAGGGTATCGTTCACACGTGTCGCCGGGAACCAGCGACAGACTCATCAGGGTGGCGCAGCCGGCTGAAAAGGAGGAGCTGGGGTGCAAACACGGAAAAGGAAAAACACAAAATACTTCACCGCAGAATAAAGACAATCGTTAAAAACAACAACAACAAAATCCGAGACACAAAAAACATTCCCGAGGAAAATAAATACGGAATGACAACGCGGAGCTAGTCCCGAGTGTGCGGGCGGTGCAACTGCACGCGGGCAGGAGGGGCCACGTAGAGGGAGCAGAGAAGGTGGCGGCGAGCGACCGATTGCGGTCGTCTGGGAGGCCTGGCAGCGCCAGCTGTAGGCGCACGCATCGTAGGCCTTGACCGGGGGCGGTGGCAAGGCCGGCGGGGGATCGGTGGGACTCAGGAGAGGTGGTAACGTCGGGGTCATGCGGCCAGGTGGCCGCGATTGGTGGGTGTGCGTGCACGTGACCTGCTCACGTGACACCTCGGCCGATGTCGCCGGAGGACGCGCACGTGGAGACGTGAGGGCACGGCGGTGGGACACGGAGGGGGGCGGGCGATTAATACCTTGCATCGATTAGCACGTTTGGCTACGTACGGTGCGAAAGAAGCTCAACATACGGTACATACCGAGCGGCCATGCCGACCACGGTATGGCACGGCCGGTCACAGACAGAGGTCACAGACACCGAAAACTTCTGCTTGTTATCGCCCCCCCCACCCCCACACGGCACCCACCAGGTGCTCCAGCTTCCTGCGCCGCAGCGCCGGCTGCTCGAGCAGCACGGAGTCGGCGAGCACGGTGAGCGTCGCCTCCACCGTGGCGAGGACGCCGCCCAGCGCCGCCGCCGCGGCCGCCGCGCCGGCCTCGTCCTCGTCGGAGCGGCCGTCCCCCTCGACGGCCGGCCGCCCCGACGCCGCCGCCGCTGCCGAGGCCAGCGCTGCCTCCACGCTCTCCGACCACGAGATCTGGGCCGACAGCACCACCAGCTGTGCCTGGGGGTCGGGGGTCAAAAACGGGGAAAGCGGAGAGTCGCAAAGGCCCAGGCGGTGGGGACACGATCATCTGAAGTGAAGTGGAGTAGGTTGAAGAGTAAAAGCGATCGGACAGTTATTAGGAGGAGAGGAGGCTTCCTATTGGACATCTGTTAAAATAGCTTCAGCACAAATAAATATTCTGATTCTGGTTATGGGGGAATGCCTGACAGACTGCAAACAACAACAAAATCCACAACGGGCGAGTTTAAACGGGATCTACTGTGCGCACGGTTCTAACGTCGTCGATCAACAGCCCGGGCGGCAGGAGGCCCGCCGGGGGGTCCGACGCAGCACCTGGTACTTGTCGATCCACTGGAGGTAGGCGCCGGGATCGACGCATCCCCCAAAGGCATGCGTGTCGGCGATGGAGTCGGCGAGCAGCCGCGCCAGGGTGACCCTCATCTCGCGCTCCACCAGCGTCAGCCACTCGTTGATCTTGGGGTGCTCCGCGATGGACACCGGCGTCTTGTACAGCACCTGGCGGGGCGGCCGAGACGGAGGAAACACAAACCGATCAGCAGAATCGCCGCCGTCTCTTCGCTCTCACGCGTCCAGGACGGCCGGTCTCTTCTCTTGTTTTATTTCAATCGTAGAGCGCCCCAACCGCCGAACAAGGAATTAGCAGATTTGTACGGCGGAACAGTGCGGCGAGATGAGATGCGTCGACGAGAAGGATGGTAGCGCGTGAATGTGATGATGATGCTGCAAGTGACGATGAGTGGTGAGTGATGAGTGTGCTGTATGTACGCGTGCGTTGAACTTCTTTCGCACCGCACGTAGCCAACCGCGCTAATCGGAGGTGCGATGAATGGGTCGGCAAGTTGGGGAGAAGGATGGGGTTAGTGATGGGGAAGGGAAGCGGAAGGGGAGTTGGGGTGAGCTGAGGGGAAATCGGCGAGTGCTTCAAGGGAACAACGAAAAATAGACAGGGAGGCCAATTGTTTGACGTGTAGGGGCAGCTTTTTGTAGCCACGATCATAATACACCAACGCAGGACCACGCGGTCACGTGCAGTGCTTCCATCTTCCGCCGTTATCAGATCTTCTTCTTCTAAGTTCTACTTCCCACTGAGATGACGGGCCCCACTTGGCGCCCCGCGGCACCGCCGGACGTACCTCCTCCCCCTCGCGCGACGCCACCCCCAGCACCACGGAGCTGTCCTCGTTGAGGATGATGCTGGAAACGCCGGCGAACATCTTCTTGAAGTGCTTCTGCAGCTTGGCCACGTTTTTGCTGTTGCCGATAATCTCCAGGAGGTCTTCGTCGCCCACGAAGTAAAACCTGCAGCACGGCGATGGGCGGGTCGCGCGGGTCAGGGCATGGTGGGGGCCCCCGCGTGCGCAACTCTATCACGATCGCCTGCCCGCTCGCCCACCCGCCCGCCCGCCCACCTGCTCGCCCGCTCGCTTGCCCACTCACTCGCTTGCCCACTCACTCGCTTGCCCCTCACTTGCTAGCCCGCTCACTCGCCCACTCACCCACTCGCCTACCCACTCGCTCGCCCGTCCGCTCACTCGCCCACTCACTTGCCCACTTGCTTGCCCGCTCGCCCGCTCAATTGCCCTCTCACCCACCCACTCGCCCACTCACTCATCAGCATGCTCGCTCGCCCAGTCACTCACCCGCCTGCTCGCTCACTCGCTAACTCGCCCGCCCGCTCGCTGGATCACTCGCCCCCTCGCTCGCTCGATTATTCATGGCTGTGTTTAACGACTCATCGAATTGGTGAACTTTATCACCAAGCAGGGTCTGTTGAGTCATAGTGGGGCTCTGAGTCGGGCCACGTCAATGACGTGGCCACACCTTCGTTGTGTTACTAGAATTTTGTCCAGCTCGGCTCAAACCAAACATCTTACCACTGGCTACAAATAAATACTCCGAGTACAGAGTAAGGAGTATGGAGCATGGTGTGTGGAATACAGAGTGTGTAGTACGGAGTGTGGAATGTGGAGCACCGAGTGTGGATTATGGAGTGTGGAACACGGAGTGTGGAGTGTGAAACAGGGAGTATAAAGTGTGAAACACGGAGCGTGGAACACGGAGTGTGGAGTGTGAAACACGGACTGTGGAACAGGGAGTGTGGAACACGGAGTGTGCAGTGTGGAACACGGAGTGTGCAGTGTGGAACACGGAGTGTGTAACGCGGAGTGTGGAACACGGAGTGAGCAGTGTGGAACAGGGAGTGTGAAGTGTGGAACACGGAGTGTGGAGTGTGGAACACGGAGTGTGGAGTGTGGACGATGGGGCGGGTCTGTAGGACTCGCCGGGGGAATGAGGATCGCTCCCGCTCCAGGTACTCCCCCAGCGCCTTCTGGATCTTGCCGAGGAGGTCGGCGAGCCTCTCGAGCGAGCGCTGCACGCCGGGGATGTTGAGCACGTCCATGACGAGCGGAGACTTGGACACCTTCTTCATGAGCGCCAGGAACTCCGTGCTGATGCTGCGGGGCGAGGGACAGACAGACAGATGGACAGACGGACAGACGGACAGACGGACGGACAGACGGCCGCGCTTGGCGCTGACGAGACGTCGACGGGCGGGGAAGCTTTAAGCCGAAGCGGCGGAGCGAAGGCGCCAGCCGTGGGTGTCGGTATCAGCGCGATGCGTCGGGTGGCCACCTGCCCTGATTGTCCCAGGATCGCCCTCTTTGTTGAGGAGGTCTCTAAGGTAGACATTTGAAGTCCTGGCTTTTGTCAGTTGTGCGATAATAATGACAAACGCACAGGGATACACGCGTGCACGCACATACAAATGCACAAAAACAAAGATTGCCTGTATAGCCTCTAACAAACCGATGGGGCAAGTGCTGTTAGCGAACGCCTCTGAAGACCGGCACAGTACAAGAGGGGTGGTCAGCACCACATCCGGCTGCTTTTGCCTGCCCAGCGCTGTGACTGGGAATCGAACTCAGCTCACCGGGTTCGCCACCGCTTCCCACTCACACACACACAGAAAAACACACTTGCACACACACACACACTCGCAAACACAAAAACACACTCGCACACTCGCAAACGCAAAAACACACGCACACACGCACACACACACGCACACACTCGCACACACACGCACACACACACTCGCACACACAAAAGCACACTCGTTGTGTGCGTGGGTGCGAGGGCGCCACCTCTGGAAGCGGCCCGTCTCGACGGGCAGCAGGTGCTTGATGTCGGCGCTGCCCGTGAAGATGCCCTCCAGGTAGACCCAGCGGCGCTGCACGTCGATCCACACGTCGAACAGCGCCAGGATGCGGTTCAGCTTGTCCTCCCAGCTCAGCGCGTCCTCCTCAAACACCTGCGCGCCCACATTGACACCATTGTCATTGTTTAGAAACACGCACAGGAGAGACGACTCAGAGGCACGGGAAACCACAGGCAGGCGGGAAGGCGGCCACACCCGGCGCCAACAATTGCCCGAGCTCTGTGGTCCTATATCCACGATGTTTATCCAACTCGGGTCAAAGGTCGCCAGTGTCCGCCACCACGCCCCCTCTACTCGGGCCCTCTGTCACACCTGGCGTCGCGCTCAACTCTTCCCCAAACCACCGCGTGCTGCGCAGGGCGTCCCTCGATCCGCTCCGTCGCCCCAAAAGCACCCGGGCTGGCGAGGCCTGCGTTGTCACGTGACCCCGAGCACCAGGGCCACTCACCGCGTGGGGCCGACAGCTCGAGAGGCGGCAGTGGCGTCAGTCCGCAACAGTGACCGAGCTCTCTCCACCGCTTCAGTGCGGACGGGAGGCGTGCTGGCAGGGTCCGTGTGGGTTGTCCGTGTGTGTGTATCATGTGTGGCAAAGGCGGCTGTGTGTGGTGCTGGCCACCCAACCCATCGTGTGCCGTGCCGGCCTGCATAGGTGCTACTCGCTGCAAACAGCACTTGCTCCAACAGTCTGTTATAAGGCTATACGGGGGATCTTTGTCTTTGTATCACGTGCCAAAAGCCCTCGTTGGTGGAATGGACCGAATGTCCCAGCTGGGCAGGACCCTCCTGGAAAGAAGCTTCGGGGCTCGGTGAGGCCTTTCCCGGACACGCAGAGGGCGGCAGGGTCGTCCTCATCGCCACTCCGGTTTTGTGGAGGGGGGCAGCAGTCGGCGAGGGGAGGGGGGGCTGCCCTCACCTTGTAGTAGGGGGAGAGCTTCATGGCCGACACGCTGTTGATGTGCTCCTTGACGCGGTTGAAGAGGTCGTCCCAGCCGCGGATGAGCCGGCACTTGTTCTGGTAGTTCACCATGTCCAGCTCGTAGGCGCTCCACAGCTCACGGATCTGAAGGGGGGAGACGGTGGGTGAGCGAGTGAGTGAGTGGGTGAGCAAGCAGATGAGCGGGCGAGTGCGTGAGGGAGTGTGCGAGAAAACAAGCAAACAAGGCGGTGAGTGCATGAGTGAGTGGGTGGTTGGGTGAGTGAACAGGTGAGTGCACGAGTGGGTGAGCGAGCTGTTGTTCGAGTGAGGAAGTCACCGAGTGAGCAAGTAAGTCGGTAGGCGGGTGACCGAGTGGGTGAGTTAGCGGGCGGGCGATTCAACGAGCCAGTGAGTGAGCGACAGAATGCATGGGTGAGTGACTGAGCGAGTGAACGGTTGAGCGTGTGTAACTGCAGAAGCACTGGGGTCACTTCAGCCCGAGCCCGCGTGCCCAGACCAGGCATTGCGCCCGTGAGGGCCACCTGAGGGCAATTGACCACCGATAATATTGAGATGACATCACCACTGAACGGCAATGTGATTGCCCGGGCGATGGGTGACGGGGAAGGGTCTGGCCCGACATAGCCAGTGATACCTGGAGGGTGTGGCAGTTGGATTCCCAGCAGCATCCAACTTTCCACATCTCCCTCCTGACACGACCCCCACGTGAGCCCCCCCACCGCCCCCCCCCCCTTAGGACAGTAGCTGCCAATACTGTGGCCTGCGTAGCGATCAGGAGATTGGCAACGCAGCAAAGTGGGTTCATGAGCCCATCCGCGCGGACCTCCGACTGCCATTCCCCTGAACGCGAGACTCACGTGTTTTCTCCCACGGATAAAAATTTTCATTTTTTTATTAAACTACCCAAACAGGAAGGGGCCAACCATCCTAACGCAGGGCCCTCCTGCGACGGCGAGCCTCGAGGAGACCCCAAGCGAGGCTCTCCCCGACGGCGAGGAGCGTGGTGTGCGGGGCGTGCGGGGCGTGTGGGGCGTGTGGGGCGAGCGTGGCGTGCGGGGCGTGCGGAGCGTGCGGGGTGTGTGGGGTGTGTGGGGGTGTGCGGGGCGTGTGGGGCGTGTGGGGCGTGTGGGGTGTGTGGGGTGTGTGGGGTGTGTGGGGTGTGGGGGCGTGTGGGGCGTGTGGGGCGTGCGGGTGTGTGGGTGTGTGGGGTGTGTGGAGAGTGTGGGGAGTGTGGGGAGTGTGGGGTGTGAGGGGTGTGTGGGGTGTGTGGGGAGTGAGGGGTGTGTGGGGTGTGAGGGGAGTGTGGGGTGTGCGGGGAGTTGGGGAGTGTGGGGTGTGTGGGGTGTGTGGGGTGTGTGGGGTGTGTGGGGAGTGTGGGGCGTGTGGGGAGTGAGGGTGTGGGGTGTGTGGGTGTGTGGGGGGTGTGGGGAGTGTGGGGCGTGCGGGGTGTGTGGGGTGTGGGGGGTGTGGGGAGTGTGGGGCGTGTGGGGAGTGAGGGTGTGTGGGGTGTGTGGGGTGTGTGGGGAGTGAGGGGTGTGTGGGGGCTGAGGGGTGTGTGGAGTGTGTGGGGAGTGTGGGGGTGTGGGGTGTGTGGGGAGTGTGGGGTGTGTGGGTGTGTGGGGTGTGTGGGGAGTGTGGGGTGTGTGGGGTGAGTGGGGGTGTGGGGTGGTGGGGGTGTGGGGTGTGTGGGGTGTGTGGGGTGTGTGGGGTGTGTGGGGTGTGGGGTGTGTGGGGTGTGTGGGGTGTGGGGGGTGTGGGGTGTGTGGGGAGTGTGGGGAGTGTGGGGTGTGTGGGGTGGTGGGGGTGTGGGGTGTGTGGGTGAGTGGGGGTGTGGGGTGTATGGGGTGTGTGGGGTGTGTGGGGTGTGTGGGGTGTGAGGGGTGTGTGGGGAGTGTGGGGCGTGTGGGGTGTGGGGGTGTGGGGGTGTGTGGGGAGTGTGGGGAGTGAGGGGTGTGGGGGTGTGTGGGGTGTGTGGGGTGTGAGGGCGTGTGGGTGCGTGAGGGGAGTGGGGGGTGTGGAGGGGAGTGTGGGGAGTGAGGGGAGTGAGGGGAGTGCGGGGGTGCGGGGCGTGAGGGGTGTGAGGGGTGTGTGGGGTGTGTGGGGTGTGTGGGGAGTGTGGGGAGTGTGGGGAGTGAGGGGAGTGTGGGGCGTGTGGGGGTGTGGGGAGTGGGGGTGTGAGGGGGAGTGTGGGGTGTGTGGGGTGTGTGGGGTGTGAGGGGTGTGTGGGGTGTGAGGGGAGTGTGGGGCGTGAGGGGCGTGTGGGGTGTGAGGGGAGTGGGGGTGTGTGTGGGTGTGTGGGGTGTGTGGGGTGTGTGGGCTGTGGGGGGTGTGGGGGTGCGAGGGTGTGGGGGGTGGGGTGTTGGGGTGTGTGGGGTGTGTGGGGTGTGCGGGGAGTGTGGGGAGTGTGGGGGCGTGTGGGGTGTGTGGGGTTGTGGGGGTGTGTGGGGTGTGTGGGGCGTGGGGGTGTGTGGGGTGTGTGGGTGTGTGGGTGTGGGGGAGTGTGGGGCGTGAGGGGCGTGTGGGGTGTGAGGGGAGTGTGGGGTGTGTGGGGTGTGGGGGGTGTGTGGGGTGTGTGGGGAGTGCGGGGTGTGTGGGTGTGTGGGGTGTGAGGGGAGTGTGGGGTGTGAGGGGGTGTGGGGTGTGTGGGGTGGTGGGGTGTGCGGGGTGTGTGGGTGTGGGGGCGTGGGGGAGTGAGGGGCGTGTGGGGGGTGGGGTGTGGGGGTGTGGGGCGAGCGTGGTGGGGGTGTGGGGTTGTGGGGTGGTGTGGGGCGTGCGGGGCGTGTGGGGCGTGCGGGGCGTGTGGGGTGTGCGGGGCGTGTGGGTGTGTGGGGTGTGTGGGGTGTGTGGGGTGTGCGGGGCGTGTGGGGCGTGTGGGGTGTGTGGGTGTGTGGGGTGTGTGGGGTGTGTGGGCGTGCGGGGTGTGTGGGGTGTGTGGGGTGTGTGGGGTGTGCGGGGCGTGTGGGGCGTGCGGGGCGTGTGGGGTGTGCGGGGCGTGTGGGGTGTGTGGGGTGTGCGGGGTGTGTGGGGTGTGTGGGGCGTGCGGGGTGTGTGGGGTGTGTGGGGTGTGCGGGGCGTGTGGGGTGTGCGAGGCGTGTGCGGGACATGCGTGGCGTGCGGGGCGTGCGGGGCGTGTGGGGTGTGCGGGGCGTGTGGGGCACGTGCGGCCCCGCCTCCGGGCGTGCCTCTCCCGCACCTGCTTGAGGAACTCCTCGAGCGCCATCTCCCCCTGCGCCACGAGCAGCACGTCCTTCACCACGGCCTCGTTCTTCTGCAGGTCCACGTCCCAGATGTGGCCCAGCGTGAGCTCCGACAGCACCCAGCTCACGCGCAGCCGCTTCATCAGCTGCTTCCAGTGGCGGTCCTTCAGCGCCTCCGACTTGAGGTCGATCACCAGCATGTTCACCTGCGGCGCATCGCGGGCCCGAGGGGCACGTGAGTGTGCGTGCGCCCACGTGAGCGCGTGCCCGGGTGCGGTGTGCGGCGGACGTTGCCGCTTAGGAGACGGAGGCGGCCGGACCGCGGTTGCTGGCCAGCCACCCCCTCGTGTGCACACGGCCCAACAGCCCGCTGAGGCTAAACGGGGGACCTTTGTCTTTGTGAGTGTGTCTGCGTACGGATCGGCAGTGTGGTAGTTAACGTGCTGCAGACGACCAACTGTGGTGGAAAATGTTTGAACTGCTCCTGGGGCTACCTAAGGTCGAGTCGAGGGCAAACTGCCCCACCCCAAACCCCCCCACTCTCTTGCCCCACGCACTTCTGACCCCCACTACCCTCCCCCCGGTGCCAAATGAACAAAACGAACGAATCGACCGGCTCGATCAGGAATGCAACGATTTCATAACGGAAGCGCCGTCACCGGAAGTGACATCACGTCGGGCCGGCGCTCGTGGCGTTCACCCGGGCCGCGCCGCTGCAGTGCCACGGCAATCGGAGCGAGTGGCCGGGCTGAGGGATGTCTCCGCACCGGGCGTCGCTGGGCGGGGGGGGGGGGGGTCACCTTGAGGTAGCTCTTGAGCAGCTTGAGCACGTGCTCGTAGGACGCGTACTGGCGCAGGCGCGCGGGGAAGTTCTTCAGCTGGTTCACGAGGCCGTCCAGGCTCTGCCGCAGCTGCTCACGCACGGTCACACAAACAGAGACGCGGTCACACACACAGAGACACGTGACACACACAGAGACGCGGTCACACACACAGAGACAGGGTCACAGGCACAGAGACGCACGGTGACCAACACCGCCGGTGTTCGGGGCGTGCCGCTGCTGCGCGACGCTTCAGCGCTCACCTTGCGCGGCTGCACCGACAGCCACGGCTGCTCCTTCATCTGGTCGATCTGCTCCCAGATTTTGTGCAACTCGGACCACACGCCCTTGAGGTCCTGCAGCTCCTCCAGAGCCACCTGGAGAGAACCGCAGGCACCACGCCCCGGGTAGCAAGGGGACACGGGGACACAGGGCACATGAGGACACAGGGACATGAGGACACAGAAGACACGGGGACAGGTGACATGGGGACAGGTGACATTGGGACAGTGACATGGGGACAGTGACATGGGCAAACGGGAGATATGAGAATATGGAGACAGCGAGGCACGGGGACAGGCGGTGGTGCGTGGCCTCTAACCCAGCACTCTGGAGGCGTGGGTTGGCGGATCACACAAACGTCGCGCAACTCCCATCCCGTGGGCATTGAGAAGCCATTCCCTCGCTCGCCAGAAGGAGGGAGTGCAACACGTGCAGCATTACACTGCTGATGACGCTGATGGTGTCAGCTATTGACGATGGCGACGATAATGATACTGGCGGTGTTAATGATGACGGCAATATCACTACTGCTGCTAAATCTGGTGCTGCTGATGATGTTGCTGATGACGATGATGATGCTGACAATGACGATGTGGGTGCCACGGTGGCTAGGAGATGTAAGCTACCTCGCCTGGTATACAGGATGTCCTGGGTTCAATCCCGACCCTGTATATTCGAATTTGTGGTGTCTCTCTCGCCGTGGTCGCGTGGATTTTCCTCCAGGTCCTCCGGTTCATCCCTCCACATTTAGAATCAACGTCACGCGTTTAGAGTAGCCGGCTGTGATACATTTCCACGTGATAAGCCCACGTCTTTGAGCTATCATTTAAGATAGCCAGGCCACTGAAAAAGAGCTACGTAGCTCAGTGGGACCTAACCTGGTAAAATAAAAACAATAGTTGTAATAGGTTTGACGATGATAGTGATGGTGAAGGTGATGGTGCCGTGCGGTGTGGGCCGTGCCTGCAGCCGCTCCTCTGAGCCGCTGAGCAGGCCCGTGTCGGTGAGCTCCAGGGCCTCCTTGGCGCGCGAGCACTTGTCGCGGTCGTCCTTGAGCCGCCCGAACTTCCCCTCGTAGATCGTGAGCGTCTGCAGCGCCTCCTCGGGCCGCAGGTTCCCCTAGGAGACAACAGCGGAGATGCCACGAGTGCGACCGACTCCACCGGACGAACCGTTATTTATAATTAACGTCACACGTTTAGAGCGTTTGGCTGCTCTGAATCTCCACGTGATGAGCCACTTCGTTGGGATATCATTTGTGATCAGGTCGCTTCTGAAAAAGAGCTACACAGCTCAGTAGGCCTTTACTTGGTAAAATAAAATAGTTTATAGTTTTATTTTCACGAGACGAAAATTGACACTCGCCATGACGAGGGACGGCAGAGAGAGAGAGACGCACTCAGCGACCAGGACTTGAACCTTCAACCCAGCCTCAGGACCTCAGAGCTGAAACCCAGCACCTGGGTGCAGTTGGCTCAGAAACTCTGGCATGGCCATTACGATCCAACGTTAAAGAAAGTCACCCGGTACCAGGACTTCGACCTTGAATCCAGGTTCTCAGCGGTTCTGAAACGGCCAAATGTGAATCTCCTCAAGCCACCCAGCCAAACGGAACGTAGCCAGGATCATGGCAAACCCTGGCATGGCCGCTACGAACCCGTAAATGAAACACGCGGATCGCTGCATCGCAGGATCGTGAGAGACGGCGACGGCTTGGGGAGGTGTTCATCCAGCAGTGGATCGATCGTGACAGATGTAGCCCCGTAGCAGCAAGGGGTGGGGGGGGGGGGGGCTGAAGGGGGACCAACGCCCCCCTGACAAAGACTCGGGCCCCTTTTGACTTCTCAGGTGGCCGTCGGTCCCACTCCGATTAGCGCGGTTGGCTACGTGTGGCACGAAGGAAGTTCAACGTACACGCACACGTGCAAGTAAGCGATGGGCTCTGCAGGCTCTCCTCCGAAACGGCGAGGGAGAGACCTCCAGTGGAATGCACGAGAGGCACGAGCGAATCGCATCGTGTCACTCGTTCGTGTTCAACGTGCGTCCGCACAAATTGCTGCTGCTGCTGCCGCTGCTGCTTTGGCAGTGGCGCACGGGCACAGTTACCGACAAAACGACACTCGCCAATAACAACGTGTGTGGCCTCAAAAGTTAAACAAATGTGTAATACGCTACGAAGGAGGGCCATTGCCCGAAACGTCGGCCACGCAGTGCTGTTGAGGAACGTGCAGCTGAGACGCCTGCCTCAAGTTTCACTTTGCCCATATCGTGCACAGTACGTAGCCAACCGCGCTAATCGGAGGTGCAGGGGAAAGACGACAAACTAAACGCCAAAAAAGCAGCGCTCAGTTTTCAATCGTCTGTGTATGTAGCCAGTGCAGCGTTTGGGCCGACGAGGGGCAGAACGCAAACTGCTCCCGCCTCTCCCCGCCGGTGCCGCGACCACGTGGAGTGGTAAGCGGAGGGGCGTGAGATCTCACGGCGACGCGACTACGCGGGGTGGTGCGTGGAGGGATGTGAGAGGACTCACCACCCCGCGACCACGTGGGGTGGTGAGTGGAGGGATGTGAGAGGACTCACCACCAAGCGACCACACGGGGTGGTGAGTGGAGGGATGTGAGAGGACTCACCACCCCGCGACCACGTGGGGTGGTGAGTGGAGGGATGTGAGAGGACTCACCACCCCGCGACCACGTGGGGTGGTGAGTGGAGGGATGTGAGAGGACGCACCACCCCGTGACCACACGGGGTGGTGAGTGGAGGGGAGCGGGAGGACTCACGGCGACGGGCTTCCCGCGCTCCCACTCGGCGAGCAGCTCCCCGGTGCGGGCCTCGACGGCGCGGTCCTCCTGCACGATCTTGAGCTGCAGGCTGGCCACCTGCTGCTGGATGGCGGCGTCCTTGCGCTTCATGATGTCGCTGAAGGCGCCCCACTCGCCCTCCACGTTGTCGATGTAGAGCCACGACGGCGGGAACTGGAAGCGGTGGCGCTCCAGCAGGCGCTGCCCGTTGCGGAACAGCTGCGCCGGTGGGCACGAGCGGCGCCGCCACGCCGGCCGCAAGTCAGCGGCACGGCGGAGGCGGCGGAGGCGGCGTGCGAGCGTTAGCGGTGCGAGGGGAGAATGACTGGCTCGCTAGTCGGGGTGTTACCAGCTTAGCCATTGGTGTTATCAGTTTGGTAGTTATGTATTAGTAGTGAAGTAGTAATATTGGGATTAGTGGTTTAGTAGTTTAGTGGTAGTATTAGCGTTTTAGTAGTTTAGTTTTAATAGTTTAGGCGTAGAATAAGTCATTTGGTAGTTGTATAAGTGGTTTAGTAATTTAGTAGTCGTATTCGTGGTTTAATAGTTTAGTTGTAGTATTCGTAGATTAGTAGGAGTGGTATTTGTGGTTTAGTTGTTTAGTAGTAGTATTCATGATTGATTAGTTTAGTTGTAGTAGTGGTTTAATACTTATATTGTTAATATTATCTGTATTATGAGTATTTAATATTTATTTGGTGTTCTTCTAGTCTCATGCAAATCATTAGTTCCGTCTGACCAACACAGCATTGGCCACAGGAGCAATTAATCTGGTACACACCTACTGTTGATAGCTTCGGCAATTCATCTTTAGTACCAGATATTAGTTTTTTTGTATATTAAATACTCACAAACACAACTGTTGGCAGTTGCAGAACATGCGCACCAACAAGGACATTTAATTGGTTTTGAGAATGTTGAAGTTTTGTGTAGAACTCATTCATATTTACACGCTCTAACCCAAAAACCTTTTGTATGAATATTGGCCATGAAAGCTTATGTGTTAAACTGTATTATACTGTCATTATCTGTATTATACTGTTTTGTTATCTTTATTATACAGTTAATGTTAACTGTTTTATAATGATAACACGATCTGAATTAAAAGATAATTGTTATCTGTAAATGTTATCTGTATTACAATCTGCATAATAGTGTAATCTGTATTGCATCGTCATTATCTGTATTGTCCGGCGAGGTGAGTCGGGTGCGCTGGGTGCGATTGCCAGCGCAAGTGGCAGGAGGGGGGGAGGAGGGGGGGAGGAGGAGGGGGGGAGGAGGAGGGGGGGAGGGGGGGGGGGGGGAGGAGGAGGGGGGGAGGAGGGGGGGCGGAGGAGGAGGGGGGGAGGAGGAGGGGGGGAGGAGGAGGGGGGGAGGAGGGGGGGAGGAGGAGGGGGGGAGGGGGGGGGGAGGAGGAGGGGGGGAGGAGGAGGGGGGAGGAGGGGGGGAGGAGGAGGGGGGGAGGAGGAGGGGGGGGAGGAGGGAGGAGGAGGGGGGAGGGGGGGGAGAGGAGGGGGGGAGGGGAGGGGGGGAGGGGGGGGGAGGAGGAGGGGGGGGAGGGGGGGAGGAGGAGGGGGGGAGGAGGGGGGAGGAGGGGGGAGGGGGAGGAGGAGGGGGGGAGGAGGAGGGGGAGGAGGAGGGGGGGGAGGAGGGGGGGAGGCGAGGAGGAGGGGGGTGAGTGAGGAGGGGGAGGAGGGGGGGAGGAGGAGGGGGGAGGAGGAGGGGGGGTGGGAGGAGGAGGGGGGCGGAGGAGGATGGGGAGGAGGAGGAGGAGGGGGGGGCGAGGAGGTAGGGGGGGAGGAGGGGGGGAGGACTGGGGGAGGAGGAGGGGACGCGAGGAGGGGGTAGGAGGAGGGGAGGAGAGGAGGAGTGAGGGCAGGATGGGGGACGGAGGAGAGGGGGGGGGAGGGGGGGCAGGTAGGGAGGAGGGGGGAGGAGGAGGGGGGTGAGGCGGAGGATGGAGGGAGGGGGAGGAGGAGGGGTGGAGGAGGAGGTGAGGGAGGGAGGAGGGGGATGGAGGAGGGGGGGGAGGAGGAGGAGGAGGAGGGGGGGGAGGAGGAGGGGGGGAGGAGGAGGGGGGGGAGGAGTGGGAGGCGGAGGAGGGTTGAGGAGGGGGGAGGAGGAGGAGGGAGGAGGGGAGGAGGAGGGGGAGTAGGAGGAGGACGGGAGGAGGAGGGGGGAGGAGGAGGGGGGAGGAGGGGGGCGGAGGAGGAGGGGGGGAGGAGGGGGGGAGGAGGGAGGAGGGAGGAGGGGGGAGGAGGAGGAGGGGGGGAGGAGGAGGAGGGAGGAGGGGGAGGAGGAGGGGGGGGGGAGGAGGAGGAGGGAGGAGGGGGGAGGAGGAGGGGGGGAGGAGGGGGGGGAGGAGGGGGGGGCGGAGGAGGAGGGGGGGAGGAGGGGGGAGGAGGAGGAGGAGGAGGAGGGGGGAGGAGGAGGGGGGGAGGAGGAGGAGGGAGGAGGGGGGGAGGAGGAGGGGGGGAGGAGGAGGAGGAGGGAGGAGGGGGGGAGGAGGAGGGGGGGAGGAGGGGGGGCGGAGGAGGAGGGGGGAGGAGGGGGGGAGGAGGAGGAGGGAGGAGGGGGGAGGAGGAGGGGGGGAGGAGGAGGAGGAGGAGGGAGGAGGGGGGGAGGAGGGGGGGAGGAGGAGGGGGGAGGAGGAGGGGGGAGGGGGGGGGAGGAGGAGGGGGGGAGGAGGAGGGGGGGAGGAGGGGGGGCGGAGGAGGAGGGGGAGGAGAGGGGGGGGAGGAGGAGGGGGGGAGGAGGAGGGGGGGAGGAGGGGGGGAGGAGGAGGGGGGAGAGGGGGGGGAGGAGGAGGGGGGGAGGAGGAGGGGGGGAGGAGGGGGGAGGAGGAGGAGGAAGGAGGGGGAGGAGGAGGGGGGGAGGAGGAGGAGGAGGGAGGAGGGGGGGAGGAGGAGGGGGGGAGGAGGGGGGGCGGAGGAGGAGGGGGGGAGGAGGAGGGGGGGAGGAGGAGGGGGGGGAGGAGGGGGGGCGGAGGAGGAGGGGGGGAGGAGGAGGGGGGAGGAGGGGGAGAGGAGGAGGGGGGAGGAGGAGGAGGAGGGGAGGAGGAGGAGGAGGGGAGGAGGAGGGGGGAGGAGGGGGAGAGGAGGAGGGGGGGAGGAGGAGGAGGAGGGGGGAGGAGGGGGTGAGGAGGAGGGGGGGAGGAGGGGGGCGGAGGAGGAGGGGGGGAGGAGGAGGGGGGGGAGGGGGGGGGAGGAGGAGGGGGGGGAGGAGGAGGGGGGAGGAGGGGGGGCGGAGGAGGAGGGGGGAGGAGGGGGGGCGGAGGAGGAGGGGGGAGGAGGAGGGGGGGAGGAGGAGGAGGGAGGAGGGGTGAGGAGGAGGGGGGGAGGAGGAGGAGGAGGGAGGAGGGGGGAGGAGGAGGGGGGGAGGAGGGGGGGCGGAGGAGGAGGGGGGGAGGAGGATGGGGGGAGGAGGATGGGGGGAGGAGGAGGGGGGGAGGAGGAGGAGGGAGGAGGGGGGGAGAAGGAGTGGGGGAGGAGGAGGGGGGGAGGAGGGGGGGCGGAGGAGGAGGGGGGGAGGAGGAGGGGGGGAGGAGGGGGGGCGGAGGAGGAGGGGGGGAGGAGGAGGGGGGGAGGAGGAGGGAGGAGGGGGGAGGAGGAGGGGGGAGGAGGAGGAGGAGGGAGGAGGGGGGGAGGAGGAGGGGGGGAGAGGAGGAGGGGGGGGAGGAGGATGGGGGAGGAGGGGGGGAGGAGGAGGGGGAGAGGAGGAGGAGGGGGGGAGGAGGAGGGGGGGAGGAGGGGGGGAGGAGGAGGGGGGGAGGAGGAGGAGGGGGGAGGAGGGGGGGAGGAGGAGGGGGGGAGGAGGGGGGGAGGAGGAGGGGGAGAGGAGGAGGAGGAGGGGAGGAGGAGGGGGGGAGGAGGGGGGGAGGAGGAGGGGGGAGGAGGAGGAGGGGGGAGGAGGGGGGGAGGAGGAGGGGGGGAGGAGGGGGGGCGGAGGAGGAGGGGGGGAGGAGGAGGGGGGGAGGAGGAGGGGGGGAGGAGGGGGGGAGGAGGAGGGGGGGAGGGGGGGGGAGGAGGAGGGGGGGAGGAGGAGGGGGGAGGAGGGGGGGCGGAGGAGGAGGGGGGAGGAGGGGGGCGGAGGAGGAGGGGGGAGGAGGAGGGGGGGAGGAGGAGGAGGAGGAGGGAGGAGGGGGGGAGGAGGAGGGGGGGGAGGAGGGGGGGCGGAGGAGGAGGGGGGGGGGGGAGGAGGAGGGGGGGAGGAGGAGGGGGGGAGGAGGAGGAGGGAGGAGGGGGGGAGGAGGAGTGGGGGAGGAGGAGGGGGGGAGGAGGAGGGGGGGAGGAGGAGGGGTGAGGAGGGGGGGCGGAGGAGGAGGGGGGGAGGAGGAGGGGGGGAGGAGGGGGGGCGGAGGAGGAGGGGGGGAGGAGGAGGGGGGGAGGAGGAGGGAGGAGGGGGGAGGAGGAGGGGGGGAGGAGGAGGAGGAGGGAGGAGGGGGGGAGGAGGAGGGGGGGAGAGGAGGAGGGGGGGAGGAGGAGGATGGGGGAGGAGGGGGGGAGGAGGAGGGGGAGAGGAGGAGGAGGGGGGGAGGAGGAGGGGGGGAGGAGGGGGGGAGGAGGAGGGGGGAGGAGGAGGAGGGGGGAGGAGGGGGGGAGGAGGAGGGGGGGAGGAGGGGGGGAGGAGGAGGGGGAGAGGAGGAGGAGGAGGGGAGGAGGAGGGGGGGAGGAGGGGGGGAGGAGGAGGGGGAGGGAGGAGGAGGAGGGGGAAGGAGGGGGGGAGGAGGAGGGGGGGAGGAGGAGGGGCGTTTGGCGAGGGGGACTCACGTCCACTTGCTTCTCGAAGCTCTTGATCTTGCGCTTGAGCGACTGCACGAAGGTGATGAAGGTGACGGCGTCCGATGTGCTCGCCGTGTCCACCGAGTGCTGCTCCAGCTCCTGCCGCGACTGCACCACGGACGCCCGCGACAACCGGCAGCATTCTCAACATCGTCGTCGTCGTCGTTAACATCGTTAAAATCAGCGTCAACATCGGCGTCATTACCAAACTCGTGAACATCGGCATCACCGTTTGTAGCACGGCACGCTAAGCACTACACCGCCACCGCCCATAACCACTACAAAGACAAAGATCCCCCAGAATAGCCTTCACCAGACTGTTGAAGCAAGTGCTTTTGGCAAGCACCTATGAAGGCCAGCATGGCACACGAGGGAGTGGTTGGGAGGCTGAGTCGACCTAGGGGAGGTCCAGCACCCATTCAAATATTCGTCCTGAGCGGGTATTGAACTCGGATGGCTGGGTTTGTAGTACTAGACTAACCACTACACTACCGCTGCCCATAACCACTACAAAGACAAGATTCTCTGTATAGACTTTACATATTGTTGGGGCAAGTGCTTTTAGCAAGCACCTATGAAGGCCAGCACAGTACACGAGGGGGTGGGTTGCCAGCACCACGCCCGGCTGCCTTTGTCTCTCTAGTTGCAATGTTCAAAACATGGCACCAGGTACTCATTTGAGGCTGAGTCGACCAAGGAGAGGCCCAGTACCAGTTCAGATAATCGTCACCGGGTTCGTAGCGCGGTGCGCTAACCACCACGCCACCGCTCATGCGCTCACGCGGGCAGACACGAGCACACAGACTGGATCGTCGACATCACCTTAGAGATGTTGGTGTGGAAGTCCTGCATGAAGAGACCCAGGTGGTGCCCGAACTTGCTCAGCACCTCCTTGTGCCACGAGTCGTACTTGAGGTTCACCTTGGCCTGCACCTGCGGGGCAGCGCAGACGCGAGCGGACAGCGGCGTCGGCGGCGGTGGCGGCAGTGCCCCCGAGCGCAGAGCGCCAGGGTGGAGGTGCGGCCGTGGCATCGCTCGCTCGTGCCACGGCTGGCGGGAGGGCCTCCGCTAGAGGGGGCTCCAGAGGGCTGCCACAGTGGCTGGAGATGTTGACTACCTCGCCTGGTATACTGTAGGTTGTGGGTTCAATCCCGACCCTGATGCCTGCTGTATATTTGGAGTTTGCGTGTCTCTTTCCCGTGGTCGCGTGGTTTTTTCTCTTGGTCCTCCGGTTTTTGCCTCCACATTTAGAATCACGCGTTTAGAGTGTTTGGCTGGCATAAATTTGCACATGATGATAAAAAAAACATTTTGTTGAGCTATCATTTGTGGCCAGGTCGCTTCTGAAACGGAGCTATACAGATCAGTGGGCTTTACCTGGGAAAATAAAAAAATTGTTTCGTTTTAGTTTCGAGGCTCCTGTAGAGGGTCCGGCCGGGATGTTAACAGGAGATGCCGACGCTGTCGCCCGCGTGTGACCCCAACGGAGCGACTTGAAAATGCAAACAAACGTTCGTATCGTGATGCTTGCCCAACAGCGGTTACACTGCGTGCGTTGCTTTGCTTGCGTATTGTTTGTCGCTCTGACTTTCTGGCCCGCCCCTAACTGGACGTCTGTATTCCTTCAGGATAAATAAAGATTCTGATTCCGCAAGAATGTGGGGCCTGCCTTCAAGAGCCTGATGGTTCAGGACCGCCACTGCCCACCTCGTACGTATGGATGTTGAACTTCTTTCGCACCGCACGTAGCCAACCGCGCTAAACGGACGTGCGGAGGAAGGACAACAATCTAAACACACTAAAAAGCGGTTTGAAAAAAAATGAGCATCTGGCCTCGAGAGGTTTGAGGGAGGGAGGTAGCGGGAGTGAGTGGGTGAGTGAGTGGGTGAGTGAGCGAGTGGGTGAGTGAGTGAGTGGGTGAGTGAGTGGGTGAGTGAGTGGGTGAGTGGGTGAGTGAGTGGGTGAGTGAGTGGGTGGGTGAGTGAGCGAGTGGGTGAGTGAGTGAGTGGGTGGTGAGTGGGTGAGTGAGTGGGTGAGTGGGTGAGTGAGTGGGTGAGTGAGTGAGTGGGTGAGTGAGTGAGTGGGTGAGTGAGTGGGTGAGTGAGTGAGTGGGTGAGTGAGTGGGTGAGTGAGGGGGTGAGTGGGTGAGTGAGTGGGTGAGGAGGGGTGGGTGAGTGAGTGGGTGAGTGAGTGAGTGGGTGAGTGAGTGGGTGAGTGAGCGAGTGGGTGAGTGAGTGGGTGGGTGAGTGGGTGAGTGAGTGGGTGAGTGAGGGGTGAGTGAGCGAGTGGGTGAGTGAGTGGGTGGGTGAGTGGGTGGTGAATGGGTGAGTGAGTGAGTGGGGAGTGATGAGTGAGTGGGTGAGTGAGTGGGTGAGTGAGTGGGTGAGTGGGTGAGTGAGTGGGTGAGTGAGTGGGTGGGTGAGTGAGTGGGTGAGTGGGGTGAGTGGGGTGAGTGAGTGAGTGAGTGGGTGAGTGAGTGGGTGAGTGAGTGGGTGAGTGAGTGGTGTGAGTGTGTGGAGTGGGTGAGTGAGTGAGTGGTGAGTGAGTGATGATGAGTGGGTGAGTGAGTGGGTGAGTGAGTGGGTGAGTGAGTGTGTGAGTGTGTGAGTGGGTGAGTGAGTGAGTGGGTGAGTGAGTGAGTGAGTGGGTGAGTGAGTGGGGTGAGTGGGTGAGTGGGTGAGTGAGTGGGTGAGTGAGTGGGTGAGTGGGTGAGTGAGTGGGTGAGTGAGTGGGTGAGTGGGTGAGTGAGTGAGTGAGTGGGTGAGTGAGTGGGTGAGTGAGTGAGTGAGTAGGTGAGTGGGTGAGTGAGTGGGTGAGTGAGTGGGTGAGTGAGTGGGAGAGAGGAAGCAAGAGAGAGGGAGCGGGAGAAAGGGAGAAGAATTTCGCTACTCTCAGTTGACGGGGAGTGGGGGGGGTATTCAATTTTTTTTGACGCGTTGGGCTACAAAGGGGGTCTCTGCTCGCTCGGTGTGGTGCGACTGACGGACGGGATTTAGTGAGGCGTTTTTGAGGGTGTGTGTTTTTTGTTGTGTCTGTGAACACAGTGGTACACAATGGGATTCATATTACACGGAAAAAAGGTGTAACTGTGTTGTATTTCTTGTATTAAGCAAAACAAAAAAGGCCATAAACGCCACAAACGAAACAGCAAAATAACGACACGATGAAGGAAGCAAAGAGACGAATATTTTTTCTTTTGATCAAAAAAATAAAAGAGATGGGGAGGGAGGGAGATGTGAGTGGGAGGGAGGGGGAGGGAGAGGGAGGGAGGGGGGGAGGAAGAAAGGAAGGGGTGGGGAGGGAGGGGGCAGGGAGGGAGGGGGGAGGGAGCTCCCCACCTTCCCGTAGTCGACGACGACGGGACCGAACTCCTTGTGCGTCTCGGCGTTGTCGAAAGTGAGTCGGGACTTGCGCATCTGGTTGAGCACGGCCTGCCAGCGCGTCAGGTTCTCCCCGAGCCTGCCGTACACGTGCTCCTGCTGCATGTCCCACAGGTTCTGGTAGCGCAGCCACTCCTGGGGGGGGGGGGGGGGGGAAGGGCGACAAGAGGCGGTCGTCGTCCTGTTATTATAATAATACAAATGTTTAGTACTTTAGTACCATCGTTCGTAATCTAAAAATAAACTATTTTTTATCTGACCAGGTAAGGCCCACTGAGCTGTGTAGCTCTTTTTCAGAAGTGACCTGGCCACAAATGATAGCTCAACGAAGCGGTTTATCATCACGTGGAAGCTTATAGCAGCCAAATACTCTCAATGCGTGTTAATAAATGTGGAGTGGAAAACCGGAGGAGCCGGAGAAAAATCCACGCGACCACGGGGAGAGAGACCCTGACAGGCGTCAGAGTCAGGATCGAACCCACGACCTCCTGAATACCCGGCGAGGGAGACGACATCTCGCCACGGTGGTGCCCCGACAACCGTGGAGGAGCCACAGACGAGCTGCCAGCAGCCCAACGTTGAGGCGGCGCGACCATCAATTTCCCCGAGCTCTGCAGTCCTCTCTCTATATATAAAGATGCTTTCAGCCAATGAATAAGGCGTTTATACACGCGGGCCGACCTCCTTGTTCACTCACGTGGGAAGTGGCAATGCCACCCCCACACTCCCCGCCGCCCCGCCCACCAACCCACCTCCACACTCCCCGCCGCTCCGCCCACCAACCCACCTCCACGTAGGCCTCGACGAGCCGCATGAGCGTCTGCACGGCCTGCTGTGCGCACTCGCGCGCCGCGTTGCCGCTCGGCATCTTGGTGTGGAGGTTGCGGTAGAAGCGCTCCTCCTCCGTCAGCTCGTAGTGCACGCCCACCTGCGCACCGCGGTGAGGGTTACAGGTGAGGGTTACGGATGAGAGGGTTATACAGCAGGCCATACTTTCCCACCTGATGACAGACGCTTTTGTTGTGCCCGAAAAGTCGTGATTTATTTTATTTTATTTTTATACCTACGTGACTTTACCGAAAAAACCAAAGATTACGGGTGAGGGTTTGGGGTGAGGGTGAGGAGTGGATTGGGGACCAAAAGGCCTGTAGGCCTGCAAGGCCTCGTCAAGGCTCTCGCTCCGCTCTGGTTCTCTACACCGGGTGAACTACTTCGTTACCGCTCCGTTCGAGTTCCGGCAAAACACCTCGCCGCAATAGTGAAATGTGAACTGCCTCGCCTGGTCTACAGGAGGCCGTGGGTTCGATCCCAACCCTGACGCCTGCTGCTGCTGTATATTTGGAATTTGCATGATCTCTCCGTGGTCGCGTGGATTTTTCTCCAGGCTCCCCTGTTTTTCCTCCACATTTAGAATCAACATCACGCGTTTAGAGTATTTTGCTGAAATGAATTTGATAAGCCACTTGCGATAGCCAGGTCGCTCCTGAAAAACCGCTACGTAGCTCAGTGGGCCCTTACCCGGTAAAATAAATAAAAGAGTTTCTAGTTTCGTTTAACGGTGGCGGCGCTGGCTCGGCGGGGTTTGGTGCGGCCCGCGAGCACCTGGTAGCGCTGGCTCTGGATGCGTGGCAGCGCGACGGTGACGCTCTCCCAAGCGTGCAGCTCCGCTTGCAGGTGCACCCGGCACGCCTCGAGGTGCGGCTCCACGTGGATCAGTTGGTTCGTGATGCGGAACTCCAGCACGATGGGCTGCGTGGGAAACGAGGAGGAGGATGGAGGAGACGGTGGAGATGGAGGAGGAGATGGAGGTGGAGACGGAGGAGGAGGGAGTGGGAGTCACGGAGGTGCTCGGACGCCAATGAAGATTCCCTTTCTTATTCTTCTTTCATCTGTAATCCACTCGTGCTGTCGACATCGCAGCCAGAGAGGCGACGCTCTCTCTCTGCGAGCGACGCCACTTCCTGTGCGGCACCTCACCCTGATGCGTGGCTCCCCGCCCGGCTTGTGACCCCCCTGGGGCCCGTCCGTGTCCATGTCCCCCTTGGCGTCGCTCTGGCCCAGCAGCGCTTGCGTCCACGCGCCCAGCCCCGCCTCCAGACGGGCGCCCAAGATGTTCTCAATCTGGGAGGAGGACACGCGGGAGGGTGCGGGAGGGGAGGGTGCGGGGGAAGCCGATGAGGAACGCGACTGATTCTCCACGCCGGCGATTCCACGAACCGTCCCGGCTCAGGGTCGCGAGGCGACCCCAGAGTTGGTGATCTCGCGTCCCAGTGTTGCCATCTCGTACACGACGACGATGACAATGGTGATCAATAATAGACTATGACAATGATAATGGTGATCAATAATAGACTATGACAATGATCATCAATCATACACGATGAAAATGGTGATCAATCATGCACGACGATGATTACAATGATGGTCATCGTACATGATGACGATCTATGGTACACGACTACAAAGGTGATCAATTGTACCCAACAATGATGACAATGATCAACCCGATACGAAGACGATGACAGTGGTGATGAATCGTACGCGGCGTGCTACGAAGAGGGGCCATTGCCCGAAATGTCACCAATTACATATTGTTCATTTTTAATGGCCACACACACACACACAGTGTTATCACTGGGAGAAGAGACGACGGGAGATAATGTACCGCGATACTCATACCCTTTGGTTTTTTTTGTAAAGTCACGTAGGTAAAAAATAAAACAAAATAAATGAAAACAACTAAATTAAATCACGACGTTTCGGGCGCAACACACGCGTCCGTTATCAGGTGGGAAAGCGTGGCCTACTGCTGATGCAGACTTTACCGAAAAAAACAAAGAGTATGAATCCTTGCAGTCACGAAAGCTTCAAATCTAGAATGAATGTACCGCGAGTCTACCGATGGGATTCGATCGCTCGTGAATGTCGAGGACTAGGAGGAAGGAGGCACCTCAATGTCCAGCTTGTGCACCCAGATGGAGAGGTTGGAGTAGGAGTGGAGGTTGAGGTCGTCCACGGCCTTCTGCACGCGGCTCAGGATCTCGAGGAAGGTGCGGTGCTCGTGCACGCACGTCTCCAGCGACCGCACCTCCAGGTCGATCTTCTCCTCGATGATCAGGAGGTCGTCGACCTGCGGTCGCGTTCGCACCGCGGTGCGGGGAGGCCGGCGGTCAACTCGGGCTGCCCTCCAGCCAGATTCTCTCAGCCGGTGATTGCCTTAGATTGTCCCATCAGTCGAGAGACCCCGTTAGAGACCGGTCTGTCAGTCCATTGTCTATAGACCCAGTCAAAGACCAATGTGGCAGTCCATTGTCTAGAGACCCTATCAAGAGATCAGTCTGTCAGTCTATTGTCAGAGACCCAGTCAAAGACCAATGTGGCAGTCCATTGTCTAGAGACCCTATCAAGAGATCAGTCTGTCAGTCCATTGTCTATAGACCCAGTCAAAGACCAATGTGGCAGTCCATTGTCTATAGACCCTATCAAGAGACCAGTCTGTCAGTCCATTGTCTATAGACCCAGTCAAAGACCAATGTGGCAGTCCATTGTCTAGAGACCCTATCAAGAGATCAGTCTGTCAGTCTATTGTCAGAGACCCAGTCAAAGACCAATCTGTCAGTCTATCGTCTAGTGACCACCAGTGTGGCAGCTCTTTGTGCGAGCTCATTGGAGTCTGGCCTATTATCTAAGAGCTCATTACACATACAACACACAGACAGCACCTTCCCCAAAGGACTATACAGACAACTGGGGAATATTTCCCTTTGTGTTTGCATGTGGATGTACACGTACACAGAGAATGCTCACACACACAGAGGCAATGTTCCTCTGCTTATCCCTAGAGCGGTGGCTCTAAACCTGGGGTGCACGCACCCCCAGGGGGTGCGTCTGGTGGTAGCGAGACATGGGCAGATTTTTTTAGAGAGACATGGGCAGATTTTTTTAGAGAAACATGGGCAGATTTTTTTAGAGAGACATGGGCAGATTTTTTTAGAAAGTAAATCATCGAAGCGCAGTGTGCTAACCACTGTGCCACTGCTCCCCAATACATGCAGCCACGCACAGATAAATAAATACACACACACAATCACAGCGCGGGGTCCCTAACCACTGCGCCCCCACTCCCCCCCTACCCCGCACGAGCAGAGATCACGGCGCGGCCCGCCCGCCCGCCCGCCCATCCACCCGCCCGCCCGCCCGCCCGCCCGAACCTTCTCCTGGAAGTTGAGGATGGTCTCGGCGAGGCGCTGCACGTAGGGGTCCAGCTTGTAGGACTCCCACACGAGGCCGATACCCTCGGCCACGAGCGCCTGCACCTCGCGCTTGAGGCCCGCCACGAGCATCGCGATGCTCTGGCGCTCCTCGACGCGCTCGCACGTGCGCTCGTAGGTGCGCACGCTGTCGATGAGCGATATGGCGAAGGGGTACAGCTGGTTGGCCTGGTGCGCCTTGTTCACGATGCCGAGCGGCACGCGGAAGCCCAGCCACTTGAGGTTGCGCACCTCCTTGGACAGCGTGATGATCTCGGGCAGGAAGTTCACCTGCGACCGGGACACCCGCGCGAGATCAAGCCGTTAGGTACGGCGGGGGGCGATCGATCGGGGGTGGGGGAGTGCCTGCGGGTGGCGGTAGGGCAAGCGGGATGCCGACATCGTGCGAGTGTGGCCGACACACCCGCAGCAGGCAGTCAGTTCAGGCTCAGGTGACCCGAGGCACAGGACCGGTTGCGATGTTCGTGGCTGATGTTGGCCTTGAGCGCAGCGTGCTAAACGCTGCGCTACTACCTCCCAATACACTACCACATACAGACACACACACATAGTCCCTCACACGTACGCTCACACGCACAAACGTATGCACATAGACACACACAATGTATGTATGTATGTAGAACTTCTTTCACACCGTATGTAGCAAACCGTGCACACACATGCCCACTCACGTACACACGCACATGCACACTCACGTACACACAAAGACAAAGATCCCCCGTATAGCCTGAACAGACCATCGGGGCAAGTGCTGTTAGTGAGCACCTCTTAAGGCCGGCACGGCACACGAGGTGGTGGGTGGCCAACACCATGCCCGGCCGCCTTTGTCTCCCAAGTGGCGATGTTTACACACCACACAAGGTACTCATTTGAGGCTGAGTCGACCTAGGGGAGGCTCAGGATAATCGTCACTGGTGTTGGTGACTGTGAGCGGGAATCGAAATTGGCTCGCTTGGTTCGTAGCCGCTACACACACAAGCAGACTCCACAACGACAGCAACCATCACAGGACCGGTTCAGATAATCATCACCGGTGTTGGCCGTGAGCGGGAATCGAACTCGGGTCATTAGGTTCGTAGTGCAGCGTAGCACTAACCGCTACACCACCGCTCCCCACGGACACACGTACGCACGTACACACATACACACGTACACAATATACACACGCACACACGCACACACGCACACACGTACACACGTACACACGCACACAATATACACACATACACACGCACACACGTACACACGTACACACGTACACACATACACACGCACACACGTACACAATATACACACGTACACACATACACACGCACACACCTGCACACACGTACACACATACACATGCACACACATGTACACACGCACACACGTACACAATATACACACGTACACACGCACACACGTACACACATACACACATACACACGTACACACGCACACATGTACACACATACACACATACCCACGCACACGTACGCACGCACACGTTCACGTGCCCACGCGGCGCACCTTGAGGCGCAGCACGGTGCCGGCGCGCGTGCGCGAGCGCGTGCTCTCGATGGCGAAGATGCGGCCGCACACGCCGAGGTTGCGCTGCTGCGCCTTGCGCGCCCAATCCTCGAAGATGTCGGCCGTGCTCAGCTTGGCGCGGAACGAGTCGCCGTCCTGCTTCAGCTTCTGGCCCTCCACGTGGTTCTCCCAGCCCTTGCCCAGCACGTCCTCCACGCGCTTCATGTACGCCGTGAGCTGCCGGTCGATCTGCTTCGCCCAGATGATGGAGCCCGACACGGGCGGGAGGTCGCGCACGTGGCTCATGCGGCACGCCTGGCTCTGCGGGTATTGCACTGTGCCGGAGGAAGGGGGGGGGGGGGGACGACAAACAATGAACGTAACGTTATAATTAAACTAAAAACTTAACGAAAAACTAAACTATTTTTATTTCACCAGGTAAGGGCCCGCTGAGCTGTACAGCTCTTTTTTCGGAAGCGACCACAAATGACAGCTCGACGAAGTGGCTCATCATCACGTGGACACTTACAGCAGACAAATTACTCGGTGCCATGTTCACGTTGTGCACGCGGGGTGCCAATTTCGGCCAATCCGAGCGCTCATAAGTGGGGCTGAGTCACGCCCCCAGTGACGTCCTTGTGAACGTTTAGACCTCGACAGCCTTTGTTGACATCACGATTTCTGTTTTGGCAGTGGAAACAGCTCTCTCACAGACTTATAAGATAATTCGATTAACAGTTATTTCGGCAGCTTTCGTTAACCGAGGGACTGCTGTAGTTTAATTCCATCTTTTTCGGATAAATCCAAAAACCGCGCGACGCCGTCCCCGTGCGACGGCTCACCCTTGAACTTGTCGTGCAGGGCCTCGATGTCGTCCTTGACGCGCTGGATGAGCTGCGTCTGGTACTCGCGGATGGCCCCGCGGATGTGCGGGCGCACGAAGAGCGCGTTGAAGCGCGAGAAGATGCGGAACATCTCGTTGGCGTTCTTGGCCGTGCCCAGCTGGTCGCGCAGACGCGCCGTGATGCGCGTCTCCACGCGGTCGATGCGCTCCTCGTAGCGCTTGATGGCCGCCTCCCACGCCTCCGAGCCCTCCTTGGACACGTCCAGCCCGTCCACCTCCTTCACGTTCTCGTAGGCCAGGTTCACCTCCTCGATGGCGCTCGTGTCGGCCGCGTCGAACAGCGCCTCGCCCGCCTTCGGGTCCGCCGGCTCGGCCGCCTCGGGGCCGGGCGGCTGCTGCTGCTGCTGCTGCTGCGACGGTGGCGGCGGCTGAGACATGGTGGGCGCCATCTGGCGGGGAGCACGGAGGGGTTGGGTGGCGTCGTCGTCAACATCACCATCATTGACACCATGATCACCATCATTGACACCACCACCACCATAAATGAATTCATGACCATGATCGTCATGATCATCATCATCATCATCACCACCACCACCATTCCCCACTAAGTGGTGGTGACGTCACCACGGCGCTTGTATCAGGCTATGGGCACGCTGAGGCCATCACCACCACCACCATCACCACCACCACTATCACCACCACCACCACCATCACCACCACCATCACCACCACCACCATCACCACCACCATCACCACCACCATCACCAACACCACCACCACCATCACCACCACCACCACCATCACCACCACCACCATCACCACCACCATCACCACCACCATCACCACCACCATCACCAACACCACCACCACCATCACCACCACCACCATCACCACCACCACCATCACCACCACCATCACCACCACCATCACCACCACCACCACTATCACCACCACCACCACCATCACCACCACCATCACCACCACCACCACCACCATCACCACCACCATCACCACCACCATCACCAACACCACCACCACCACCATCACCACCACCACCATCACCACCACCATCACCACCACCACCACCACCATCACCACCACCACCATCACCACCACCATCACCACCACCACCATCACCACCACCACCACCATCACCACCACCACCACTATCACCACCACCACCACCACCATCACCACCACCATCACCACCACCATCACCACCACCACCACCATCACCACCACCATCACCACCACCATCACCAACACCACCATCACCACCACCATCACCACCACCACCACCATCACCACCACCACCATCACCACCACCATCACCACCACCACCATCACCACCACCATCACCATCACCACCACCACCATCACCACCACCACCATTGACATCAAGACCACCATTGTCTATTTTAAGGTTTGTGTATGTGTACAGTACAGTACTGTACACGAGAATATTTCTGTTAATTCCATACATTTTACCCTATAGACAAAATGAATCTTATTTTACGTGATAAATATATCCTGCTTAATGTGTTGGGTCGATGTAGGGTAACATAAAACAACAGCAGGGGGTGGGTGTCGTCTTGCGGACCGTGAACCAAACCGCGAGTTTTCCCACTGATGCCTTTAGAGTTGGCGAATCGTGGATTTGCCGACTGCGACTATTTTCAAGAACCTAACCCCCTGCGATGGGCAAGGTTTTTTGGTGGATAAGAGTCCAACGAATTTCGCCCAAAAATAAAAGTTAACGAATAAATCGACACAAATCCGTGTATCTGTGAGTCCACCTTCTGCCCGCCTGCGCTTCTGCGTCCGCGCGTCACCTGGGGGCGCAGCACGCGGACGATGACGGCGCGCAGCTGCTCGTGGTGGCGACGGAACTTGCGCATCTGCTCGAGGCGCGCCTGCAGCTTCTTGTGCGCGGGGCCGATGCGCCACACCATCTTGAGGTTCTCCTCGCGCTTGCGCTTGACGAGGTCGCGCAGCAGCACCTGCAGCTTCTCGTACTCGTCGTCCCACGCCTGGAACACTTCGAAGCACGCCACCATCACCTGCGCCACGACACGGAGCGCCACCGTCACCGTCGCTCGCGCCGCGACACAGAGCGGCACGCCACCGTCACCATTCGCTCCTCCCTCGGCTTCTGTTTCGGCTCGCGAGTAGTGATCCAGTGGCGTGGTAGAACTATGCTCCGATTAGCTGGGGTGATAAAGGTTGTGGGTGTTAGCTGGGCTCTGATCGGTTTGTTCCTATCCCTCTCTACCCACCAGCACAACGTACGGCCTCTTTGGTGCCAGACCGGCGATTCTCTCCCCCCGAACCGCCGGCGACCGCGACACCGGCGCAATTCCACCCCCCCCCCCCCGCCGATCGATGGGGCACTCACCTTCTCGAACTCCTCGTAGGAGATGTGCATGAGCTTGCGCGTGCCCAGCACCTTGAGCAGCTGCGCGCTGAGGTCACGCGAGATTGCCTCGACCAGCCGCAGGGCGCGCTGGATCGGGTACTTGGTGTTGCGGATCTTGCGCAGGTGGGTGAAGATGGCAAGCAGCGCCACGCGGATGCGGTCGAGCTCCGTGGCCGACAGGAGGTCGTTGAGCGGGAAGTCCTTCATGAGCGGGTTGTAGTCGTTCACCGTTTCCAGGGCCTGCTTCAGGCCTGGCGGGCGGTGGGGGGGGTCGTGGGTCGCGGTGGAATGGGGGTGGGGGGGGTGGGGATGGTGGGGGGGTGGGGGTAGTGGGGGCGGTGGGGGGTGGTGGGAGCGGGTAGGGACGGAGAGACAGGAACGAGACGGATGGCAGAGCACAGAGCAAGAGTGACGGGACAAGCTCCACGTGAACGGCAGGGTTTCAAACCGCAGTCCCCGTCGTGACCACCCCGACGGCGGGGGACACGGACCGCAACTGGTCCGTTTCTCGAGGCCGGTAGAGCTCAGCGGAAACCAGGCCGATTTGAGTAAAGCAGGGAGAGAGCAATCGAGCGGGCGAGCGAGCGAGCAGGCGAGGGAATGAGAGAACCGGTGAGTTAGTGCGTGAGCGAGCGAGTGGGTGACACGAGTGAGTGTGAGTGAGCAAGTGAGTAATTTGGGTGAGTGACGGGAGTGCGCGTGTGAGATGCGCAGTAAACATTCAACGTTGGCCCAACGTTGCAACGTGATTGTAACCGTTGAACTACTTTTGGCCCAGGAAGGGAGCGAGTGAATGACAGAGTGAGGGAGGGAGGGAGCGAGTGAGGGAGCGAGTGAGGGAGCGAGTGAGGGAGCGAGTGAGGGAGCGAGTGAGGGAGGGAGTGAGTGAGGGAGCGAGTGAGGGAGGGAGGGAGCGAGTGAATGACCGAGGGGGCGAGAGAGGGAGAGAGCGTACCGGTGTCGGTGTCGAAGCTGACGGTGGCGTGGAAGCGCTTGCCGTGCTTGAGGATGTCGAGTGTGAGCAGCACCTCGGGGCTCTCGCGCTTCTCCTGGATGCGGTAGAGCGCCCGCTCCAGGTTCAGCCAGAAGCTGATCTCCTGCAGCGCCGTGCCTGACGCCGGGTCGCGGTCCAGCTTTGTCACCTGCAGTGGCGGCAATCAAAGTCAATTCTCCGCGGTTGATTTCTGTGTAAACCGGCTGAGAGAGAACTCCGGAAGGCCCCAATTGCAAGAGTAGCTCGGGTTTTTGAAAACGACAACGGCAGTAAAATGAAAACTGAGAACGAACAGCGAAGCAAAGAGACAAGCGAATAGAAATCGGGGACTAAGCAAACTGCAAATTTGTATCAATTGTGCTATGTGAGGAAAACCGTTTTCTGGCTGGATGACCTGGGTGGATTCCTGTCTGGCTGGGTGACGTGCGTTGGGGACGTCACCCGATTGCCACAGCGTTGAGCCGGGTTTGTGCGTCGTGCTGACGTCGCTGTGACATCACAATAACTTCACCCCTCCTTCACGCTGTCATATCATCATCCTCTCATACTCCCCTACTAACTTAGAACAGAGGAGAAAGGTGATGACGTCATTCTCGCGAGGCTACTCGGCGGCGCCATTCGTCGTCAGCGGCGGCTGAACGCCGAAGGAGGTGGGATTGTCGCGACGCTGGCGAGACTCCACGCGTTGTACGTGAGAGGCCGTGGCCCGGGAGCGCTCGCTCAGCCCGTCGCCAATCCCCCCACCCACCCGCCGGGCGCACGCCGCGGATTTCGCCACTCGGCACCTTAGCGGCCGGCGAAGCCTCCAACGGGACCGCGTCGATCCTCACCTTCTGGATCTCGCGGATCCAGCGGTTGACGCCGGACTGCAGCTGGTTGAGGTACGTGGCGTCCTCCACTCGCTCCCCAAAGTCCGACACCTGGCGGGAGCGAGACGGTTCGAGGAGGCGTTCAGGTCGACCGCGTTGTTTTTATTTGTTATCATTATTTCCGAAGGCTTACGTTGGCGACGCGGGGTGACCACGGGGAAGAAGGGGAGGGGGCGGTGGCGGCGGCGTGGCCGCAGGGGTTACAGTTGTCGCCTTGCAGCAACGAGGGCCTGCGTTCCATCCCCGACTCGGCTTTGAATGTGCCCGGGGTCACCAATCGCTGCGGCAGCACTCAACTCGCACCGCGTTCGAGCTCCGAGACCGAAATGACGCTCGGCTCCAACTTACCCTGCCGCGAAACGTTCCCGTGGGGCAGAGCGCTCTGGGGAACTCGCCCCCCCCACCCCTTACAAGAACACGGTCTGCCCTCTCCGGCAATAAAACACAGGCGGCGTTAAGATGTTCACACACCAAATAATAGATCTCAGTTTTTTTTCAGAGACAAGGCATATATCGTTGTCAGGGCATGCTTGTTTGCATGTTTTACCACAAGTACGTGTGGTTAATGCAGAAAAAGGTCAAAGGTAAAGCCTATTCTTGTATTTTTCATCATATTTGGATACTGACGAAAAGGGTCCCATAGGTGGCCCCCCTGAGTGTGTGGATGAAGGGTCGCGCTTGCACGAGGACCTCAAAAGCAGCTCTGCGATATCTGCTCCCGTGGGCCGTGCTCCAATACACAGTGAGTGGGAGGCGGGGGGGGGGGGGGCGACGACGATGACGACGATGATGATGATGCGACACTCGTCGAGAACTCCGTACGAACTCTCCCGTCACGTGGCAAGTTGCCCGTATATACACTCAACAAAACAAATCAGCCCCTCCTATAACCGTGGACTCCTCCGGCAGCCCCGCCGAGCGGCACCGGCGCCAACGGTGCCCGACCTTGGCACCTGCCCTGACCCCTGGGCCAGCGCCGCGGCTTCCGAACTTTGACCCCCCCCCCCTTAGCAGCGACCCCTCCCCCCCCCACCTTCACCTTGGCGCGGTCGCCGCGCTCGGCGCTGTGGCGCAGCACGGCGCTCACGGTGGGGTGGATGGGCAGGCTGATCTCGGGGATGTCGATGTTCTGCTGCAGGTGCAGCAGGCCCATCTCCAGCTCGGCGATCTTCTTCTCCACCGACGGCGCCATCTTGTCCCCGTCCCTGAAGGGATGAGCGCTCAAGTCGGAGCAGGTCCCGTTGTATGTAAAGTCATGAACTAAACTATTTTTATATTTTATCGGTTAAGGCCCCATTGCGGCTATGATAGCTCCACGAAGTGGCTTATCATCACGTGGACGTCTACAGCAGCCAAATACTCTCAGCGCATGATGTTGAATATAAATGTGGAGGGGAAACAACCGGAGAACCCGGAGAAAAATCCACGCGACCATGGGGAGAGAGACACCGCAAACTGCACATATATAGGAGGCGTCAGGGTCGGGAATGAACGCACGACCTCCTGTATACCAAGCGAGGTAGTTAACATTTCGCCACCATTCGTAGCCAACCGTGCCAATTAGAGGTGCGGGGGAAGGACAACAAACTAAACACAAAAAGCACCATCGACACACCGTTGATGGTGTGGCAGTGACGATGGCGGTGGTAGTCGTAGAATTCATGGTGGTGGCGGTGGTGAGGATGGTAATAAAGGTGGCAGTAGTCGTGGGTGACGCCGCTGGTGGTAAGAGTGATGTGGGTGGTGGTGATTTTGGTGGTAGTGGATGGTGGAGGTGATGATGGTGGGTGGTAGTGGTAGGTAGTGAATGTGCTGGAGGTAGTGGTGGTGATGATGGTGGTGAGATTGACGACGGTGGTAGTGGTGGTAATATTGAAGGTAGTGAAGGAGGTAGAGTTGGTGATGGTGGTAAGATTGACAGCGGTGGTGTTAAGATATATGGTTGCGGTGGTGGTGATGGTGGTAAGGTTGTGGCGATGGCAGGGGTAGTAAGGTTCAGAATCAGAATATTTATACTGGAGGAATCCGATGAGCTGTAAAGCTCTTTTGAAGGCTGCGGTGACGGCACGGACTCGGCCGGCTCACAAACTCGGCCGGCTGCCGCGCATCGCACGGCCGCGGGCTGGAGTGCGACGCGCACCTCTCGGCCTTGCCGGACTCCTTGATGTAGGACTTGAAGAAGGGCGACACGGCGGAGCTGACGAAGGCGTGCAGCGTCTCGTAGGGCGAGTCCTCGCTGAACGTCATCACGCGCAGCTGCGACGCCATCGGCTTGTCGGCGTCCAGCACGCCGCCGCGCTTGATGAGTGCCAGGCTGCACGGGCGCGGGGACACAAACCGTCAGCGCGAGCACGAGGTCGAACACGAGGCCAGACACAAGGTCAAACACGAGGTCAAACACGAGGTCAACCACGGGGCCAGATACGAGGTCAAACACGAGCACGGACACGAAAGTCGAGAAACCCTAACCCTGACCGTGATCGAGATGATGGCAGAGACGTTGATTTGTAAGACGATCTGAGCCCAAGATCACGAGCAGGGCTACGAGCAAGCAAAACGTGACCCGGGCGACGGTACGCGGCCCGGACCGCGGGCACGGCCACGCGTTCGGCCGCGCGTTCCCATCGCGATCTTCATGGGGGAACAGGCGGGGGGGAGTGGTGACCCCGGTACAAGTCGCAGGGAGTGAGGGAAGGAGGGGAGGGAGGGATGTGGGCGATGGGACCGGAGGTCATCCCACGTGGGCCTGGTCCACCACCTGCTCGACTTGATTCCGTAGTGGATGTCGATGGTGATGTTGTAGGTGACAGCGTCTTTGTCCTCTCCCTCGTCAGAAACATCCTCTGCAGAACACAGACAAAGCATCCACAGTTCAGCCTTGCCGGGACCGTGGGGGCATTGCGCTGTTGGCGAGCGCCTATTGAGGCCGGCATGCCGCGTGAGCGAACGGTGTGGTCTGTACCGCGCTCACCGCCCGTTGCCTCGCGAGTGCTGACGGCTTCACGCCTCGCACCAAGAAGTACAACTCAGGGCAGATTGCGCCGAGGACCAGGGAATTAAATGATGGTCCCTTGACTCTCAACACAACACCACTCCCACACTTGGCACTCATTTAAAGCCGACCTAGAGGGGAGGCACTTAGGGGCCGTCCATAAGTGACGTCACGTGATTTTGGACGATTTTTGACCCCCCCCGTGGGGCAAAGTCTATTTAATTAAGTAGAACGTGTTGTCTATCTATATATATAAAATCGTGCATGTCTGTCTGTCCGTCTGTGTGTGTGTGTGTGGATTTCGGACCATACGCACTTTAATTGGACGGCGGTTGCCCCTGGCAACGGATAGCGACGCCTTCGCCGCTTTCATTGGACCTGGCAACGGCTAGCCACGCCTTCGCCAAGGGCTGCAGTTTCATTGGACGGCGGTTGCCCCTGTCAACGGCTAGCCACGCCTTCGCCACTTTCATAGGCTCCGTAAATAATTAAAGAATAGCCATTACACAGTATTGTTGGAGCGCTGAGGGGGGGGGAAGGCACGCCACCCGTACCCTGCCTCTGCCGGGTGGGCAATTTAGGCGAGGCCGCAGGCTCTGCATGCTACTAGGCCTCGACACCCACCACGTCACTCTGAGGTAAATTCATCAAAGTTTTTCCTACTCTTCACTCCACCCCCACCACAATGTGTGCAATTAATATTACTTTTAAACCCAACGCGCCAACAATCGATTACTTTAATGTTCACTGTACAAATAGTCATTAAGCTGGGTCAGCGTACTGCCAGTCTATCATGTAGACTGTAGCCTGCTTATTAAGCTCGGTGAGCGTACTGCCACTCTATCATGTACACTCTAGCCTGCTTATGAAGCTGACTGCGTGTACTGGCAGTCTATAATGTGGACTGTAGCCTGGTTATTATAATCGATTCTTTATATGTTCTTTGTACAAATAGTCATTAAGCTGGTTGAGCGACCCCAGTTCCATTCCAACTCACGCCCACCACCGCTGACGATTATTTGAAACGGACCTGGCCCTCCCCTAGGTCCACTCAGCCTCAAACGCGTAACTGCTGTTGTGTGTGAACATCGTCACTGGGGAGACAAAGGCGGCCGGGCATCGTGGATCCAAGTCCCGGGCGAAGCCGGGTCATACATATGTGTGTATGTGTTTATGTGTATGTCTGTGTGTCTGTATGTATGTGTGTATGTATGTGTGTGTATGTGTTTGTGTGTGTGCATGTATGTGGGTTTTTTTCTATGTCTTTATGTGTATGTCTGCGTGTCTGTATGTATGTACGTGTGTGCATGTGTTTGTGTGTATGTATGTGTGTGTCTATGTATGTGTGTGTATGTGTTTCTGTGTATGTATGTGTGTGTATGTATGTGTGTTATGTGTCTGTCTGTGTGTCTGCATGTATGTGTGTGTATATTGTGTATGTGTTTGTATGTGTTTGTGTGTTTACGCTCGCATTACACAAATGTGTTGCAGGTCTAAGGAGTTCCTTGCGCAGCATTGCCGCTTTATTATTTCAGTCGTTTACTGCCGTACGCACCCTGAAAGTCGTGTGTGTCTGCAGCAAGCGCGTGTATGTGTACCTATGGACGCGCGCGCGTGTGTTGTGTAGGGGGAACGGTAGTGTAGTGCTTAGCGTGCTGCCTGTGTCTGTGTGTGTGTGTCTGTGTGTGTGTCTGTGTGTGTGTCTGTGTGTGTGCGTGTGTGGTGTGTGGGGAGCGGTAGTGTAGTGGTTAGCGTGCTGTCTGTGTGTGTATGTGTCTCTGTCTGTGTGTGTCTGTGTGTGTCTGCGTGTGTCTGTGTGTGTGTCTGTGTGTGTGTCTGTGCGTGTGTGGTGTGTGAGGAGCGGTGGGTGTAGTGCTTAACGCTACGCTGCGCTACCAACCCGGCGAACCCAGTTCCATTCACGCTCACGACCACCACCGGTGACGATTCTTTGAACCTCCCCTAGGTCGACTCTGCCTCAAACGAGTAACTGCTGTAGCGTATTAACATCGCCACTGGGGAGACAAAGGCGGCCGGCCGTGGTGGATACAAGTCCCGGGCGAAGCCGGGTAGTACAGCTAGTATTTATTTAAAGTTGCACATTTTGATGTGACATCACATTTCTCAAACCCCCCCCCCCCACCTCGTCGCACATCGTCAACCACTCGTACACAAAGATCTGTCGCACTGTCTAGTCAGACTGTAGGAACAGGCACTGTCTAGAAAGACTGTAAACACAGGCGCTGTCTAGACAGACTGTAGAGGCAGGCGCTGTCTAGACAGACTGTAGACACAAGCGCTGTCTAGACAGACTGTAGAGACAGGCACTGTCTAGACAGACTGTAGAGACAGGCACTGTCTAGACAGACTGTAGAGACAGGCACTGTCTAGACAGACTGTAGAGACAGGCACTGTCTAGACAGACTGTAGAGACAGGCGCTGTCTAGACAGACTGTAGAGACAGGCACTGTCTAGACAGACTGTAGACACAAGCACTGTCTAGACAGATTGTAGAGACAGGCACTATCTAGACAGACTGTAGAGACAGGCACTGTCTACACAGACTGTAGAGACAGGCACTGTCTAGACAGACTGTAGAGACAGGCACTGTCTAGACAGACTGTAGAGACAGGCACTGTCTAGACAGACTGTAGAGACAGGCGCTGTCAAGACAGACTGTAGACACAGGCGCTGTCAAGACAAACTGTAGACACAGGCGCTGTCTAGACAGACTGTAGACACAGGCGCTGTCTAGACAGACTGTAGACACAGGCGCTGTCTAGACAGACTGAAGAGACAGGCGCTGTCTAGACAGACTGTAGAGACAGGCGCTGTCTAGACAGACTGTAGAGACAGGCGCTGTCTAGACAGACTGTAGACACAGGCACTATCTAGACATACTGTAGAGACAGGCACTGTCTAGACAGACTGTAGAGACAGGCACTGTCTAGACAGAGTGTAGAGACAGGCACTGTCTAGACAGACTGTAGACACAGGCGCTGTCTAGACAGACTGTAGAGACAGGCGCTGTTTAGACAGACTGTAAAGACAGGCGCTGTCTAGACAGACTGTAGAGACAGGCGCTGTCTAGACAGACTGTAGACACAGGCGCTGTCTACACAGACTGTATAGACAGGCGCTGTCTAGACAGACTGTAGACACAGGCACTGTCTAGACAGACTGTAGAGACAGGCGCTGTCTAGACAGACTGTAGACACAGGTGCTGTCTAGACAGACTGTAAAGACAGGCGCTGTCTAGACAAACTGTAGAGACAGGCGCTGTCTAGACAGACTGTAGACACAGGCGCTGTCTAGACAGACTGTAGACACAGGCGCTGTCTAGACAGACTGTAGAGACAGGCACTGTCTAGAAAGACTGTAAACACAGGCGCTGTCTAGACAGACTGTAGAGGCAGGCGCTGTCTAGACAGACTGTAGACACAAGCGCTGTCTAGACAGACTGTAGAGACAGGCACTGTCTAGACAGACTGTAGAGACAGGCACTGTCTAGACAGACTGTAGAGACAGGCACTGTCTAGACAGACTGTAGAGACAGGCACTGTCTAGACAGACTGTAGAGACAGGCGCTGTCTAGACAGACTGTAGAGACAGGCACTGTCTAGACAGACTGTAGACACAAGCACTGTCTAGACAGATTGTAGAGACAGGCACTATCTAGACAGACTGTAGAGACAGGCACTGTCTACACAGACTGTAGAGACAGGCACTGTCTAGACAGACTGTAGAGACAGGCACTGTCTAGACAGACTGTAGAGACAGGCACTGTCTAGACAGACTGTAGAGACAGGCGCTGTCAAGACAGACTGTAGACACAGGCGCTGTCAAGACAAACTGTAGACACAGGCGCTGTCTAGACAGACTGTAGACACAGGCGCTGTCTAGACAGACTGTAGACACAGGCGCTGTCTAGACAGACTGTAGACACAGGCGCTGTCTAGACAGACTGAAGAGACAGGCGCTGTCTAGACAGACTGTAGAGACAGGCGCTGTCTAGACAGACTGTAGAGACAGGCGCTGTCTAGACAGACTGTAGACACAGGCACTATCTAGACATACTGTAGAGACAGGCACTGTCTAGACAGACTGTAGAGACAGGCACTGTCTAGACAGAGTGTAGAGACAGGCACTGTCTAGACAGACTGTAGACACAGGCGCTGTCTAGACAGACTGTAGAGACAGGCGCTGTTTAGACAGACTGTAAAGACAGGCGCTGTCTAGACAGACTGTAGAGACAGGCGCTGTCTAGACAGACTGTAGACACAGGCGCTGTCTACACAGACTGTATAGACAGGCGCTGTCTAGACAGACTGTAGACACAGGCACTGTCTAGACAGACTGTAGAGACAGGCGCTGTCTAGACAGACTGTAGACACAGGCGCTGTCTAGACAGACTGTAAAGACAGGCGCTGTCTAGACAAACTGTAGAGACAGGCGCTGTCTAGACAGACTGTAGACACAGGCGCTGTCTAGACAGACTGTAGACACAGGCGCTGTCTAGACAGACTGAAGAGACAGGCGCTGTCTAGACAGACTGTAGAGACAGGCGCTGTCTAGACAGACTGTAGAGACAGGCGCTGTCTAGACAGACTGTAGACACAGGCACTATCTAGACATACTGTAGAGACAGGCACTGTCTAGACAGACTGTAGAGACAGGCACTGTCTAGACAGAGTGTAGAGACAGGCACTGTCTAGACAGACTGTAGACACAGGCGCTGTCTAGACAGACTGTAGAGACAGGCGCTGTTTAGACAGACTGTAAAGACAGGCGCTGTCTAGACAGACTGTAGAGACAGGCGCTGTCTAGACAGACTGTAGACACAGGCGCTGT